GATGTTTGTGAGTTGGAATAGTGTAGAGTCGAAGGGCAAATATTTACTTTTAAATCTGCTGTGGTGTTGACTGTTGGATGGATTTCTAGCTACTTGGATAATAAGCCTCTTCATAGAGCCTACTCGAAACTTTTATTAGTTGTCTAATTTGGCTGTCTACTAAATATTCAAAACTCGTATATACGCAGAATGATATTCTAGGTTTGATGGTATCTTGCTGGCTGATATATCACATAGGAGACATTACGACCAACTAGACTAAATATCTAGTTATGTCGAGTGGTAGTATTGAAACGAAATGTAGCCACTGGTTGCTATTACAACTATCTTGGATTCTAGGTCATATCTGACGAAGTAAGAATATAAGCTGATCAATATATACCCGTGTTTATATACTAAAGCCATATCTCTCCTCTCGTCACCTTTGAAAATAGTATCGTCTTGACTAGCAGGCTTTGATATATTATCATATGTAGTTTAACAAGTTAAGTAAACCTCTAGAGGTGTGTACTAATATATCTAGCTCGCTTGCCTATATTTTATAACGGTTTGCCCTTATTATTATTATCTCTTTTTAAGTCGAATTCGAAAGATTGGGCTTTGAATACGTTAACATTCGTCGGAGTTAACTATAGGAATAGCGACGTGATATTAGTGTTGTCAGGGGAAAGGGGCTAGGTTAGTATGTGTCTGTTTGTCTAGTAAACTTATTATTTGGAAATGTTGCTTTATATCTTTACGATACAACTATACCTATATGCGATCTGTGATATTGTAACTATTGAAGCTTATAAGGTCTTTTGGATTCGACATTCATTTACTCTGCTACACTTGGGTGCTAATAAGTCAAACCACCGTTACTGGGGCCACCCTAGTGGGGACCACCCATTTCCCATACAAAATCAACAAAATCACCTATTCATAACTCATCCAAGAAAATAGCTAAAAATATCCAGTCTTTATTTTCTAATCCCTTACTACTATAATAGCCTATATAATTTTTTCCAATCTTTTGTTATGACCATTTCGTGGTAAAATTGTAAGAAGTGTTATTTTTGGTCATTTTTTAGCATTAAAAAGTTTCCAAAATATATGGGAATTTTATATACTTTATTATAAAGGCTCATAACTTCCACCAAAAATTAGCTATACACTTCCTTTCGAGATTAAAAGTTGCATTGAAAAATTCTCTATCCAATTATATGAACATGGGATTTTTACTATATAAATTGGCAAAGTTATAAGCATTAATTATCGTTAGCAGTTATACATATAAATTTGTATGTGTATCTGTTAGTGTATTCATTTATAATCATTTTGCCACAAATATTGACCCAATCTTTTTTTCAAATCGTGTACATAATGGGAACACTTTATTATATTTAAAAATGAAATCCTGATATTTTTACCTATTTTCTTGGATGAGTTATGAATATACGATTTTGTTGATTTTGTATGGGAAATGGGTGGTCCCCACTAGGGTGGCCCCAGTAACGGTGCTTCGACTTACGGGAAAGTGATTTTTACCAGCATCAACCCTAAAAACTTCTATTTAAGTTGCAAGGTGCGTTAAGAAGGATTATCACGTCGGCCTTAAAATGTGTTTAAATTGATCACTAGTAATAAGCCTGAATATTACAAGCTTTACCGAATCCTGCAAGGAGCGGCTTATATGCTGAATATTGTGTTTTCAATCGATATGCTAGTAGTACTGCGATGAGCTATAGGTTGTCATTCTAACTTTTGCCAGCCTTGGAGTTAACCTCTATCGGTATCCTCATGAGATCTGTCTAACTCTAATCTATATCTTCTCCAGGGGGTATAGTAGAACTTAGTTCAGATAGGTACCGTTGCAATGCTAACATTGATTTCTCGATCGATGTCTCCCTAAATATCTCCCCAATTGCCTTCCTGCTAGGTGGAGAGCATTGAACATTGCTTGTGCGTTTGGGCGAGGAAAGTATTTTTATTGACTCTATGATGGTTTCTATGTCGAGCTGGCAATCATCGGGGTACGATCCAACCACGCGCGTAAAGTTGGGAACCTGTGCTAATTTCATTAAGTGGTGGTTGGCCAACATGGCTTTATGAATGGCTTGAGAGAAGATTTCGGCATTGGAGGTATCTTTGTCTTCGGGAGGTACAGGATGCATGTGCCAGAAATGCCACATTGTTCGGAACGCTCCTAGACAGGCAAGACAAGCAACGTACGGCCCTTGATAGGCACCCTGTGTGGTGCTGGTAGGTATAAAGTCCAGTATTGAAGGTTGTGGTATTTTTTCTCCCGATACCTGGCCCGTTAAAAGACTATATATTGCTAATAGAGGATACGTAGGATACTTTTGGATAGCAGATGGAGTTATTAATTCTTTTAAGCTGCTCGTTTCCAGAACGTTGAGAACGCCAACTACTAGCCAAACGTTGAAGTCAACACCGCTGTCTTTAGCCATTCTTAAATATCTTTGAGCCACATCGAAGACACCACATTGTATCGAGGCTAGGATAGCGCCGTACAAGAATAGTGGGGGGATCTCGAGCTTCTCTGGTTCCAGAAGGATTATTAAGTTGTTGAGAAACGTGAGCATGTGTCCCGGTGGCATCTCCCCAGCCATGTCTACACACGCTCTTCCGATAGCATTGGTGCTATTTGCAATGAGCCAGCGGCCTGGGGGAGTTCCAATAGCATCTATGATAACCCTCTCGATCTGATCAAGGTCACGGCATTTCTTAACCGTCTTTCGGAACTGTGTTAGATCGTCCTGGGTCGGTTCTAAACGGTGGGATATTTTTTGCCGGTGGAGCATGTGTGCGATAATCTTGGACGGGTTATCAAGTATGTGGCGTGGTATCCCATTTTGATCGTATATATTATTCTCATCGACAACATGATAATCATCGTGACTTTGTCTTGTCATAGGTTCGTTGCGGAGTGCGACGGAAAGTATATCGTAATTAGTTATTCGCCAAATATCGAACTGTTTTGACACTGTATCTGTGGATTGTAGCTGATATTCCTGAGAGAGCCTATTTAACCCGGCGGCGAACTTGCGGGCAGGTCTGAGTTCTCGTTCCCTATGACGCCCGGGAGGCAACGGTTCACCATCTTTCTTCTTGCTAAAGGGACGGACGTAAGGGCTATTCTCGGCATCGAGACTGAGGATTAACTCAGTTGCCTCAAATGGCTGGAAATTATCTTTTTTTCGTCTTTTAAGAAGAGCATTGGGTGAGGGCCACTTTGGGATAGATCTTGTCAATTGGGTTGGGGGTGGCATTTCGAAGGTAATGGCTAGATTTATAGAATTGTAACATTTTTGGACAAAGTTACTATCATAATATCATAATGTTCATTGATGCCGTGCTATATCAAATAAATATCGAATAAATATCGAGTAGATATCGAGTATGAACTTTGGTGTCGCAAGACCATTTTTGAGGAAAATGCAAACCTTGTCCTTGTTCATCTCCAAGTCTTCCCCACCTAAATTTGGACTTACGCTACCCCGGAGTCTGGGGTAATTATCTAGGCTCTGAGGGGTAAAAAGCATAAGCTAACAAGAAGGTCCCTGACGCTAGGTACTTAGGTACAGGCTATAGGTGGAGGTCCACTGTACGTACCCTTCATTTATAGTAGAAACGGTCCATAGATAATCCGAAATATTATACCCACATTAAAATAACAGGTACCTTAGGTACTGCTACAGCTTCACTGCCAGCTGCATCTTGCCATCTGCCAATTTAGTAGCATTACATTAACTAATCCAAACAATCATCAACATATATTCTACCACTTTTCAAATTATACGTCTGCATCGAAACCTTAGGTTTTACGGTTTTAATTAACTATGCCTCCTGCGAAGAAGAGGAAGACAGCGTCGGCCGCCAAGGCCGCTGCTAAAGTAAAAAATGTTCCGACAGCAGAGATAGTTGAACAGGCTGCACCAACCAACGAGGAGAATCCTAAAGAGGAACAACCAGAAAAGCCGAACGATTTGAAACAAATGGAGGATAATGCAACAGCATCATCATCAACGACAGCAGCAGCAGAAACTAGTTCAGCTGCAGATGCTGCAGATGCTGCAGAGAAAGCAAGGGAGCGGATGGCACGTTTTCGCGCCTTACAGGCTCGCGCGAAAGTATCGTCGGACCAGAACCTCGCGGAAACAACTAAAGAATCTCAACGCCTAGCTACCGACCCATCCGCACTCGTATCGCTGAATCGTCGCCGTGACATCGCTACACACAAACTACTAAAGGCAGAGACAGAGGAGGCGGGCGAGGACTTTGAGCGCAAGCGAGCGTGGGATTGGACGGCGGAGGAGAGTGAGCGCTGGGACAAGCGCATGAAGAAGAAGGCTGCCCACCGCGACAACAACGCCTTTCAGGACTACCGCCAGGAAAGCAACAAAGTTTACAAGCGGCAGGTGCGCGACCTGGCCCCCGATCTCGAGCGCTACGAGAAAGACAAGATGGCTGCCATCGAGAAGGCTGCCGCGTCCGGCGGCCTCGAAATCATCGAGACTGAAGATGGTGAACTCATCGCTGTTGACAAAGACGGAAGCTTCTACTCTACCGCCGACTCGACCTCCTTTGCCGAGAACAAGCCCGATAAGGCGGCAATCGACAGGCTCGTGGGCGACCTGCAGAAGGCCGAGGACGTTAGGTTGCGCAAGAGGCGCGAGAGAATGGCACAGAATGGCGACGACGGCGATGTCACCTATATCAATGAGAAGAATAAGCAGTTTAATCAGAAACTGGCTAGGTTCTACAACAAATATACGGCAGAGATTAGGGACAGCTTCGAGCGCGGGACTATGATTTGAAAAGATGATTGGTGGTTTTACTGTATTGGGGGCGTTCACACAAGCATGATCAGACGGGGGCCGTACTGGTACACGATTAGATTATACTACTGGCATTCTTCGGCAGGTGGGGAGGGCGTTGGACAGCTATGATACAGTTTATAGGCGTGCATTAATACAACACAAAGCTCAATCGACATTTCAGACCATGGTCTTCCTCCACGATTTGTTAGCTAGCTCCTCGATCTCAGCGAGTTCCACGGGTCCTTTGATCTTCTCATCACCTAGGGCTTCGACGACTGCCTCGGCCACGATGTCTACTTTTAGGGGCTTGACGCCGGCGGCGCCCATAAAACCGCCTAGGACTCCGCGCGTGAACCCGTTAAAGGCAGCGCCTAGCCCCGTCATGGCTGCCATCCCGATAGTGATGGGTCGCGAGCTATCGTATAGGAACGGCGCGCGAATAAAAACACCTCGCATACGTGGGAACTCGCTAGCGATAGTACTCTCGGCCTCACGCTTTGTCGTAATATACCTTGTGGGTAATACAGGGGCACCAGCAGCCGCCGAGATATACGCGAAAGCGGCGACATTTTCACGCGCAGCCTCCTTGGCTAACATAATGGCACTGTCACGGTTCATGCTCTCGTACGTGAGCTGGTTTCGAGTTTCTGGCGGCCGGATATCCTGATTACTGCCTTCCGGCACCTTACGGTCCAGCGGGTTCCCGGGCTGCGGCGCGGACGAGAATGCCTTCCGTAATCCCTCGATGGGCGATTCTTGGCCTCGCAACACGCCTTTATAGTCGGCTTCTAGTAGAATACCGAGGCTGTGGACGACAAAATCGGCACCCTTGAGTAGAGGTGCGTATGTTGCTGGGCGCATGATATCAGCACGCTCCCAGGTCACTTTCCGAGCCCATTGTGGAGGTTTGTCTGATGCTGTAATTGTGTCCCATCTCGGTTCACCTGAACGACTGAAGCTTATTAGTACGATAATATATAATAGTTATTGAAAAATAACTGTGATGTAGTATAGGTACCTTATAGATGTTACGTCCCAACCTCTAGCAACGGCATATTTGCATATTCTAGATCCGACAAATCCGTTCCCACCGCATACTATGAGTTTCTTAGCCGACATAATGAGTGAGCTGAGTTAGCTATAAGCCTAGCTTGCAACTTGAATCCTAGATTATTCAAATTTCATGCAATGAATATTGATTTTTCATTTGAGGAGTCCTTATATTGAAAAATTGGTTCTCCTGCACTTAATTAGGCGTTAGAAGTATATCTTTAATGCTATTTCTCAATCAACGACATCATCAGCTCATGTGTAAGGCTGAGAAACTTTACCACTAAAAATTCCTGGAGGGATGTGAGCAGGGGTATGAATATTAATTTCGATTGGTTCGACCCTGGATAGCCCATAATATAAATATGGGTCTCAAGTAAGGCTGAGAAGATTATTTAGAAAATAAGGTGTACTATCGATAAGATGGTTCTAGCTGCGATTACAATAATTCCATGGGCACTTACCTGACGACTTAGATGTATCTTAGCTTTCTCTAAATTGAACGGTGATCAATTGGGGTAGTTGCCATTATTAAATCATATACTTAAATCATTTAATCACTAGAACTTTAAATTAATTCCACCACCATATATCTTCTACTTCTATTAAACATCCACTATCACCATCAAACATGGCGCCACCTGTAGGCAAACGTGTCAAAGGCGTACAGATCTATCGGCCATTCATCTACGGCACCACCGCGCGTCCCTTCAACGATACCGACAACCCGCGACCTGCCGGCGTTCCCGCCGATCATACGCACTCATGGCAGGTGTTTGTAAAGGGCGTCGACGACACCGATATCTTCTACTGGCTGCGGCGCGTGCAGTTCAAGCTACACGAATCTATCCCGAACCACCTGCGCACCATCGATGCTGAGACCATTATGAAGGAGAATGAAGGCAAGCCTCCATCTCAGCGCCAGAAATCCTTCGTCGTCAACGAGACGGGTTGGGGCGAGTTCGAAATCACCATCAGATTATATTACGATAGCCGCAGCAGCGAAAAACCTCAAACTTTGTATCATCATCTAAGATTGCACCCGTACGGTCGCACCGAGGCCGAAAAAGAAGTCATGCGTAATGGCGGCGAGGTCGTAGCCTGGGTGTACGAAGAGCAGCTCTTCAACGAGCCCTTCGAAGATTTCTACAAGATCCTAACGACCGGTGCGCGCGACAAGAACGCCTCCGCCGGCGGCAAGGGCGGCAAAGGCAAAGGGAAAAGCGCGCAACAGCAGCAATCTAATACCAGTGATAACGGCAGCGAGGTAAAAGAGCGCAGCGCCATGATCCCGCTGACTAACCGTCCGGGCCAACCCTTCAGCCGCGAAACCGAACAGCTCGAGATTAAGAGGCTCAAGGAGGCTGGGGATAAGGTCCACCAGATGGTGCTCGAGATGACCAAGTCGGTCAAGGCAAAGGAGGCCGAGCTCGCCGCCCTAAAGAAGGCGACTGCGGCGGCGGTCGCCTCCGGCGCGTAGGGCGCGTCGGGGACTAGCGGCAGGCGAAATAGTAGAAAGAATGTTATAGCTAAGCGGAAGGATGACGGCAAAGATTACGAGGATGAAGACGAAAACGAGCCGTCGGGGACGCGGCTCATTACGTTGAAGGCTCGCAAGAAACACCTAAAGAAGCTCGCGAGCGGCCGCCGCGTGGCGCCGCATAGGGACGCGCCATCGTAGTCCTGATGAGCGTAGGGGAGAATTCGAAGATGTCGCTGAGATAGACATATAGACCGAGGCCCAGCGGTCTCAAAAACGGCGTTTAGAGTCTAGGGATGGAAAGTCACGGAAGAAGAAAGAAAGGGAAATCATCCCAGTACTGAGTATATTCAGCTCTGAGCTACACGTCTGTGTATTCTGTATAGCTTCACTTATGATGTTTGCACGCATACGCACACGTGTGGCGCTGTACCCAAGTACGAGAGCTTGAGATGGTATTATCATAATCATCATCGCTCACTATATGATTGGCTGGGGGTTAGATGTGGCATGATGGGGGGTATTGAAATGAATATAAACTCAAGGCATTCATCGTGCTAGAAGGAGGCGCTGTCTCTTAAGCCATGCTGGATCGGATTTGTACATATCATACCTCATAGGTACACACTCCTGGGTATTGATCCTTACATTAGGTATACATAGGCAACATACATGCGTTACCTCTTATGAAGAAGACAAAATTACCCAGAGCCACCCATAGTTTGGACATCAACCACTCTTATAAGTTACACATAAAACCCAATTCTCTAAAACCCAGCTCGAAATTTCATTACACGTAGACTTACTTACTCTTAGACTACTCCTTTCTTCACTACAACAAGCACCAGAGTTCACCTTATATATATAAAACACCATCGAATTGCTCATAATATGGTCTTTATTGATTTCAGATTGGAGTATTTCTCTCAAGAGGACTCCAGCCTCGAGCGAGTCTCCATGACACAGCTAGCTAGCTCAGCCGTACCCGGGAGACCCCTTATGTACCAGCACGCTCTAACTCTACCGTACCCTAAATCCCCTAGGTCCCTTATCCTTGACCTTCCTTTTCCCAGTCCTTTCCGTCCATAGTGGCCTCTAGGGCGCAATCCGAGCTTGACATAAGAGAGCTTGCTAAAAGCAGTTTATTTGCTGTATCGAAAAACTGTTGTGTCTGACGCGAGTCTTTCTTTCGTCCGAGCTACCAACATGGTGCTCGACAGATAGACCAAGATAGTCAATCTTCCCTTCAAAACAAGTCGTAATCAATACCCCCATTTTTTATAGACCTATTCGCCTAAAACGCCTCTGCTGCAAAAACTACCTCTCAATAAACATTAGACATTCGGATATCTCCACCACCAGGGCCTTCCCTGCCGTAATGCCTTGTCGTAACGCCATGTGCCGTATTTACAGTCTACTATACTTGTATAGACAAACGAAAAAAAAAATCTTAGAAAGATTGGAATTTTGGTGCTCTATGCGATAGCTTATTGTGTCGCTTGGTATGCGGGGGGTGGAGTGTCTTCCGCCTCCGCCCAAAAGTTTTCGTTTCGCTGCTTCTCGTCATATACACGACGCGCAATCTCGCCTGCCATCTTCATGATCCAAGCCTGCTCGAGGATCACCGATGAGGAATCAGAACTCATCGGCCGACGTCGTTCTAGATTAAATGGGCTCCTGGAAGACGAAGCGAGGGCTTCTAAAATCTTTTCCTGGCGCCGGACTGGAGTACTACTCGCATTGTTCTCTACTGACACGTTCTCCGCCGATGCTACGGAAGCATCCTCAGTGACAGCTGGATTTTTGAACATATCCATGTCCAGGGGCGGACGAGATGGTAATTCCTTCTCGGGCCTGAATCGAATATTACCTGAATACGGTTCTTCATCTGCTGGCTCTTCTTCGGGATCTTCTGGTATTGAAGTCGGCAAGATGGGTTCCGAGAATGGACCAGCAATCGACGTAGCGTCCGATACAGACTCACTAGCTTCGGTACTCGTCTCATCTCCGGCTCCACTGCGGCGCAAGTTAACCACGCGAGTCTTCTTCTTGCGCGAGCTTCTTGAATGCCGACCGGCGCCAAGAGCTAGACCGGTGGTAGCCGAGTGAAGACTAGTTAAAGATGGCCGGGAGGGTATACTGCCCTGATCCAAGCTGCTTGAATCGGTAAACGTGTAGGTTGTACTACTTCCTTGCACGGAATGCGTTCGCATTAGACTAGGCATCATTGGGTTCGGCGTTGAGTAACCGGTATCACTGCGGTCCATCGACCCTGCCCAAGCTCTGAACAAGGCATCACGAATTCCAGGTGTGAAAAGCGATAATGTCCGATGGGAGTCGGTAAGAGCTGCTAATCTCAACAGATTCTTCTGAGAGAAGAGCGACTGCATCTCCGGACCACCGTCCATAGATATCGATGCAATCTCACTAGGATCAAGTACATGTCCATTTGAATCAACTGCTTCCGCAGGTAGATTGGTAAAGGGGTCAATGACAGCTTCATCTTCGGCCTCTTCTTTCGGCACGACTTCTTCTCTCGGTAATTGATCGGGACACCAAAGCCGTAGAGAGAGCTTATGAATTATAGCTGGTAACTCATCCATCATTAAAGTTCTTAACTTTCCTTCAATGGTTCTCTGAAGGTAGTCTCGAACGAACTGGATTGAGTCAAAGGTCGAAGAGACCTTGAGTGATTCAAGAGGATCATTTCGAAAGACTAAGGTAAGACCTTTTTGCTTCGAAAAAACCAAAATAATAAAAGCAGATAGCTTAATCTCAGATAAAGTAATAGATAAAGGTATCGTAAGACTTGATGCAGCCGCTAATGGTTGCGGTGACGTGAAGGTCGGCTTAGCTGAGAGATACGTATTCAAGGGATTTGCCTGTTATAATGATATTAGCAAGGTATCTTATGACGCACGAGCCCTAAAGCTTGGTAATTGGGGAAGCTCAAGAAAAATCTCCGAAGGAAAAAAGCGCGAACCCCTGGTACCCTTAATTACAAAAGATTCATGCAGAAACTTCCAAGAGCTCCACAGACGCGAAAAATGTGTAAGCATCTTTGGTTCCGCGTATATTTGAATAACGGAAAGGGGGCTGGAAAAGAGAAGTAGATAGCTTAGCTGCGATAGTGGGTAATATTTGTGTGATTTGGGATGAAAATGTTTGTGTAAAAAAAAAGTTGGTGTGACTTGAGGAATATTTGCTTTTATGAACGAAGCCATCGACGTAATAAGCTATAGCGCGGAAGCTTCGCAACGCCATGAAGAAGCTTTGATATAAAATTGTAGTATAAAAAAAACCCAAGATAACCACAGTGGGACCCATCAACGACTTCGTTTTTGCCCAACCCCTCATTCTCCGATATAGCAAACGCAACAAATAAGAAAAAAATATATAGCACCTACTTGAACTCTTGTCCGCAATGTCAAGAAGGCATCACCCGAATAACACATCTTGAAGATGCCGCGAAACCTATCCTCGGCCAAGTCCCCAATCTCTAGAATCTCCAGATCCGGCGGTACGGATCCGAGGTTGAACTCGGTAACGAGGATATCATCGACAATTATGGGGGGCTTCGGAGATTTATTGAGTGCGTCCGTGAGGAGCTCCTGAGCTCGCTTATAGAACTCGGCGTCGGCCGTGAGCGGCGACCAGTTGAAGTTGAAGGCCATGGCGAGTGAAGCATTTAGTAGATTCGCATTCGTAACATGTAGGTATGCAAAGCGGTCGGGTGGTTGATAGGTACAGGGGAGAGAAACGAGCGGTGTTGGATTAGGATGGGACTAAAATACAATGCAAGTCGGTGAGTCGGTCGTGGTGGCGGCCGGCCGGGGGGGATTAGTTGATCGGACCACAAAAAAAACAATAACGAGACAGTGGCTGATCGTGTGCGGTGAAATAGACGGTAGTAGGCGGCAGGGTAATAGATCGTATGATAGGATGGTCTTAAAGGTATTGAGTGGATTAATGATGGGATGAAGTGGATTTTGAAAGAGGATCGTTGGAGCTTAGGTCTATGCGAATTGTACGGCCTCTGTTTGGCTCTGTATGGGCTTTGTATGGATTGTATGGGCTGGATCGATCAGATGAATTAGAAATAATTGGAAGATTCGTAGGGCATATGCGTAGGGGACTGGATTGGGGGATTTTTCCAAGGGATTTGTGCAGGAAGAATGACGCTATGCGCAATGCGCTGCGACCCGATGCAGGCTTTATGAACGATGAATGGTGAAAATGTGATAGCGCGAATAGATTTTTTTCCTTCTTTTCCCTCCAGTTGTTCGTGCCTGACGGAGCTGGCAGGCTGGGCTTAGGTGCTGGTTGGTTCCCGAAGATAATAATACGGGTCCTGCGGAGAAAACGCGCTATTCTTAAGAGCGGTTTATGCTCGTCTGTACTAGCCAATCTCGGCAGTAATGCATCTGTGCATCTGTGCATCTGTGCATGTGCACAATGTCCGGGTGGTCTGTGTGCCCTTCCGACTGACGGTTAGGTACAACTGACACCGCCGGTTTTTATTAGCCGTACCGCCACCGCATAGGTGCATAGTCTATGTACATTCCCTACATACATATATGTAACTGCCCTTGCTCTTGCCAACACTCACCACTCTTACCATGTCAAGAAGGGGGAGCACGCGAGCAACACGTACTATAAAAACTTACTTCTTAGGGCAAGGGACCTAAGGAAACTGCCAACCTTTCCCTCGGGTCTAGAATTCGGGTCTAGAGTTGACGCCGGTTGCTGCTTGACGGGTCAATTAGAACCTAACGGGCAACTAGCATCTTGTCTCGCTCGTTCTCCATCCACCCGGACTAGACCTAATGGAAATATTTACCTAGGTATACTCGCGTAGTCCGTAGAATCCGTGTTTGCATTTTTCTCACCATCTTCACCGAGGTGTTTTATGATAGGTAGGTTTTTTTTTTCTTTCTTTGTCATATTTGTTATATGGAAGGGAAAATCTCTGCGTCTAATTTAGAATTTCGCGTGTAACTTGATACGTGATATATCTCTAGGTTAGACTTGTCATCAGCCACAACGGTCAGGATGCTTACATATTTATCGGTGCTATAGTCTCGCCGCCGTCGGGCGTCCGAAGTCGCAAGGATACCCTATATAAGGAGTATAGTAAGACAAGATCTAGCAATACCTAATTTAAAACATTAAATCATTATCCCTTTTAATGTAAACAACCAATCATGACTATACACAAGTTAGGTAGAGATTATATGCAAGAGAAGCTTTATTATGATAACTACCTGTTATATCGTATACTATTATTCCTCGCTTGTTCGAACACCCTTATTATATGTACGGCTGCATTCGAGCATAGAAACTAAACAATACCTCGATGAAAAGGGGATGAAAAAAGAAAAAGAAAAACACTCCCACCAACTCATGGCCTTGCGACCAAACCATATCTATAATCGTGTGTAACGACAGCGTGCCACCCACCCAACCAGATGCTCCCCCAACCCCCCTTTTTAGCCCCTGTATGATTACTCGTAGTATTGATTATCATCTTCTCATAACCGTAAGACATTGCATAGAAGAATGGAAAACAATTAAAAAGAAAACCCCGTGACGTATAGGAAAACCCTCCGAACGCAGCGTAACCACACCTTACTTCTACAACTCTTTAACGCTTCAGCCTCGCGCGAAACGCCGGTGGGATTTCGAGGCCACGTTTAAGACAGTAATCAAGTCTTAGCACGCAAGCGGTTTCTATCGGCGGGCTCTCGCTGCCATCGTACCACCCACCCATGACGAGGTCGTCGTGTCGCTTCTGCCAGTACGACTGTTTTTGAAGCCAGTTTTTCTTGTCTACGTCGGCAAGCTTTATGATGACCGGTGCCTCTTCGTCGATCGGCATGCGGACAAAGCAGGAACAGTCTCGTAACGTCATAGATAACCCAAAATTCGCATCCGAAGGCCTAGTAAATAACGCATCTCCCGAATCGCCTTCTTCTTGCAAGTCCCTAAGGCGTTCAAGCACGCCACTCTCTCTAAGAGCTTTGGCTAGTCGAGCCCGGTCTCGGTCGCTCCACTTAGGTGCCAACTGGTCGATGGTGCTCATGACCACGGCATGGTTCTTATGAAGCAGGCCAAGGGGACACACGGGTGTAGTTATCTTATGCCCTCGCTTTCTCAACTTGCCGTTGCGTAGGGCCTCCCTCGCACAGGTTCGACAACGGGCTGCATTTTCGGGGGCCATCGGGGCCTGGGCCAGCCACTTTGGCTTAAACTCCAGAGCTATGTAGTCTGGAGACGGGCCCATATCTTCCACGAGCATGGCATGCCCAGCTTGGATGATGCTCTGGTCACCCCTAATCCCCTTAGCTCGGAGAGCGTTATCACGCTTAAAGTTAAGAGCATCTGCTACAGCCTGGGGAATCTGGATAAGAATCTGGGGAACGATGTGCTGCCGTCCGACGTGAACGTCGACGAATTTCTCTTGAAAGTCCTGAAGGGTTTCGTAGTCGCACGGCGTGACATCGGGGGTGGCTTTGGGCACACGTAATAGGGTTCCCCGGAAGAACCCCGAGGGAACCGTTGGATCCTTTGGTTCTCTAATGCTGAAGACGGCATTGGCACGACCTTCAGCGAGGTGAGTGAATTCAGACCGGTGGAGAATATAGCTCAACTCATATAGCTCTTTGGGTGTGAGGGCTTGCCCGATACGTTTGGCGCCTAATCCTGCGGGGAGAGGTTTGGAGAGCTCACTCCAAACGTCTTTTAGAGGCTTCATGATGAGCTTCTAGATCTTAAGCGGGTGTAAAACCTCGGGAGAAGTTTGAAAAGATCGAATATGAGAAGAAGCGCATCTAGTAAATTTGTAGTAGTGAGAGATTGTAACAATGACTAGATCGACTCTCTTTGTCCGAGAGAAGCGGAAACTTAAATATTAAACTCTTGAGTTGAGACGACAACAACCACCAGCTGATAACACCTGACTCTCCCTTATTAGGTAGCTGCGTGAGTAGTTGATAGTTAGATGGAGTTAAACGAAGGACTCATGGATGACAAAGAAACAGGATATTGGATATTAGTGACTAAGTAGATCAGAGAAACTGGGCAGGTACAATTATAGAAACTTATATGATTAGGACTTCCAAGTAGTAAAAAGAAGCGGAAGAAGAAAGCTAACCCAAAGACCCTCCCTTAAAAGTCGAACGGTATCGAGACGAACTCGGAAAGGGGAATGGAGAACTGGATCTGGAACTAGACTCCATTTTATGACGTTGAGCTTAACTGCCGCTGGGGAACGCTGGGGACATTGGGGACTTAAAAAACATAGGTACTAAGATCCATTCGATTGTCCAGGTGCGGCTGCGGGCAGCCGAGCTGGAGCCCATGGAGCCATGGAGGCCCATAGTGCGTGTCATAATACCATAGTGCCATAGTGGCGCAGTCCTAGAAAAGATAAATAGCCCTCCCTCTTTAAACTAAAAAGATACTAAAAGATAAATTTAGTAGGTGAGGCCGGCGGTTCGCAAATCCGGTCGAATAGGAAAACTAGATTTGTTTGTATGGTTTGTATGGACAATGGGCTAATGTGGCCTATACTTCGTATGTAATGTAGCTTGCAGATAGGCGCAGATGGGCGCAGATAGGTGCAGACGATGGTTGCAAGGTAAGGTATGTTCCGTGTGACCGACATGATCGAGATTAAATTAAAGCCTGTAAATAGCTTAGCAAGGTTTAATAGTCTACTACCTATGAGGTATGTATGTAAGGTTAGCAAGGTTAAGGTACCCAGTACCAAACTAATAACAAACGGATCATCGTAAAGGATTATGCCGGCTTGTTTATTCGTTGGTTTGCACATGCACGACGATCTAATATCCACCCACTCGGGTATCTGCCTATAACGAACCTAGAAAAGGTATTCGCTACATGGCTTGTCTTGGCTGTCATGGTAAGCAAATAAGAACATTCATGATATTACTATGTAATGATGCTCATGATACTAATAACTGAGGTAAGATCTATTATACCATCTATTGTACCATACATCATGCCCGAACATGTATAAAACGCCTGATATGATCCTTTCTCTATATCATTTGAGGTGCTATCATTCTTGTTTAGCCACCATCATATCCCAGCGGCAGTGAAGCTCAGCAGACTACCAAATGCCAACCCAGCCACAAGAGATAATCCCATGAACCCTCCAGAAGCCTCCCGTTCTCCTTCCTCAACCCACTCACCGGCTGCCATCATGCAATTTGATCCAAGCCAGCCGGTGGTGAAACCGAACGGGAACTGCACTAATAGGAGGTAAAATACATCACTATTAATAACAGCCCCTTTACCGTGCAGGTTGCATAGAGCATAAAGTGGAAGGAATAACAACCGCGCAATGCTCACTACGAATAACAAGGCTGGCCGATCTCGGAGTGGTAGGAAAAGGGAGCTGGCTCTCCCTCCAAGGTCGCCAAGGTTCCAGAAGAAGAAGCCGAGTGGGATGAATGCAGCGGGTTGTAGTAATAGGCTCGCTTCGTCTGGCGGTGTCACAGATAAAATCTTAGGTGTGAAAACCGGGAAGAACATGGCTACGGCGAAGCACATGAAAACACCGCCCGCGAGCCAGTGGAGCTTTTTGAACAGCTTCGGCATGCTGACGACTTTCCGCGCTGCACGTTCTGCGGACTCGATGCTCGTCACCGACGTGGCCATGTGTTCCATCATCCGATTCTCGATAATACGGTTGTGACGGTTAACTAGCGGTATGAAAGCCACGAGCGCTACGATTGATACAATTACCGCTGTAAGGAAGTAGATAAATGCTGCTTTCCCATTTCCCGGTGAAGTTTCTTCTCTGGTCCCGGACGTTGTATTTGCTAGTGGTGCGACAAGGACTGAAATGACTTGAACAAGCGAAGGGAGCACACCTGCTACGCCCTGTCCAGCCATGATCGCTTGCATGTATTCGGGTCTTCCAAAGCTGGCAGCAAACGCGAATGCGCCATTCTGTATCAGTCCTGCCGCCCATGCCGTGAGTGCTACCATTACCAATACGAATACAAGGTACGTCGAGGGTGAGATATCGAGAAATGTAGTTGAGGCAGTTAAGAACCCAAATATAACAACGTTTATGTAAAGAGCTAGATTGATTCGGAACGGATATGACGCTGTGGATTGGATATTGGTTAATACGACCATCGATCCTAAGTTTCCTAGTGTCGATACCGATATAATGGCCGATTGGAAGTTGTCGAGAATCCAATCATCGTCCTGAAAGCGAAGTTGAAAGTAGGGGGCTGCAGCGAGGAACATGTTCCTTTTCAGGTTATTTATTAGCTATTACATCTTCGTAAAAGTGTTTAGAGGAAATGTTGCATACCAAGCCCATAGCATCGCAACACCTAGCAATCCGAAGATGCTATACTCGACCCATGAGAAAGGGATTCCATCACTCTCGATGTGCTCAGGAGGTCCCTCGAGTGATTGCGATTCATCGTTTAAAGGTTGGTACTCCTGCTCATCCTCTCTCTTTCGGAATAATGTACGAAGCCGATCCATGGCGGGTCAGACGTGGTGTCGCTGTAATACGTGCGATACCACTATGATTACACTCAAGACTTCTAAAGCAAACAACCACAGCCGAAATGGAATAGGTTTAGGTAGTAAAGGTGCTACCTCAAAGATCGTATTTACACTTTACATTGCTGTTGAATATGTACGTAATAATGATGACCTCGCAATAAAGTGCAACAATAAATTGGAGGTGAAATGGTAGAATAGGTCATATGCGGATGTCATGGGAAAACAGGGGAGCTAAGTTATTAAGGGCCCTGTCAGCGGTATGACCCTTATAAGCCACAAATGTAAGATCGCCAAGTGGCTCCCCGCGCTGCCTAATACTTAATCTTATCTCAAATGCCAGATGCCGGATACCAACATTTGATGTAGTACATGTACCTAACCTAGTGTAGATATGTACCTAGGTACTTATCAGCATCTTCAATACATCATTTCCATACTAAGACCAATATTAAATATTTACATGTAATGCTGTCAAGACCTAAATACGAGCTACTACACGGGTATATTGGATTATTATCATGGCTTATGTCTGCACATGACAGCAAAGTAAGCTTAAAAGGCTTAAAGGTTAAATCTAGTTCGTTGCTTTTCCATCTTAGCTTTCCATTCCCACTGCAAAGCGTCATCTCCTTCACTCCCAGCCCGGCCAATTCCCTTATCGATGCGCCTAAGCTTAAGTGTTGCCCTCGGACCTAGCTCTTGAAGACCTATAAAGGTAAGAAGTTAGCTACTAATAACGATGCAGTAAGCAGTCGTTGACTCACCTGTTCGAATACTTTCTACTCCCTTTAATTCCTTCCCGTCTGCGCCAACTACACTTTTCTCTGTCGCTCGTTTATCTCGAAAGACGTACCTATGCCGACGCAAAAAGATATAATCACGTTGATTATGTAAGGTAACTACTTGACGACCTTGTAGCTCGGGGGTCTTGGGCCAAAGCGACTGGAAGAGTCTTGCAGTGAGAACACCTAAGGGTGTCTTGAAATTGTTGAGTAGTAGTTCCGGATAGTGATTTGTCGGATTGCCATGACCCGGTAGCTTCTTCCCTTCAACCCAGTTTGAGATACTGAAGTGAAATGTTGGTCCTGAGGGCAGATGGACAATATCCAACCCGATTGGCTTCTTCAAGTCTTCCCTGAGAATCATGACAGAACTAAAACCCCTATTCTCTGCGAATTTGCAGATCTCCCTCACACTATACTTATAACTATACTTATGCGCCGATCGCGGTATATATGTGCTATGCGGAAATAGAGTGCAGAGTAGTCTCGCTTGATCATGCAGAGTCGAGTTGAGAGTAGTGGTAACTAGGACTTTAGGCTCTGCAGGCCCATCGTCAGAAAAGAGCGATGGGAATTTAGCCACCAACGATTCCGGTGTAAGGTCGAGGTTCGTTGAAGTAGTCGAGGGAGCAAGACTATCATCTCGAATAACTTGCTTTGCGCGGGCCTTTGCTGCTGCTTCCTCGTCGGATTCCTCTTCATCGTCTGAACCTAACATACTGTCTTTATCATCATTGTCGTCGTCCTTTTCAGAATCAGATGCCTCATCTAGACCCGCAGCTAGTCTTTCTTCGAGCTCTTCTTGTTGTAAGCGTCGCTTTTTGAGCAGCTGCTCCATATCGACACTTGCGCCCAGCCCATCATCGTCTACGTCGTCCCAGACTCGTTTCCGGTCAATGGTGTCTGGCAGATTACGCGCAACTCTCTCAGCCCTTAGCTCAGGTTCTCTATCTTCTTCTTTCTTCCTTCGAAACCGAGACTCGCGCTTTTCCTTCTCACGGTCCCTCTTCTGCTTGACATATAACGATTGACGATGGAGCTTATTTCCTGTCTTCTTAGACAACGAGGTAGATGATCGTTGTGGGCCCATCGTTCTTTCAGCCAGATCTAGACCGGTTCAGAAGGGGTCGAGGCAGAGCTATCGTGTTCTTAAATTTCTTGAATGTTGATATATACAGTCGGAATGTTTATTGGATGGGAATTGGAAATTCATGAAGACTTCAATTGAATCTAAAAATTTTAGCGGGTCCCGAATCAAGTGGGTCCCTTATCTGCAAAGCGCGTCCGGGCTAGGCTTTAACCGGGGTGATTTTCATGGAGGGGCCGATGGAGGGGTAGAAATTGTAGGTTTAATACTAGCAAATGAAAATTATCGGCCACATTGTGACTCAATTTCAAGCTTTGTTAAGTCGCTTTAATTAGAGTCACATATTTTCCTTCTATAAACTACATGATCCGGGCAATTTGCGCGACTGGAATATCTGCGTTGAGCTTAGTCCCCGCAATTCCCTTTCGCTTCCCTTCTAAGTGGTCCTTGAGGACTCTTGGAATTATTACAAGGCCATCTCTAAATACTTCAATTAGTAACATTTGTAGACCTTCAGTCGCAAACTCTAACCTGAGAGGCTTCACTACCTCGAAGCTAGCCTCATCTTTTAACGGTACACAAATAAATAGCGAAGACGCAAATATGACGACAACTGCTACTACCCTCAAGGGGCAACCCTTGGATCGTCCCGCCCTAGACTCGATGCTTCGACGACGAATGTTTTATACCCCTTCGTTTGAGATCTATGGAGGTGTTGCTGGTCTCTACGATTATGGCCCACCCGGCTGTAGTCTCCAGGCAAACATCATTGATGTATGGAGGAAGCATTTTGTGCTTGAGGAAGACATGCTGGAAGTTGACTGTTCGGTACTGACTCCGCATGAAGTTCTAAAGACAAGTGGCCACGTGGACAAATTTGCCGACTGGATGTGCAAAGATCCGAAAAACGGCGAGATCATTCGAGCAGACCATTTCGTTGAGGAAATACTCGAAAGCCGACTAAAAGGAGATAAGGAGGCTCGCGGCCAAAAAGTCGAGGAGAAAGAAGAAGACCCTAAGAAGAAGAAGCGAAAGGCCAAGGGCGTGCAAGAGGCTGTCAAACTTGACGATGCTGTTGTTCAGGAATACGAAGAAGTATTAGCCAGGATTGACAACTACAATGGCGAAGAACTCGGCGAGTTGATCAAGAAATATGATCTCAAGAACCCATCTTCTGGTGTGCAACCCTCGCCGCCTGTTGCATTCAACTTGATGTTTCAAACGGCTATTGGTCCTAGCAGCAACCTCCCCGGTTACCTAAGACCAGAAACCGCACAGGGACAGTTCTTGAACTTCTCTAAGCTGCTAGAATTCAACCAGGGCCAAGTGCCGTTTGCATCGGCGTCTATTGGCCGGTCGTACAGAAACGAAATCTCGCCTCGAGCTGGATTACTTCGAGTACGAGAGTTCCTGATGGCGGAGATCGAGCATTTCGTGGATCCTGATGGCGGAAAGAAGCACCCACGTTTCCAGGAAGTCAAAGACATTGAACTAGTACTGCTGAATCGCACAACTCAGCTCTCCGGTAAAACGCACGTCGAAAAGATATCCATTGGTAAGGCCGTAACTGATGGCATCGTCGACAACGAGACTCTTGGTTACTTTATGGCCCGAATTCACCTATTCCTTAAGAAGATTGGTGTTGATCAGTCCAAGATTCGCTTTAGACAGCATATGGCGAATGAGATGGCTCACTACGCTGCGGACTGCTGGGATGCAGAACTTCTCACTTCTTACGGATGGGTTGAATGTGTTGGATGTGCAGACCGTAGTGCTTACGATCTGAGTGTTCATGCTAAGAGGACCGGCGCCCCCCTTATTGTTCGCGAACAACGGGCTGAGCCGCTGGTTATCGAGGAATGGGAGGTTGATCTGAACAAGAAGAAGTTTGGTCCCCACTTCAAGAAAGATGGTAAGACAGTGGAGGCTGCTGTTTTGGCGACTACGCAGGACCAGCGAGAAGCACTAGCAAAGGACCTGAGCGAAAAGGGGAGCATCACTGTTGAAGTTCCTGGTGTTGGTGACGGAAAGGCCGAGATCCCGAAGGATCTTATCACTATCGAGCGACGCACACGAGTTGAGCATGTTAGGGAGTACACACCCAATGTCATCGAACCCTCTTTTGGTATTGGTAGAATACTTTACGCTCTTATGGAGCATAATTTCTGGACTCGAGGCAGCGAGGGCGGTGACGAAGCGCGTGGCGTATGCTTAATTCCTTTCCCATAAGATAATGAATATGCTAATTCTATATAGGTTCTCTCGTTCCCGCCAACAGTAGCCCCCACAAAGGTGCTCATCGTTCCACTATCATCCAATGAACAGTTTAGGCCAGTTTGCTATAAGCTGTCTCAACGACTTAGAAAAATAGGAATCTCTAGCCGTATCGACGATTCTTCCGCAACGATCGGAAAGAGATACAGCCGTAACGACGAACTCGGTACGCCACTTGGCATTACGGTTGATTTTCAGACTGTTCAAGATAGCACGATCACACTGCGAGACCGAGACTCGACTAAACAGGTTCGTGCAGATGAGGATAAGATCATCGCCGCGATCCAGTCCGTAGTTGACGGGAGCAAGGAGTGGAAAGACGTTGAGGCTGAGTTACCCATTTTTGAAGGGCAAGAGATCGAAATCGCTACTCGTTAAGTGCATGACATAGATATTTCGAAACGCTATTTATTGCAAAGGCAAAATAAGCAGGAGGCCTCAGTCGCAACCAAGGCCAGATAGACAGATCATGGATCTTAAAAGGCTTGTTACTGATTTTCTTTCTCAGATGTAGTTTCAACTGTAGATCTTGGCCACGTGCGGGTTCCCACCGGCTAACAGGGGTCAAGCAACAAAGAGGTTCTACCTGAGAATGGTTCTACAAATTACTAGGTTACAATAGTGCTGCTCTAGGGATCTACAATTGTCTGCTTCTGCCTGATAACTTTTAAGTATTATGTAATGTGAGTTATAGATCAACAGTCTCGAGAGATTTTCGGTGACAATCAAGATGTCCTATTATGGGGTTAGAAGTTCTTGTGGTATTCTAATAGGTAGCAAACCACGTAGTCCGCAACCAATTACGCGCAGCGGCTAAAGCAAGGGGTGGTTCGACGGCATTGCCAAGCCCTAGCATTTCTGCGACAGATCCGCATACTGGCGAAACCAATGCAAGAAGGGTAGTGTCTCTACCTATTTCTCAATACCTTAGTACCGCAGCGAGATTCTAGAAAGACGAAACCGCTGGTTCGCCGCAACGGACCCCAAGCGCGGTTACGATCGCCGAGAATCAGCTGAGGTTCGCTGCTTTGGGGGCACATTTCTACAGAAAGACCGCGGCTAGGCTGTGAGTGAAACCGTCGTACACCTAACCCGTTGACAAGACTGGGTTGGGTAAGACACATAAGGAGGTGCTTCGTGGAGTTTTCTTGGGGGCAGTCGATGGATGAGGAATTATTACTATTGTCATCCCGGGAAGGAAAAAAAATATTCGTTCTGATTTGAGCGTTCCCGGCCCGTTGGTTGTTTGCGGGAACCCTTGCGCGTTGGAGTTGTGCTCCTCCTCATACCTGCATAGGCGAAGGGATCTAAGCCTGTTCTGCTCGACTCGTAGAGGGTTAGCTGCCACCACCCGCGGTAACACTCGGGACGCCTAACAATGCTATGACGGGAAGAGATATGAGAGTCGGCGAGCTTGGGTCGCGTCTTTCGTCTTTTCCGCCCAGCTGACCAATATTGCCATCATATATAGTCTAAGCGGACTATAAGACTAATATGTGTAGTATTAGTGGATCGCAATTCAGTACACCGCATCGTTCATATGAGCGAGTCTGTAAGTGTCGTTTAATAAGCTCAAGTGAACGAGAACCGCCTGGTAGTTAGTAGGAATAAGCCTCCTTTTATCTAGGACATGCTGACAGCCAGAGCTGCTGCCAATAATTTATATGTTGGTATAGTTCATCGGAATTTGGTAGGTGACAAGGACTCTTTAGGATGCACAATGAGCCGCAGCATGTGGTAGGCTATTGGTCGCCTCTAAAGGTAGTCAAGATGGGATAAACTCATATGTGACCCTGAATGAAACAACGACACAAGTAATTCCAGCCTCGAGGCATCTCGAGTTACCGCCAAGAACTATCGCCCAGAATTACTCGGGTCTTGTTTTTCGAGTCAGCACACCTTAGGAAGGAAAATCGATGATCTTTAATAGAACCAATGTGGCAAACATATCTAGGTACCTATATATTCGTATAGGGAGTATATATACCTATACGTATATACATACATATGGTTGGCGCGTCCGAGAGGAAAAGTTTGGATGATAAGCTGGGTACAACCAATGTATGTAAAGATGGTGAGGTAAGGCTAGGAATTCTCAGAGGATCGTCATTTGTTTAACTAGCGTTTATTAGCGTCTTCAATATCATTGAAACCACTAAGGCCGTGACCACCTTTTATATCCATGTATCTGAGTACATGTTGGAGGTATCCGCTTTGCCGAAATGAAAGCGATCCGCTCCTTACAAAATAAGATATATCAGATGTACATAATACTTATAAATCCCCTGTGGTTTTAGGGGAGACCCTTCCAACGCCAATCAATCAATCATTCCTTCATATAGCGGTACCTAAAGTTGAAAGCCCCCCCCTCCAACATGAACCCCTTTCTCCTTTGCTGACTAGACATCCCATGTCTTACATTTCACCTTCCCCCGGGCCAAAACTAGGAACTGTTACTTTTTCCACACCCACACACATAGACAAAATTCCTTATATTAGGACATCTAATCAGTCGAATACGGTCGACTAACTTATACGTTTTACTACGTTATTTGTTTAGTCACCTCACCTCTCCTCGACGAGCAAGCAAAGCGTCGACACATGAGGTGCCAGCTGATGGATACCGAATATTCGACACCGCATTAATGCTTGGGTTTCGGATGTGAAGTCGACCCCTTCATTTTTTTTGTTTCTCCCGACCGACCGAGATTCCGCTTCGAATCGACTTGTAGACAGATCGGCCTTAGTCACAACCTTTCCTTTCCTGTAGACCTTTCCTGTAGTGGTCACTGCTCTCGAAAGCGATTTAGCTCCATTGCTTAGCTATTTTATTTTATCTGGGCAAAAGCCGAGACGTACAACATATGCTGAAATCGATTTTTGATTACTCTCTTTTCTCGACATATCTTGCGATTTCTGTCGGTGTGAGTTGACCGAACCCCTCAGCTGTCATTTTAAATTGAGTTGGATCTTTTCCAGGATTGATCTTAGGACTAACAGATGTGGCGCTCTAGCTTCGGATCGAACAAAGCCGCCTGAACTAGGCTTTTCCGCTCATAAACCCTGAAGGCGAAGGCGAAGGCGAAGGCATTGGTTTTTCTACATTGTAGGAAACCACCATCGTAACTGAATTCTTTAGGCTTTGTCCACAATGGCGGCGCCGAACAGGTACGTGTCTTTCAATCAATTCACATGCGATCAAGCCGACTACCTCTATTCCATGTCCATGGGCGCAACTTACTTCATTGTCAAAAAGGGAGGTTCCAGACCCGTGAACCGGTCCCAGTTTGATCCTGATCTTAGTGATAAGAAATGAGTTATCCCTCATAAAGGTTGATTTTCAACACGCAGCATACGTGGTCATATTAAAAAGAACATATCAGCTGATTATGGAGAACTATAGTGGACTTTACAACCAGCAGTTTATGAATCCCGGCCCCGCTCCAAGACCACCGACCAGTCAACAACAACAACAACAACAACAACCACGTCTCAACCTTACTCCTAGCACTAATTATCCAGGAAGCATGACGAACGTAGTTTCGTCACCTATTACGCGCACCGCGACTTCTACATATACCGGGTCTACCATATCTTTACCATTGGCTCGTGAGCGATCGAACCAGGCAGATGGCATGGGAGGCGTCGCGGTTATAAAGGAGGGCTGGGCGCAGGTCAAAGAGAGTAGGAACTTTATCCAGCCATGGAAGCAAAAATATCTTATCCTGCGCAAGGAAGCTCTCGACTTTCACAAGACCGAGGGTGGCAAGGTTTCTTATACTCTTTTTCTAAAGGATGTCGTCAACGTTGGCCGAGTCGAAGCTGCCGGTACCATCTTCGAGATCAAGAGACACGCACAAGGGACTTCCAACAGCCCTGGCGATGACGATGGCACTATCAGAACCTTGCATATTAGGGTTAAAAGTGATGATGATCTCTACGATTGGATTGACCTTTTATATGGCCGGTGCCCGACAATGGGTGGAGTGAGCAATCCGACCAACTTTTCTCATGCGGTTCACGTCGGTTTCGATCCGCAGACGGGACAATTTGTAGGATTGCCACCGGAATGGTCGAAGTTGCTGAACTCTTCCGCAATTACCAAAGAAGATTATGAGCGAAATCCTCAAGCCGTTTTCGAGGTTTTGGACTTCTACTCGGATCTCACTAAGAGAGCAGAGAATCCTCAGCAGTTTCCAAGTCTTACCCCAACGCCTCCTCCTGGTAGTCAGCAGAACAAGCAGCTGGGATATGGCGGCGGTGGTACTTCTGTCGCGCCCCCGCGGCCGATGCCACCCGCGCAGCGCAGCTATAGCAATGGACCGTCGCAGCAACCAACTACTATTCCAATACGACCAAATCCCCCAGACATGTCTCAGCAGCGACAGCCAGCACAAAGCGTAGGCGGTAGTTACGGTCAGTCACCGGATGCGGCGCGCGAAGAGCAGCGCAAGAAGCAGCTTGAGCTCCAAAGGCAGCGCGAGATCGAGGAGCAGAACCGACGGGATCTAGAAGCTTATAATGCTTCTATTCCACAGAAAAAGTTGCCTATGGCCCAGCAAGAGCTTGGCGGATACGGCGGCGGATCTTCCGGTTCAGCAGACCGTTACAACCCTACTCGAGCAGCGCCCCCTGCTCCCAAAACAGCCAATCAGCAAGTTGGCGGTCTTCGCGCTCAACGGCCTGCTCCACCAGCGCCCAGTGCCTCGGCGTCCTCGACTGCTAACAGGCCTGCATTGACTTCTCAAACAAGCTCGAGCTCCATCCAAACTTCGCAATCCAGCCAAGCACAACGTATACCACCACGAAACGACCAGCCCTCAACAGCCCCTCGATATCCGAATAACGCCAATGGTGCTCAGCAGCAACGAGCGAATGGCCAGGCTCAGAACCAGGTACAGGCACGTCTGCCTGCTACTGTTAAGCCTCTAAATGTCCCAGCCAAGCCCAGCCAAGCCCAGCAAAATGACGGTGTCAAGGCTGCAGAGGCTGCGTTAACAGCTAAGCCGACAGCGGCAGAGAGGAAGCAGGATGTTCGCATGTCTACTATGTCCGAAAAGGAGGTCATGCAAAAGCTAATTGAAGTCGTCTCGAAAGATGACCCTAACTTGTCGTACTCCAAACAGAAGAAGATTGGACAGGGCGCTTCGGGCTCGGTTTATGTGGCGAAAGTCAAGGAAACCGCTGTTTCTGGGGTTGCTCGAGAAGTTCTTCGTTCTCAGGGAGCCAGAGCTCAGGTTGCTATTAAGCAGATGGATTTGGCACACCAGCCACGCAAGGAGCTCATCGTCAACGAAATTATGGTCATGAAGGATAGCAAACACCGAAACATTGTCAATTTCCTTGATGCTTTCTTACGGAACAACAACGCCGAATTATGGGTCGTCATGGAGTACATGGAGGGTGGTGCTTTGACGGATGTCATTGATAACAACCCGGTCATTACCGAGGAACAGATCTCGACAATTTGCCTCGAGGTAAGTGTGTTAAAATTTTTATCATTTTGGCTTTGCTAACGAGACTTGAAGACTTGCTCTGGATTACAACATCTGCACTCTCAGAACATTATTCACCGTGATATTAAGAGTGACAACGTCCTTCTAGATGCTCGCGGAAACGTGAAGATTAGTAAGTTCTGCAGATCCCTTCTTCTTATGCAGGTACTAACAAAATATTAGCTGACTTTGGTTTCTGTGCCAAGCTCACCGAGACAAAATCCAAACGAGCAACCATGGTGGGAACTCCTTATTGGATGGCTCCCGAAGTCGTCAAGCAAAAGGAGTATGGCCCGAAGGTCGATATCTGGTCACTAGGTATCATGGCAATCGAGATGATCGAGTCAGAACCGCCATATCTTAACGAAGAGCCTCTGAAAGCTCTCTACCTTATTGCAACCAACGGTACACCACGCCTAAAGAAGCCAGAGAAGCTCAGCAAGGAACTGAAAGCCTTCCTGTCTGTCTGTTTGTGCGTGGACGTTAAGAGTCGTGCTTCGGCGGATGAACTCCTGCAGCACGATTTCCTGAAGCACGGCTGCCCGCTCGGGAGCCTCTCCGAATTACTTGCATTCCGAAAGCATGCCAAATAAACAAGCATGGTTAATTACAATATTTTATCCCCCTAATTTCCCCCCTCCGACGTAAAGATCATCTCATGTTTGTTAGTGTTAGGGTCTAGGAGCTGCTTGTCGATTCCCCTATACCCTTCAAGGTTGCGGGCGTTGGCGGATAGCAGTTCATCTGATTCATAAAGGTTTGCATGAGATGCGGTCACGATTTGGAACATATAGACGAGGCACTTGCATGATTGACATGGATATACGGTATATCCATGGATTGAGGCTGCATCATGGGGACACGGTAACACGTGTGGCGTTACCGGGTCCCCGTACTAAAGACACGAATAGCACCCTAACCTAGGTTCATAGCAAATGGCTGGTTGCATAGAAGAGACTTGCGGAGACACGATCAATACCACGGAGAGTTTGGAAGCTTTTACCTTTGGAGGCGTGTGCTTGTGCGGATGCTTGTGCGTATACTTGTGCGTGTGTTTGAGGCTCGATTTTGCGAGCGTAGGCGTACGGTAATGGTAATGCGTAACCTGATAGTATAGATATGCAAATCAATCCAGACATGCGTTCTAAAAGCTTGTTCGCTAACTGATTCCTTTCTACATGGCTATCGTGGTTATAATATATCTCTACCCGGTATTAAATATGTTGGCAATGGATACTTGGTGTCCACTTAGCGATTCGATAGTTCGTATACCTGCTTACAGCTGGGGGCCAAAATAATATAAAATCAGTATAATTGGTTAGTTTGTATTCTTACGTGGTATTTGCAGCTAATGTTCGTTACAAAGAACATACGTGGCCCCCTTTTATAGTTGGTTCTAGTATATTGCTGCGTTGTCTTTATAGTTTGAAAAGTGAACCCAGACCTGTTTATACATGTAGTTGTATCTGGATGTGGCATAAGTAGGTAATTTGATGTTTAAGTGTTCAAGTGCTAATGTAATAGGTGTAATAGGTGTAATAGGGAATCCCAAAGCTGCTAGCAAAGTGGTCCGTGCCGCACTAGCCGCAAAGTGCGCATTGTAGGTTAGGTACCTTAGGAGGTAGGTATGTAGGTGCGCAGTACCTACCTAGTATGCAGGTATGGTAATATTATCTGCTAAGGTCCATTCTATTCCTATCCTTCGCAATCCAGAAACCTGGAACATTATATTGTCTAACCCATTTGCTTTTCTAACCCCTAGCAAACTCTTTTGATTTTATTTATTTATTCTTCGTCCGAATATACCTATAGGTACCTGCCTATTAAGTACCTACATGTGTTATATTATACAGTATTTATACTCATAGCATAGGTAGCTATTCATGATGTATTTCAACTATGCCTCGGCGCAGTTCTGTCCCAGTTCTGTCCCAGTATGTTAAAGCGTACTATGCAACAAGGTAGTCAGGTTGCCTCACTTGGCTGACTAGGTTGCCTTATTCCAATTACTCAACAGCTACTTAAGGTACTGCCCCTCGGAGAAGTCCTGGTTAGAAGCATCCTGCAGTGACTGCAGCCTGCCTACATAGTCTATCCTATGATCTTTATCCTTACAAGGTATCTACATCTTACATTACTTACCTACCTAACCTAAGGTATCCACGGTGTGACTAGAGAGCACAGTCATAAGTTCGGCATATTTCCCTCGCCTTCGAACATTCATACTCTTTGTCTCGTCACTGTCACTAAATCATCATCTATTAATACTTTGCACCCTTCCTTACAGTTTTAATGCACAGAATCTTTTAACGCCGTGATACTCTCACTTTACATCTGATACTTAGTTCGAAGTGTACATCTGATTTTTTTTTTTTTTTTTAGTTCTCAGCTTTACTCTTTGCAATATCGTATATACCTATCTAACCTAATCTAAGGCAACAATGAGCTGCGAAAAAATGATTGCATCAAATGCGAAGCCCGTATGGTCGCGACTGGCCAAGGGTTTCCGGAAAGGATTAAAAAAGAAGGTTAACGACGAGGCTGAGAAAGAGAGCCCATCTTCAACGACTGCAGCAGTGGATGAGACTATGAAGTGCGAAATCAAGCATCTGGACCAACGCTGGAACGAAAAAGACGAACAATATTTTGCCGAACGGAAACAAGAAGTTGAGAAGCCTGAACAGAAGGATTGGTGGCGTCTGTTTGCCTTTTGTGTTGTTAAGCACTATTACGACGACGACGAGCTCGATACAACTCGCTTATATGTGAACCCCCAACCACTCCGGCAATTACTTAAAGATGTTATTGGAGATTACCCGGACGACCCCATAGATGTTGATGATGTGCAGATCGAGACGCCGTACTATTCGCTGTTCCACTATCGAAAGCAGCTGGAGTCGGAGGGTCTAGATCGGTTCAAGAACGACGAGGACTCCAAAGCTCAACTGGAACTGCTTATGAACTGGATCAAATCTCACTTCGAGAATGATATTTCTGCTTACGAGAAGTGTATTTCTGGTCTCAGAGCTATATCTTACGAAAGTTTATGGACTCTATTCCCGCCAAATAAGATCGTACACGCCAAAGTACTCAACCAAAACCGCGCATTCCGTGTCCACAGCTGCTGGTATGAGGAGGGCGATGACCCTCACCTAAAACTCTGGGCTAATTTCATCGACTTCGATGGCAACGCGCTTGGTACGAGGAGGGCTGAGCTGTCTATTAAGAAGTATGCGGGAACGCGGCAGCTGACGGAGCTTACTACTATCCCGCTTGACCTCCAAGACGATAGTGTCGAGATTCGTGCCGAGTTAATCGAGCGTGGCAGGAAATTCGAGAGTTATATAGGGCAACACTTTGAGCAATACAACGGTGTTGGGCTCAAGAAGACCGAAAGGGGCTATGCAAGATTTAACGTCAAAGGGCGCATAATGATTGACTGCGAAACATACCATAGGTTCGAAGCCGATGACGCATTCGACGTCGAAGAATTCGGGAAACCTACGAGCTCTATCAATTCTAGTCATAAGACGACTATAAATGAAATCGATTTTGTGCGCGAGACGAAGACTTTCGATAAGTTGTCTGACGACGACGCTTCGATTACTAACGCCACAGTTCGCGGGTATGCGTTTGGAGTTAAGCAATTCCTTGAGTTCTTCGTTGATAAGATTTCGCCTATTGAATGGAACATTTACTGTTTCGACAATCTCGTGCTCGACCCGGCAACAAAAAAGACCGTTCAGGCCGTGGTATCTACGCATTCAAGCAAGCGGGACGGGTTTGACGATATCGTGAAGGGGAAGGGCCAGGGGCTCGTGTGTGTGCTCCAGTACGTATTCCCAAATTTCCTTATCCGTTATTAGATTTGTCATGAGGATCCAGCCTTATTTAGGATATCCCCAGTAACGTTCGGTATCGGACTATGTTACATTTAAGACACATATCATGATATTTGAGGGTAATATTAGCTAACCGTGATATTCGAATAGTGGCCCACCCGGTGTTGGTAAGACGTTAACTGCCGAGTGTGTAGCAGAATACGTCCAGCGACCCCTATACATGGTCTCGTCCGGCGATTTAGGTGTAAACAGTAGTTATCTAGATCTTAATTTATCACGGATCATGGATCTCGCCTCGACATGGAAAGCAGTGCTTCTAATAGACGAAGCTGACGTATTCCTCGAACAACGATCACTCCACGACGTGCAGCGGAACGCGATGGTGAGCGTTTTCTTGCGAGCGCTCGAGTACTATGGTGGCATCCTATTCCTCACCACGAACAGAGTCAGTACGTTCGATGAGGGCTTTAAGAGTCGCATCCACGTTCCGATTAGGTACACGGACCTTAGCTCGACGTCGCGCCTGCAGATCTGGCGTAATTTATGTAACCGCGTGCCCGGCGGCGTCGAACTAAACGAGGAAGAGTTTCAAGACCTTGCTGAGCACGACCTCAACGGTCGCCAGATCAAAAACGTCATCAAAGCCGCCGAGAGTCTCGCTGCTTTCGACGGGGTGAAAGTTGATTACAAGCAGCTAAAACAAGTGACTAAGATTCAAGATACGTTCGAGAAAGACCTGACGAATATAGGTGGTGTGGACTATACGGCGCCCGGGGAGTCAAAGAAGAAGGGAGAAGGGTTTAACATGTTTATGTGAGGTGCGAATTAAGTTTATCAGAATAGCGAAGGCCATAGGTGCATGAAATAGGTGCATGCAAGGCCGTGGGCGCCTATGAACAAGGAATTACATGTGTATATGGCAAACTTGTGATATCAGCGACGGATGTATATACAAGTGAAAGTTATGTGCAATGAAATTTCCCCTCGGGGGAGTGTGATGACGGTTGGTCGTGTATTTTCTGTTGACATTGAGGCATTGAATATGTAGAAATAGTGTATCACTAATGGATTTCAGCACCTGTAAGAATAAGGAAGTTATTGCAAAGTAGCCCTGACTCTCATATAGTTAAACGAAGAATTTGTTCAAATACTGCCATGTGTTCGAAACTACCTAATGCACTCTTGTCCGAAGTTATTTACGGCATGGTTTCTGTAAGCAAAATAATAATTAGCCTATGAATATGTACTTGTAGTATAATCAATGCGCAACGGCACCTCGTAGTGCTGCACAAGCAAAACGGATCATCTCAGCCTTCTTAACCTTCTCAACGACACGTATCCCAGCTGCCATTCTCACCATGAGGTTTGTACCATTCTGTATGAGTGGCCAGGGCAACTGGATCGGCATCGCCGTCCGCCTTGATGAACAACGTCTCGTACGGATGGGCGATCCTATTATAGAAGTGCTGGTACAGCACCGATTCTTTAGCCCAGTCTTTGGAACAGTCATCTTCGTAGCTTCCGGTCTCGTGAAACGCTGCTATCATGGCGTCGACGTTGTATCCTGCCTTCTTGATCACATACGTCGCTTCGATCTCGCCGCGGGATGCTTGCGCCTGGCTCTTGTAGCAGCCTCCTAGCGCGACGATTTGGTTGCTGCCGTGGTGCTCGGGCGGGTTTAGCAGAAGTTCCATGCCGACTGAATCCGTAGCCCAGATCGTGGGGTGGATGTGGAATTTAGGGTGGCAGGTTGCTGTTGTTCCTACGAGCTAGACATAATGTGTTATTGGTATATACGATTCAGCTTGGATTTTAGGGCAGTGCTATTTACCTTGACGTCCTTGGTGACGCGGCTTAGAAACGCGTCGCTCCAGCAGCTGCGGCTCCAGTATGGCATGAAGGGCCCTCGGATACCGGAATTGAGCATGATGAAGCTGTTGTGCTTCTTCCAGAGTCCATCCTTGCGGAGAACTTCGCCGTGGACACCTAGACCGAAGCATTTATTTGGTTGCGAGATGATTTCGATATTGGCCGTGCTGGGGATCAGGTTGGCGACGTTGGTGGGTCCGTTGAGGATGAAGATGAAGTCCGCGCTGCCATCTGTAGTAGGTTGAGTTAGTGAGGTGTAGCTGTAGTACGATCTCGAGTAATAGGATCTATTCTTAGCTCGCCTTCACGTAGTAGACATCAATAGCACATACAGCCTAACCACCATCTTAGGGGGTTACTTACGCAAGCCATGTTCGACGAAAAACATCAAGTTCTCTCGAGCAGTCGGGGACTCAGTGTATGCATAGGTGATGAGTGGACCAGTAGAATCGACAACAGGATGTTCAACGAGGGGATGAAGACCGGAAGGAGAGGTGAGATGAATAGGCTCCTTCAAATCGATTGATGCTTTACCTTCGGTCTGCGAATATTAGTCTTCTTCGTTGAGATAGGATTTGATCATGGGGTACAGTACATACCGCATAGTCATTCTCATGCGAGAACTTGACGAAACCATAGAGACCTGTAAGGAGCATGAATACAATAGTGAGAAGGGTAGGATAGCAAAGTTCTCCCGCCATCTTGACTGTCGGTTCTATCACAGAATCGAAGGTGCCTTGTTTGAGATTAAATGAAGGAGGTTGTTGTCACGTAGTAAGAAAGTGATCTTTTGTGATCGAAGGGGGGTATTAGGTGCGAGGTGTTAACGAGGTCCCTAATCTCGTCTCAGGTCGAACAAAATCAGGACGAGTCTTATTTTGGATAAAGACTCAGTTAGCTTAAGGATGGAGGATGAAAATAAATCTCATTATTTTCTGTAGCAAGAGAATGGATTTATGAATTTATCGTGGAAGTCACGCTGTGATCATACCTAAACGGGATAGGTTCGGAGCACCTGCAGGTAGACCCGGCCCCGGCGCCGGAAGGAGACTCGGCACCTGCCCGGAATGCTAGATATGTGCCCCTATATGTAGTAAGGACCCCTCATGTACTTATAATCCTTTGTAATTAAAGGTGCACTGATTGTACTAAGCATCTGGATATACAAGAGTGGATATCCGAGGGTCTAAAAGATACCTAGATACCACAATCACCACTCAACTGCGTTGATCCCATCAATCTTACTTGCAAGTACAAAACTACCTGTTTTAATGGACACATAATAAAACGATAAAGCCTTTTGTGGTCATATTATCTAATCGAAGTATAGAGGGAAGGGCCTAGTTCTATTTTGAACGACCAGGGTTTTAGATTTACATCGTATTATTGCTTGATTTAAGGGGGTAAATTCCTAAGTTGGTCTTCCTCCTTTCACTAGAACTCAGCAGAGTCCACCTCGTCTTAATAGGGGCCACCAAGTGCTTGATCAACATTATTTCAATTATACAAAGTTCATTCAACTCAATACCTTATAACAATAATCTGAATAAGTAAACCAAACAGCGCTACGATTCTCTACTTTACCTTCACAAATATCTTCCCAGTAGCCCTATTTGATACCATCCTTTCGTAAGCCTTAAAAGAGCTGTTAGCAATAGAAGCTAGTTTTACATTCAAGTGAATTTACCTGCAGAGCGTTGTCCATTTCGAAGGTGGAGTCAACAGGAATCTCTTTAATCCATCCCTTTTCAATCCATGCCGCAGCATCCTTAGCTGAATCGCTGCTTGGACGGCTCAGAATATTTATGTGTGTACGTGGCGTTCCTCCGAGTATGACCGGCCACCACTTGCTGAGCTTGAAATATCCAAAAGGGCCTGCTTCGATGTCCAGATATTTCCCATTAGGTTTCAGATATTTAGGAGAACGGGTATATAGCGGTTCATTTTTTATATTGTTGAAGATAGCGTCGAAAGGCCTGTTTCCTGGTTCCGCACATACGGAGGTAAGGTAGTCGGGGAGGGACTTGTGAGCGTTATAGTCTATAACCTATAAGGAAACTTATGAGAATTTTGCTAATTTTGTGCCATTTCATGGGGTATTAAAGATTGATATATCGTCATGATTAACGTACCTCTTCAGCACCCAGCCTTCGAACGAACGCCTCATTCTTCGCCGAGCAGATAGCTGTGACATGTACACCCATTCCACGGAGTACTTGGATTGAAATACAACCCACACCACCACTGGCGCCATTTATTAAAACCTTGTCGCCTTGGTGCAAATTGGCGGCTCGCATTATCACAGCGTTCGTTTGTCCAGCAATTCCCAAGAGCCCAGCCGCGACGGATTCGTCGAGACCCTTGGGCTTCTCAACGACTGTATGCGCAGGAAGTACTAGATACTCAGATAATGCACCAGCACCACGCCACATATTCATCAGTGGCACTGTGCCACCAACAATCATGCCGACGCGCACATCCGAGTGCGATTTAGGGGTCGTCGGTCCAATTTGAATGACTTCCCCGACGAAGTCCATACCGGCGATGGTATTCACCCTACACGGAGCTGCCATGGCCATTACTTTGATCTCGCCGGGATTGAGTGCTGCGTACGAGACTCTGATCATGATTTCTCCAGTTTTGGGTGGCGTCGGAGTCGGCCAGTTAGTCTTTAACTCAAGGATACCTGGAAGTTTCCCGGTCCGGGTGACGATCCATGCCTTCATGGTCTTCGGTATGTTAACCATCGTATAAGAGCTGCAAGATAGAAACTACCTAGGCAAAGGGATATAAATTTTGGTATGCATGATTTCAGGATTAGGAGTACAGCATCTACGAAGGTCTTTATATCGGCGAATAAGCCTGGTATTCGACAACATACTGGAATAGAGCCGCTGTATCGCATTTGTCAACATGTGCGAATGTGGTGATATAATGGTTCTACGAGTTTGGTATCTGATGCGGCTGATGCGGTTAATATAACCGCTTACGATCCGATGGTTAAAAGGGGTAGCGGGATCCGCATCTAGCTTATGAATGGGCGGATCTAGATGCCTATTTGGGAACACACCATACTTCTCGGCGGCATTATAACCTCGATCGGGTCGGCTCTGATATAATAGTCTGACGTACTCATACAAGTAAATTGTTCTTGTATGTTATCTGATAGGCTGTTATAATGTCGGATATACCTGTTATTGCGGCTAGAGATGATGAGTTTCGTGAGCATCCGAAGCGTCGACATAAGCGTACTCGAACTGGCTGTGAACGATGTCGCGCACAACACCGCAAGTGTAAGTCAATTATTGATAATGTTAGAAGAGATGTTTTAATATAAAAGAAATAGAATATGCTAAATAAATTATAGGCGACGAAGAAAAACCACAGTGCCGCCGTTGCACTGATTCAGGGGTTTCGTGCAAGTATATTACACGCGTGTCTTTTCTAGAGAAGAACTCTCGGACGCTTCCAGGTTCTACTTCTCCGAGGCCGTCGTTAACTGTAGCGACGCGTGAATATCCTGCTTTGGAAGTAAGTTGATAATCTATTGATTATCATTTTAATACTGCTATTAGAAAGACTAGTTGACGTAATATCATGGTTCCTAGTTTATCGTCGACAAGGACTGTTCCGTCGAGAGAAGTACTTCTGATTCGCCTTCTGCTTTGACGGTGATAAACCAAACTACACAGCCCCGAAGAGAGGATGTCGATATTGAAAAGGCCTCAGAATTGCGACCTATATCCCTAATGGCTTACTCACAAGCTCAGCAAGATGAGAACGATAATTTACAACGGGAAGATACCCAGAATCTAGATAATACATGGCCCCTAGCTGGACGTAGTTCGCTTTCACACGATGAAGTCGATCTTCTGAAATATTATAGCCATCATATTGTCCCTTGGGTAAGTCTCTATCCTCAATAAACTCTAACCTGGAACTGATTATGCAAACTCCGAACGCATGTTAACGTGTAGCTGGACGTATATGACCAAGCTCAAACATTTGGCCATCTTTTTACCCGCCTGGCAATGGTTTCACCTTGCGTGCTAGACGGAATACTCCAGGTTTCGGCAGTATCTTCAGGTCGTCCGGTAGAGATTATACAACGCCGTGGTGTCGGCGTTCTTCACCTTCGGGCCCTTTCAAATCCGGCCGCCGCAGAAACTGGGCTTTTGGAATATCGACTTATGGCCGGTTTTGTGTTGATACGAACACGCATTTTCGCCCAGGATGCTCCCGAGACGTGGCAGCCCACCTTCTATAAAGGTGGAAGCTATTTTCGTCCCGATAAACTTAGTTTGCTCGATGCAACTCAGAGGCGAATATGGTCTAGTTCATTAGGCTTACTTGCGAGATTGGGTACGTTACACCTCACTGGGATTGTTGGCGTATGATATCCACCCCCTTTCCTCTTAATAGGTCGACCCTTTCATCTCTTCATTTGTCCACTAGCTAATTGAATCATCAACATGTAAAGAAATTGCATATTACCTCATAAACCAGGCATCCCCTGACAGGATCACCGGATATGTACACCAGTTACTTCGTCTGACAAAGAAGTATATTGATACCGATAGCCAATCCCATGGAGTTTTACATGCTTCTCTCCACTGTCTTGATCTCCTTACCGATGTGATGAATATCTGCCTTCCGATATCAGAAGCAGAAGATTATGTAGCGTCGTTCGAAGCTGTGGTTTTACCCTTGGTAGGGGCATCTCGGGTCGCGAAATGGAAAGAGCTTATAGACGAACTGCGGAAATGGCAGATGAACCGTCCTCCAGAGCTCGAGCAGCTGATGGAAGTTGAGGGCCGCGAGGCCACATTTCCCGTTGTCATCTATGCCGGCGGCGCTGGCATCTTGTCGAATGCCCTCTACCACACCGCTATGCTTTTGCTACTTAGCAACAGGCCACAATCTATATCACTTGCCGAATTGTATAGGAGTTCAGAGCTAGACGTGGCACAGATGTCACCTCTCTGGCACGCGCGACGTGTGTGCGGCATTGCATTGAATAGTGAACCAGAACATACACATTGTTGGGACCCGTGTATGATAGCGGCTTTCGCGCTTGCGGCAAGACGAATGACACACCCAGCACAACAGAATGATATAGTTGCTTGCCTGGGTCGTGTTAAAGCGGCAGGCTGGCATATCGATAGCCTAGTTCAGAGGTTGCGTGACGAATGGGGTCCTATTGGTTGATGCCAGCACTTTTTCAGCTGGAACTTTTAACAATATATGACTGCTTTTGGATGATTAAGGTTGGACTTTTAGTGATTGTTACTGGCATTGGTTCTTAGTTTAGTATTATGTATGGCTGGACTCATCCAGCTGACACTACAATGACTACTATTTTGATGCCCGATAAATACTTTCCTACGAGTGATAGTCGTAGCTGCAAATTTATGGTTACCGACCACATTAGGATTCGAAATGTCTTTGCCGCCTTTTCCGAGGGGGTTTTAGAGAAGATCGGAAGAGATGTTTTGAGCCTCAACGAGCATTAGATATTCAGATAATCGACAGAGATTGTAGACATTCAGAAACCTACATTTGGACTATATTAAACCGTCTCTCCTTAGTCAATCTCGTTGTAGTTGCCTACAAGGTTTTTACCATTCTATTAACACGAGTACTGTTCTATTAGTATTCATTCCCCAAGAACTTTTGACCTTTTACTACTTGAATACGTTCAATACCAACGATGTCGAACCCTAATGATTACACTATCGGCTGGATCAGCGCTAGTAAGGTCGAATCTACGGCCGCAGCTGCTTTTCTAGACGAGGAACATGACAATCTTACTCACCAAGCTCGGGGTGACCATAACAGCTATATCCTCGGTCGCATTGGGCGGAACAACGTCGCCATAGCTGTTTTACCGGATGGAGAACCCGGAATAGCGGCCGCGGCAGATGTTGCCAACGATATGCTACATACCTTCCGCAACATTCGTATTGGCGTTCTAGTTGGTATCGGTGGTGGCGCACCAAGCTCCACGAACGATATCAGACTAGGCGATGTCGTGGTCAGCTCTAAGGATGACAAGCAAGGCGAACATGGCGGTGTCTTCCAGTATGACTATGGAAGGACGATTCAAGATCAGGAATTCCATTACACGGGGTACTTAAACAGACCTCCTAGAGCGCTGAGGACAGCAGTAACAGCCATCAGGACCAGGCATGAGCTCCGGGGCTCTCAAATCAGAGAAAAGGTCCAGGCTATGCTTGCTGCTCACCCACGGCTTCAGCGCAGGTACCGACAGCCTGATCCATTGACCGACAGGCTATACAGGTCAACTGTTGTGCACCAAGGCCATGATGTACAGGATACATGTTGGAATACCTGTGGCAATGGTCCCAACGTCCTAGTGCAACGGACTGAACGGACAGATGCCCTAGGAGACTCGGTTATCCATTATGGTTTAATTGCTTCTGCAAACCAAGAAATGAATGACGCTGTCATTAGAGACAGGCTTTCTGAACAAAAGGGGGTGTTGTGTTTCGAGAGGGAAGCAGCGGGTCTGATGAATAACTTTCCTTGTCTTGTTATTCGTGGTATATGCGACTACGCAGATACCCATCCGAATGACGACTGGAAATACTATGCAGCTGCAGCTGCAGCAGCGTATGCGAAGGACCTTTTGTCTCAGGTGGTTCCAGAACAGGTTGAAGATGAGAGACCTGTTGAACCTAGTACTGTCCGTCCTCCATCAGGAGGCAATGATCAGCCTGGCTGCACTCCCCAACCTGGAACCATCTCGCAGCCCAGTAACACACCCCAACCTGGAGATACTCCCCAACCTGGGAACACTCTTCAACCTGGAGGTGGTTATGAACCTGGCGATGCACCCCAACCAGGAGACAACTCTCAGCCCGGAGGAGATCATCAGCCTGTAACGACGCCCCAACCCGGAAGCAATGACCAACCAAGTGTTATTTTACAGCCTGACGGTGCTTCTCAACCTGGAGTTAGTCATCAACCTAGTAACCCTTCCCAACCTTCCCAACCTTCCCAATCTGAATGCAATTGCCAACCCGGAGGCACCTCTCAACCTTCAGGGACTTGTCAGCCTGGGTCTCAGGTGCAGACTGGGTATATCGACAGAATAGGACATTTTCCTAAGCACGAGATCGATGAAGCTATTAGACGGGACAAGTGTGGATTTGAGATTGCACTGAGGACTCTTGTCAATGGCATTGATTTGGTGAACGGTCACGGGGGAGCTTGGGCGCCATTAGGACATCGACTAATAGACTTCCAGAAAGAGTGGAATATCACCCAGCCTCAACTGCGAGAGGGAAAAAAACAGGCTCAAGGCAATAAATGGGATAGGTGGCAGCAGATAAGGAGGGACCGGAGTTTAAGTACGCAAAAGAGATTCCATGCGGCTCATAACGAGTTTTTGGCTTTCTCAAATGATTGGGCCTTTGACCATACGATTGGATTCGCTTCTATGCAACGAGTTCTATGGAGTGTATGGAGGGTAATGGAATATATGGGTATTGCGGAAGAGGTTTGAGAATGATACTTAGGTGATTGTTATTAGGGGAGTGAATGTGAATTATGGAAGAATTTGATTAGTTGAAATTGATTACATAATGGTTATGGCAGTTTGATTCATCCAGTCTCCAACAACGCGTGCTGCAAGGTGCGGTACGCGAACACCCCTGTAATACATGGATGGATGGATGCACTGACGCCACAAAGACCTTGCACTCATATCGTTACGCCACAAGCGGCTCGTGCTTGAGCTAGCATGGACCAATGAGATGCGGTAAGTATGTCACGCTAGTTAATTTAAGGTGGTAATTGCAGGGGAGGTACAGACATCTGCTCTTCCTCAGCCTCATCAAATAAGCCTTGCATCTTCCCAGGAGCACCATCTTTTGAATAAATCAGTCCTAATTGGCATGACATTCGATTGTATGCAGGATACTCCAAAAGACTTTTCCTGCTTGCAATTCTATTTCTAAGAATGATGCCTTGAGTTGGGGACGATTTTCAAACGTCTCCAACTACCTTACTTGTACCCTTAGAATCTATCTATTTCTACCTATTTCTCACTCTTCTTTTTTCATCAACACGGTCGCAATTGTATATTCATCGGCATCTCTAATTCTTCATTCATCATGTCGGCCACGCGAAACGACCATGCCAACGGTGGCTCAAATGGCGACATGGTTCCTATACCAATTAGCAAGCGATTTTCCGACATTCCTAGCGCGATCGATATTCCAGTTCAGGGCGACCAAGAAGATGAAGCTGTTGAGATCGACCTGGAGGATCTAGTTGATGATCCCACCGAACTCTGCACATTATTTGAGAACGAGCGTGCTGCACGAACGTATTGGATGACCGTTTCCCTCGCATACGCGAAGCAGAAGAAGATCGATCATGCTATCGAAATGCTTAACCGAGGCGGTAACGCTATGCAAGATAATAACCCTAAAGAGAAGCTTAGCATTATCACCTGCTTATGCTGGATGTATCTTTGGAAAAGTCGCGAAGCACCACGTGTTGCACCTGAGGGCGCGCTCTTATCCGAAGCTAAGACCAAAGATTACTATCTTCAATTAGCCACTTCCTCCCTCAACGATGCTTCGCGTATAAACCCAGCATTCCCGCCGCTCTTCCTAGCCCGTGGCGTTCTTCAGCTATTGAAAGCCTCACTACAGGCACCCTCCAAGGCCCCTGGAGCTGGTCATATTGAACAAGACAAGGCCGATCTGCTGAAGAGCGCCCTAAAAGCCTTCGATCAGGCAAGTAAGGTGTCTCAAGGAAAGAATATGTTGGCTCTACTTGGGAGAGCAAGGGCATTATTTGGTCTTGGGAACTACAAGGAATCGCTAGAAGCATACCAGAATGTTCTGAGGAAAATGCCTGACTTAGTGGACCCGGATCCTCGAATCGGAATAGGATGTTGCTTTTGGCAACTTAGACACAAGGAAGATGCCAAACAGGCCTGGGAGAGATGTCTAGAGATAAATCCAGAATCGAAAACGGCCAACATTCTCTTGGGTCTATACTATCTCGACGCTAGCAGTCGAGTTCCTACGAATAGTCCCGAGTTTATTCGACTTTATAAGAAGGCTATGACGGAGTATACACAAAAGTCGTTCAAGGTCGATAAAAACCAGCCCCTAACATGCGCCACCTTCGCCAGCTATTTCTTGTCTAGCAAAAACCTTGCTCACGTTGATTCACTGGCCAACAAAGCCATCCAGTACACTGATGTGAACGCAATTGCAAGTGACGGCTGGTATCTCCTTGCCCGAAAAGAGCATTTTAGCGGTAACGTTGAAACCGCAGCAGATTATTACCGCCGTGCGGATGAAGCCAGAGGTGGCCTTGAAAGAGGTTATCTACCAGCAAAATTCGGCGTCGCCCAGCTTTCAGTCTTGAATAATGACTTAGGAGAAGCTAAACTCCGTCTAGAGAAGATCATCCAATCAGCAAACAAGAATGAGCGAAACTACGAAGCTATGATCCTCTTGGGCACTCTGTACGCCGAGGAAGTATTTGCTAATCAATATGCTGCGGCTAAAGAAGATAAGTCTGCGGAGATGCGAAAAGCTATAGAATATTTAGAGCATGTTCGCACGGCGTGGAAAGACCCCAAGAAAAACTTATCCCCAGATTCTGCAATTCTACTAAACCTTGCGCGCCTCTACGAGAGCGATCATCCAGACAAGGCCCTCGAATGCCTCTTACAGGTTGAACAGCTCGAGTTAGAGCAAGTCCCTGCTTCGGAGCATCCAGTCGGTATTGAAGATGAGTCTGCTTTACGCAATGCGTTACGCAAGAACCTTCCCCCGCAGCTACTTAACAACATCGGTTGTTTCTATTCTCAGGCTGAGAAGCATGATCTGGCCAGCCAGATGTTCGAAGCTGCTCTGAGCTCCTGCATGCGAATTGGGGAGAAAGGTGAAGATATAGATACAGATGCCTTAGTTACTACCATAAGTTTCAACTTAGGTAGAAGTTACGAGTCACAGGGCCTCACAGATCAAGCCGTTGAGGTCTACGAGAAGCTAGTAGCTCGTCATAATGACTACATAGATGCTAAAGCCCGGCTGGCTTATATTAAACTGCGCAGGAACCCTAATAAGGAAGGACCTGATGCCGTCGCGCAACTGCAACAAGACAATTCCTCTGACCTAGAAGTCCGTGCTTTGTACGGCTGGTACCTCGGTCGCGTGAGTTCTCGGAAGAAGTCGGGTAACGTCAATGAGGACCCCGAGCTACGACATTACAAGCATACCCTTCAGTACCACGACAAGCATGATCGATACGCTTTAGTCGGTATGGGTAATCTGTACATGATGGCTGCTCGTGAGATGCGCCGAGAAACTGAACAAGAGAAGCAAAAGCGATCTGCTACCTACACCCGTGCTGTCGAGTTCTTCGACAAGGCACTGCAGTTAGATCCAAAGAATGCTCATGCTGCTCAAGGTATTGCTATCGCACTCGTCGAGGACAAGAAAGACTATAAAAACGCGCTCCCGATATTCTTGAAGGTCCGCGAGACCGTCAAAGATCCAAATGTTTATATCAACATCGGACATATATACGCAGAGTTGCGACAGTACTCGAAAGCGATCGAGAGCTACGAGATGGCGCTCTCGAAAGAGGGTAAGGCGAACGATCCAGGTATCTTAGCGTGCCTCGGTCGAGCGTGGTTGAACAGGGGTAGGCATGAGCGAAGTCTTGATGCGTACAAGTCCGCTCTACAATACGCGAAGAAGGTAAGATCGATTAAACAAGGCTCATGATGTATAAAGCTAACAGGTTCCAGGCTCTCGAAGTTTCACCGGATCAAGTCCACTTCAAGTTCAACGTAGCATTTGTTCAAATTCAGCAAGTCCAGCATATTATGAATGTGCCTGAGACGCAACGTACGCTCGCTGAACTAGAGGAAGCCTCCGAAGGTCTTGAAGCAGCTATTGTCGCCCTTGACGAGATTGCTACTCATACACAACCCCCGTATCCCAAGGCTGACCTTGAGCAGCGAGCAAACATGGCTCGAAACACACAGCGCAAACAGCTTGGCCGCCAAATCGAGGGCCAGAAGGAATACGAAGAGAAGAACAAGGAGAAACTCGCAGCCGCTCTAGAACAGCGACAGGCTGAGTTGAAGCGGCGAGAAGAAGAACGACAGAAGGTGCTTGCGCTAGAGGAAGAACGACGAGAGAAGATCCGCAAGGAACGTGAGGAAATTATAGCCCGCGACAGAGCGTTAGCCGAGCAGCGAGCCGAGGAGGAAATGGCTGCCCAACAAGCCGAAATGACCACAGATAGCGAAACAGGTCAGAAAGTCAAAAGAAAGCGGAAGACCAGGCCCAAGTCGAGCGGCGAGGTTAAGTCAAAGGGTCGCTTGCGGAAGAAGAAGGTTGACAGCGACGGGGAGGATAACGAGTCAGAGGAAGAACGTCAACCAAAGAAGAAGCGCAAGCTTGCGTCCAAGAAAGAGTCCAACAAGTACAAGTCGGCAGAAATCGTGGTTGATAGTTCGGATGATGAGGAGGAGGCCCTTGAGCGTGCCGAGCGAGCCCTTGAGAGACATACTTCGGCTCCCTCAGACGCCGATGACGCGTCGAGAGCTGGTGGTGACGAGGATCGAATGGAGGTAGACAACACCGCTGGACAGAACGATGATGAAGAGGAAGAAGAGGAAGAGGCAACCAGCCGTGCACCAGCCAAGCGCGCTCGGCGTGGTAGGGTCCTTGATGATAGCGACGAAGATGAGGACGAAGGTGAAGGTAGCGGTGCTGCAAATGTTGTGGCTAACGGAGACTCCGATATTGAACCAGTGACAGGCGCCGCAGATACCAGCATGGCAGACATTGCGGATGAGGATGAAGAAGATTAGGGCAGTCTGTTTGTATACTATAAAAGGGGCATATTGTTACCACAGGGGTTTCCAGTAGGCCTTGACCGTTTAGGCACTTGAGATACTTCCTATGATATAGGATGATAATGAAATATAAATACTTACCAACAGATCGCTTATAGATAATGACGTCAAGAAACGAAGTACTATTGTAAGAATGCTATTTAATATTAAGGTGTGAATATGTAATCGAATTTATGCTACTAAGGTCAATAAACACCCCGGTACTACGATTTTGATATGCCGAACCAATATCCGGATGGTGTCTCGTTCTATGAAGCTCGTTCAACTACATAATATTTCAAGTCCAACACTTATATCTTCTTAAAGAAAATGAGACGCCTAGCTTATACAAACCAGGCGCTTCGCCGGACAGTTTGCTCAACTCATACCAAGAGCCTCAACGGGATAAAATACGTATCCACCACCACAATGAGTCCTAGCCGTAGTTTTCCGGCCCTGTTCGTCCGAGGCGGGACATCTAACGGCCTAATCGTCCAGCGTCAACATCTTCCGTTGCAGGATCAATGGCACACGGTCCTCCCCGCGGCTATGGGCGCACCGGATCCGTACGGTAGACAGTTAAATGGGATGGGCGGGGGCATATCGTCGACGTCGAAGATATGCGTTTTAGCGCCGTCGACGCGGCCCGATGCCGATGTGGAGTTTACGTTTGTGCAGGTTGGGATTGGGGATGGGAAGCTGGATCTTGCGGGTAATTGTGGCAATATGTCGTCGGCGGTTGGGCCGGTGGCTTGGGATGAGGGGTTGGTTGGGGAGCGGGGGGAGAAAGTTATGGAGGGGGAGGGAGGGTGTATGGAGGCGATGGTCAGAGTGTTTAATACGAATACTTCCAAGATCATACATTCGCGATTTAGAGTTGCTGGGGATCCGCCGTTATACTACCCCGAGGGCGATTATGAGATGGACGGTGTTCCGGGGACGCAGTCTAGAATTACCCTAAGTTTCCTAGATCCTTCTGGGGCGAAGACGGGGAAGGCATTGCCGACGGGGAATGTGGTTGATACATTGACACTGCCGGATGGAAGTGCTATTGAGGCTTCGTTGGTTGATGTATCGAATCCGGGAGTGTTCGTCCGAATAGATGATCTAGGAATTAAAGATGCCAACCCGGATACTTTCACCCCTCAAGTAGTTGAGTCTGACCCGATACTCAAAGCTAGGTTAGAGGCCATCAGACAAGCCGGCGCAGCAAAGATGGGACTAGATCCAAAAACAGAAAGCGTGCCTAAGATCATCCTCCTCTTCTCGGACTTAGGCTCGGCGGATGTCGATATCAGATGTTTAGCATTGTCGATGGGTCAGGCGCATAAGGCTGTACCCTTAACGCTGGCTTTATGTTTAGGAGCTGCTGCGAATATGCCTGGGACTCTGCCCGCACAGGTCCGTAGGACAAAAGGAAAGAAAAGTAACCTTGGGCCGGTTGTTATTGGGCATCCTAGTGGAACGGTCGAGATCGGGACAACGACAGAGAATGGCCGGATCATCTCGGCGGATTTGCTTCGTACTGCGAGAGTTCTTATGAAGGGACAGGTTTATTATTAAGACTGCAAATTTACTGCAGTGTGACAGCCCCCACGGAGCATCACGGCTCGTACCAAAATATGACGGGGTTACACCTTCTGGATACTGCAGATCGAAACGAGGTAAGAAATGCTATCCCCCTATTCCTAACGTCACAAATATACGGGGCTTATTTATTTGAAAGGTGCATTGTTAATTTCTGGTACAGCCTTGTGTTACGAAGACGTGATGGTCAGAGTCTGTCACCCTAAGAAATTTAGTTGATGTGATCGTTATCCTACTGCCAATAAACCACTGCCCCTGACCTACAATTACTACCTTACCCATGTATTATTGCACAACTATGCAAATATTTATAAAGCTCTAACACTACCCCCAGACCTTAGTACGACTTAGTATAAACAGCATCTTCGTTGTATCCGGTGGCTGAGTAGATAGTGGATAGGGGGGAAAGCTACAGAAATGGGGTGAGGGCGGCATAATTTAGCCAAGCCTGCCACGTATGGAGTTGTGACGATGAGAGGTAAGGCATATCTTCTCACAGGCCCATCAGTTTGTGTTATCTATGAGGCTAATCATTTGTAAATAGTTTAGAAGCTATAGAAGCCAGCAATTTTATGTTGATGTAGCCATAAATTGTGACATAAGGCACACTATATACATGCTACATTATTCAGTATATATTAGTGTATAACATTCGCATCCTCTCTGTCGCTGCATTGGTTGGCTAGACGGTAACTACCAGGTTATCATATCACTAACCCCGAATCAATACGGCACAATGGATTTTAAAGATCTAGCGAGAACGCTGATACCTAGCGGAGCGTTCCAAGAAACTACAATCACCTGGGACAAATCTGGGAGCCAGTCAGTTCCTATAATACAACTAAACCACCTCGCGCTAGGTTGGTACAGCCAAGATAAGCTCTATCAGAGTCCCATCTATCTAGATGGAGTCTATTCAAGTGAGGGTATAAAGACCAAAGCACAGACACAGCTAAATTACGTTACGTCTGCAAATATCAACAAGACACGGTTCGCGAAATATATTAACCCGTACAATATCCTCCCAGCCACATGGACTTATATGGACCAGCTTTTCGATGCCTCGTCTAAATGGGCCCAGAACCAAATTTCGGATTGCTTAAATTCGCATGAGGGATGTCAAATCAGCGAAGACGTCTCATTTACTCCCTCACGTCTAATTAACGTCAGTATTGGGAAACTAGGGGAAGATGTAGTGCTCGAGGATAATACTTCTATTTCCCCAGGATCAGCATATGTTGCGCTGAGCTACTGTTGGGGTGGATACGACCCAGACTGTATGACCACGGCCGACAGCTTGGAAGAGAACATGCGAAGAATCCCATGGTCGAAACTGCCAGCAACCTTTAAGGACGCAGTCAAGTTTACCCGCAGTCTCGACATCAAATACTTATGGATCGACAGTGTCTGTATAATCCAGCGCGATAAGAGGGACTGGCACCAGCAGGCAAGACTAATGCAGAATGTATACAAATATTCTCATGTGACATTGGCTGCCTTACATGGAAGCTCAAGTAAATCTGGACTTCGTTCAACTTCGATGGAGAATGAATTAACCAAGGTGGTAGAATTGTCACTTGGTGATCATCGTTGGCCTGTTTACACACGACTCCCCCATCATCTACAATTTGATATTTATCCAGACACATACGAAAAAATAAAAGAACGGTCACCTCTACTATCTAGAGCCTGGGCATATCAAGAGCGCATGATTAGCCCAAGGGTGCTTTACTTTACGGAAAGTGAGATTATATTCCAATGCTTTACCCACAGCACTTGCGAGTGTGGTGCATTAAAATATGATGATTTACAAACTCAGAAGCCTTGCTCTATACTTTGGGGACATCTCTACATGCTCGAAAACGATATTCGGGGAATCCAAGAGTCAACTATAAAGCATGACGATGCATGGCGACAGATTGCTACGGAGTGGAGAGACGACATCGTGAAGGGATATAGCGGTTTATTAGTGACTAAACCGGAGGATAAATTGATGGCTCTTGGAACTATGACGAGTCAATTCCAAAAGCTCCGCCCTCGCGAAACCTACCTTGCAGGCCTGTGGTTAGGGTCATTGATCGAAGATCTGCTCTGGTGGTGCTCCGATTTACCTTCTAAAGGAAATAAACTTAGTCGGAAAGATGCTATAAAGAGACCCCATCCTATACCAACTTGGTCGTGGGCATCTCTACAGAGTAGCGTTGACTTTCCCCGGCTTAAATTGTGGGTTAAAAGGGTAGTCGTCGCGGCAGTATCCGAAGCCTCATGCGATTATGACGGACATAGTTCCCTAGGCTTCCTAACAAAAAGCTCTCTGAAACTGCGAGGTGAACTAATGCCTGGTATGGTAGAGTGGTATAGCGATACGAAATGCAGCATTTCTATTCGACATGCCGGAAATTGGGCAAGCCTAATGAATTCAAAAAATGCTGCTTATATAAAGGGAAGCTACCTTGAGAAGGTTCATATGGATCACGACGATGATGGATACCAATGTATCCCGCGGCAACAGAAGGTGTACTTACTTTGGATGTTTGCCGATTTCACAGTCTTCTCTGGGGATTATATGACCCGATACTATCTAATCCTTCGCCGCGAAGAAGAGGACAAGGATATCTTTTCTAGGGCAGGTGTTGTGGAATATACAACCGAAATAAATAGGAGTATATGGAATATGCCCGACACATCTAAGACGTATAAGGATGCGTGGAAGATTTTCGACAAGCATAGCGTTACGACAGAATGCGAGATTCGCTGAAATCGAGTTGAAGCTTTCGGTTTCTTAATATCTTGGGTACTTGTGTATAGGGGCATATGTATATGAATATTAGTTTTTATATAGTCTACCTGCTATTTGGGTTCTATTTTTATTATATATTTTATATTTATATAACGTCAGGGGATACCGGTTATATGGAGCCAAAAATAAAAGATACAATGGTGTATCGGATAAAATTAAAATAAAGAGCGATCTACTATACACAAAAAGACCTTTAAATAAATCAGATATATAGATCAGGCAATTATGCAATCCTAAGTACTTCCTATGGTACACGAGACCAGGTCTAAGGATGGTACGGTGGCTAAAATTTCCCCATGCCCTGGACTTATATTCAACAGTTCAAACATCTACTACGAGACGTCCGACAGTAGACGAAAGGGTTACACTTTCAATAACACTGATATGAATGAAAATTTCGATCAGAAAGTATAGACAGGTAGTCAATCCCTCAGAGAAGAACAGAGGGAGGGCACCATTGATAGTGCCCAACGGAAAAGGTGTGTTTACCATACTGATTGAGGCTCCATGTAGCTGTTCTTTAGCACGTAGGTTAGAAATATATAGACAAGATAAGTATTGAATCCTTCGAGCTATTACAATGTCTAGTACCGAATTTAAATAAATATCCTCGATATACTGATATGTTAGTGCTAATACCCAGTGTAAATTCTTCCAATTCACCCAGGCGTCTTTTTACCAAGACATAATTCGTTAAAGATCTATCCCCGGCCCTTGATTAATATATCTATGATCAAAACCGGAATCCAGAGGTATGTATTGGTACTTTATGCTTCACTCTTACTTCACATTGGACGCGTACAAGCGGATAGGGATCTCTCGACTCCCCGAGTCTTGAGTTTCCTAGGATTTAGCTGTCACCCCTAGCATTGTGCTCGGCCCTGGGTTTTGTTGACACCAAGACCCCTTCAATAGTGTTGATCTTATTTCGCTATTCACTGCCTAGTTATTTGCTAAGTTCTGCCGAAGTCTTCATCACTTTTTCCTTACTTACTACCACGGCAACTCTCACAAGCTAGTTAGAGGCACTTGTAACAATGAGTCTTAAGCCAATCAAACTCTACTGGAGGAGTAAGTATGACATGCTCTTTACTTGGACGTTACTGACACTGTCAACTTTACAGACTACGTTCCTAACCCTTCCAAGGTTCTTATTATCCTCGAGGAGCTCAACCTACCTTACGAGACATCGTAGGTTGAACTTGACGGCCTCAAGCAGAAACCCTACACTGATGTCAACCAAAACGGCCGCGTTCCGGCTATTGAGGATCCCAACCATGATATTACGCTCTGGGAGTCTGGCGCGATCGTTTAGGTAAGCCCCATAACTTAACACCCCCACGCTTTTCCGTGTCTCATTAAGCTGACCCTCCCAACTACTAGTACTTGATCGACACTTACGATGAGGACAATAAGGTCTCGTACAGCACCTTTCCTGAGAAGCACTTGACGCAGTAGTGGTCATTCTTTCAAGCCTCTGGCCAAGGTCCCTATTTTGGTCAAGCCGCCTGGTAAGTGTTTTGAGCTATGGGGCAAAGGGCTTGGGCTCAGCGCCTAAGCATCTTCAACAAAATCCATTGCTAATCGTAGTTGATCCGGCGCAGGTTCAACCTCTTCCACGAAGGAGCGTACGGCGAGTCCCCAGAGTCGGCCAAAGTTCGCTACGGTAACGAGGTCAAGCGCGTGGCTGGCGTTCTCGACGGTGTTCTAGCCAGGTCGGCGTGGCTCGTAGGCGACAAGTGTACATATGCCGATTTGGCCTTCACTATGTGGAACATGCAGGTGGCTTTCTTCATGGGCAGCCGGACTGGAGAAAAAATAGGTACACGCTATCCGAGACCTTGTAGTAAATTTACAAGCAAGTAGAGGCAAAGGTGGGTATAGAGATGCTTCAATTAACGATTATCATTAGAACAGTAATTTGATAGCAGAGATATTCTAAAAAGGAATTCCGGCGAAAGTGCCTGAGCCCAAACCATACCCAATACGTGGAAGACCATGAATTTATATCAACGCTCTATTTGGGAACATCCCTACCTCTACTACTCCCTTGCTCTGCTGAACCGTACCTACTAGCCCCCTAGTGCAACTACCCCCTGTGTAGCAGCTCGTGCCCAAACCCCCGGCCCCTAATGAGACTCAGTAACCTGGATTCCTATTTTCTGTTCCCATGAAGTCCCGTGTAGCCTCGATCAGGGAAGAATGGATATCTCTGAGCGGATTTTCGCTAGCCTGGGAGCTGTCCGCTCGCTTGACATCAACATTGTAAGACAGCTGAGTCCCTTCAAAACGATCCCATAGCCTGAGCACGTTGGAATTTGGTTTCTGGAGTTGATAACTGTCGTCGGATTACAGCAGACAACAGCTCTTCGTTGCCTTTGCTCTACTGTCGCGACTGCTCCTGAACAAGGATCCGAAATTCGCCAACAGCGTCGAGAGCCCACGATTTTTTGCAAAGAGTGGAGCGTAGCATGGGAAGCATGCGGCTATGATGCTAGTGTTAGGCTCAATAGTGCCCCAGATAAAGGCGGTTGACATATTTAAGTAACGGTTCGCGCTGGTGTCGGCGACTGTCTGCCTGAGCTCGGAGTGGAGATAGTAGAATCGCACAGCAGACGAGACACAGCAAAATATGCCGAGCCAGAAAATAGCAAGGAGCTGTAGCTTGCGCGTCCAGTTCATCTGCAATTTGTGAATGACGGGAATGGGGAAGCAAAGTACGACGACGTCGAAGACAATACTCATGCCCGCGAAGGCTAGTGAAAACCCGTTATAGTCAAACCGCAGGGGGGTGGTGGCCAGCGGATTCCAAACATTTTGGATGGGGTTGGCCGCAAGGAGCTGGCACTACACATGAAATCCGTAAGTAGGTACCTAGGTATTTTGATCGATGCGGATGTAGAAGCCCGAACGGCGGTAGGAGAGGACGAACTATGGTTATAGCAATACACCACGCTGTCAAAATGCCAACGTAAATGTGTACGGCCAGTTTGAACCTGGTGGTAGTGAAGATGCGTGTATAGAAGAGGAGAATGGCAATCTTCACAAAGGTAAGACTGAATATAAGGGGAAACCCCTCAATCCACAGAGTCTGATATCACTATTAGTCGCTATAAGAATTGCTGTTCATATGACTGAGGACTTACGCGAAGGAAAATGGCGGCAGCAGAAAGAGGATCCAGTGATGGGTACGTGTAGTCGATGCCTGCTAGTCCTGCTGCCACGAAAATGTCGATCGAGATCCCCCATGCGGCAAGCTGGGCCAACGCACAAACCCAATCATCACTAGTCAGCTTCTGTGTCTTGGTAATTTTGGTATAAAATCGCAATCCGACGGCGAGGGTACCCAGAACCGGGAAAATAATAGCGACAGCGAGAAGAGTAGAAGTAACCAAGGACGGTTGAGCAGTAGATACTGACATCATCATTTTCCGGCTGTGTGGAAGTTTAGTACAAAGGAAAAACTGTTGGTGGTAGAGCCAGTAAGTGGTACGCGACTCATGAACTGCTCCTAGAAGTGAGCAAGGCTTAGCTACGAATATGTAACTGACAAGAAATCTCTGGAAGTTGGAGTTGCCTGTCGTTCGAGGTCCAGAAGAGATGAAACCACCTCATTAAGCATATAGCTCACTTCCAGCTCGTAGTTTAGATAGCTCTTACCAAGCCTCTTTCGTCATCTTTCCCCGCAAGAAGGGAGTAAAGAATGCATTCGGGTCTGAGACAAACTTCATTGTACTCAACTCGGGAGCCATGTGCCTAGCATCTGTCTAACCATCATAAACCATTGCATAACTATCAATACTCATACTCTGCGCAAACTCAGCCTCTAAACCCTTAATCTGCTACAGCAGTGGTGATAGCTTGTCACCCCCGCCCGCTGTATCTCGGCTCAGACGACGAGACTCCTTCATATTGGCAGATTAAGGCGTTTGCCTACGCTGTCCCGGTGGTGATATCAGCTACTCTGACGGACGAACATGAAGCTATGATTTGATGTATAACTGGATGCAGAATTTGGTCATTGCAGAGCTTCTTGATTAGCATGTGTTGATAATTCAGGCTAGAATTTTGACAAGCTACCTGGGTAATTAATACCAACAGCATTTCGACTCCCAAACACACCCAACATGCCAGATGTACCATATGCTTGACTTGTAATCATGACCAAAGATGAACGGGCTTTCATCCGACGATGCTTCGGCCATGTCGATAAAGGTTGTGTTCAAGGGCTAGAGGATCAACATTTGGTGTTGAAAGGCTATAGGGAAATTAGGAAATAAAAAGAAAAAACAGTGTACTACCGACCGATTGTTATTCTATTTTAATCCGCCATAGAGAGGGATCAGCCCTTGCATATTCCTTTATTAATAGATGCTGCAGACTGCAGTAGTACCAGTGACTGAGAAAAAGAATATTTCGCAGTCAACCCATCATGGACAGCTCTACCTTCCTTCCGCTGGCGTTCTTGATCAACCCGTTTGCTAGCTTCACCTCAGCCTTTGGCCCCAATGGCATCTCCAATCTTGTCAGCGGCCCATCCACCGGGGGCGGCTCGACCTGCATTTCTGGCCACATCACGCTATCTATCAATACACCCGGGATCAAACTTCTTTACGAGGCGCCTCAAGATCAAATGGCCGTAACAGAATCATTCGTCGAGTTGTTCCAGGTAGACTCAACCTTCGGCGCCGAAGTCACCGCTGGGGGGCCCAGTGTCATTTCCGGCGATTACGACATTTTTGTCAAGCTCTGCCTACCCAGTGACCCTGAGATCTTGGCCCAGGTCAAGACAGTGCAGCTGTTAACACACGGAGCTACTCTCGACCACACCTACTGGGATATTGCCCCAGGCTACAGCTACGTCGACGTGGCCTCGGCAGCAGGCTACGCCACGCTCTCCTACGACCAGCTGGGCGTGGGTAATTCGGACCACCCGGATCCCATCCAGGTCGTGCAGGCCACCGCCCAGGTCGCCGTCACACACGCGCTGGTCGAACTGCTCCGGAACGCCGAGCTGGGCGGGTACCGCTTCGACAAAGTCGTGGGCGTCGGACACAGCGCGGGAAGCACGCTGACCCAGGGCATCACTACACAGTACCCGCAGGACTTCGACGCCGTGATCTTGTCCGGCACCAGCGCCAGCGCGGCCTCGGTCCCGCTGACCATGGCGGCCTTCAACCTCATCAACGCAAACACAGACCCCGCACCCCAGTTCCAGCACCTACCAGCCGGCTTCCTGACGCAGCAGTCAGCCGCCGGCATCCAGTTCGCCTTCTACCGGCAACCCAACTTCGACGAGGACGCGTTCCGCCAGCAGGTTGCCCACAAGCAGACGAACACGCTGGGCGTCCTGCTCACGCTAGGCGGCATCGTGGCGCCGTCGACGGAATTTACTGGGCCGGTGGACATGGTCAACGGCGAGAACGATCTCGTCTTCTGCGGTGGAAACTGTCTCTACCCGACAGATCAGAACAGCGCAGCCTTGTCGATATTCTACCCGGCAGCGTCGGAGCGAAGTCAGACGTATATTGCGGCGGGGGCTGGACATTCTATCGCCGCCCACAAGAGTGGGCCGGATAGCTTCAAGCACATGATCCAGTTCTTACAGGACAACGGTCTGTGATTACTACTACATGTACTACTTCGCTTTCTAAGTAGCATTTTAGTTTAATAAAGATGGAATGTTACCTATCCTTTATCTTAGCTGGGCTTAGACAGGTAGAATCTTAACGCCACATGTGGCTAGTATGGGTGGCGTCTTGTTGATCTAGGTGGAGGAAAACAACGAAAAAAAGGGGTGTATAGAAAGTTTGATATAAATAAGTAAAGCCTCTTAGACGGCTCAGTAATGGCGATAATACACTCTCCTATATTATACCCTAATAATCACATTCACTTATCACAAGTCTAAAGAAATCATATTATTTATGAATTATTCATATTAAGTCTAACTACCCTAAGACTTTTGGTTTGCAACAATGCTAACAGGTAATCTAATCAGCTAACCCTCAAAACTCCTTTGCCGGACGCCTTGCAACGCCATATGCCGGATTCCATTATTTTCTGCGAATAACATGCTCACTCACCCCCTTACATATGTATGTATTCCATGACCCTTAGAAATGGTTACATCCCCTTCGTTCCTTAGTAGCTCATAATTCATCACTCGTCATCAATCTTGGGATCATACAGTAGTCGTACCCCCTCTTTAATCGTAGATGTCCTCATCCATACCGTCGGGTGCGATGTCCTCTACTGCATCCTCCTCATCGACGAGCATATCTTCGTCATCACCATCGCCTAGTTCGCTATCTGTGTGGTTGGCTAGGACTTGGATCTTGTTACCAACCATGATAACTCTTGCGACCTCTCCATCCTTAATGCCACCGCGTAGGATGAGGACCGCCAGACGGTTAAGAACTTCCTTCTCAATTAGCCTGGCTAGTGGCCTAGCACCGTAGGCCGGGGAGTAACCTGCGCTGCCTAAGTAGTCCTTGGCCTCGTCCGTGATTTCGATGCGTACGTTGCGATCATTGTCGCTAAGCCTCTTCTGGATCTCATCAAGCCGTAGGTCGACTATCTTACGGATCTCCCGTCTTGTAAGCCTGTTGAAGATGACGGTTGAGTTGATACGATTGAGGAACTCTGGTAGGAAGTAGTTGCGCAGGGCGTTCAATACCAGGTCCCGCGTCGTGGCGTCAATCTTGCCATCACGACCAGCCGGTCGAGATAAATACTCTGCACCCAAGTTGGAAGTCATGACGACAATGCAGTTCCTGGCATCGACAACACGACCTTGTCCGTCGGTGATACGGCCGTCATCCATGAGCTGGAGAAGGACAGTAAGAATTTCTTTAGCAGCCTTCTCAACTTCATCGAATAGTAAGATAGAAAAGGGCTTTCTGCGTAGGGCCTCGGTAAGTTGACCACCGGCGTCGTGTCCAACATATCCCGGCGGCGCGCCAATCATTCGGCTTAGTGAATGACGCTCTTGGTATTCGGACATATCGAACCGGATCATCGCCTTCGGGTCATCGAATAAGAACTCAGCAAGAGCCTTTGTCAATAGAGTCTTACCGGTTCCTGATGGACCACAGAAGAGGAAGCTCGGCGGCTGGTTGGGATTGCTAAGCCCAGATCGTTGCAGCCGAATGGAGTTGGAGACTGCTTGCACTGCTTCCTTCTGTCCAACGACAATCTTTCCGAGAACCTTCTCCATGTGAATAAGCTTCTCCTTTTCAGAGGTCTTTAGTCTCGTGACAGGAATACCGGTCCAGCGCGAGACGATTTCGTTGATTTGGTCTGGTCCGACTACATCTGTAATCATAGAGCCGCCCATATCATTCTGACTTAGAGCTGCATCGGCAGCGGCCTTCTGGCGCTCGAGTTCCTTAATCGCGTTCTCCTGTTCGGGGATGGCATAGTACTGGAGATCTGCAGCGGTGGCATGGTCACCCATTCTGGCCGCATCCTCCATCTTGACCTTCAGGCGATCAAGTTTCATCTTGGCCTCTTGAATGTCCTTGCCACGCTTTCGTTCACGTTCATATTTTTCTCGGAGAGGCCGCAACTCCTCCTCGACGTTTTCGGCGTCTTGTTTGGCAATTTGGAGTCGAGCCTTCGAGGCATCATCCTTCTCTCGGGATAGCGCGTGGATTTCAATCCGGAGCTGTCGTAACTTGCGCTCCAAAGAGTCGATGATTTCGGGCTGAGATTCACGGGCGACTCTGACGGCTGCTGCGGCTTCATCAACTAAGTCAACAGCAGAGTCAGGAAGACGCCGAGTGGTTAAGTATCGTCCAGCAAGGTTTGCAGCAGCGACTATGGCGGCATCAGCGATGCTGACACCGTGGTGAACCTCGTATTTTTCCTTAAGACCTCGAAGAATGGAGATGGTCTCAGGGATGCTTGGCTCCTTAACGATAACCTGCTGGAATCGTCGTTCAAAAGCGGCATCTTTTTCAATATATTTCCGGTATTCGGCAAGGGTGGTTGCACCAATGCAGTGTAATTGTCCACGGGCAAGCATGGGCTTAAGTAAGTTGGCAGCGTCCATGCCACCCTCACCCGAAGCACCGGCACCCATAAGTAAGTGGATTTCATCAACGAAGAGAACGATCATATCTTTGGACTCTTGGATTTCCTTGAGAACACCCTTCATTCTCTCTTCGAATTCACCCCGATACTTACTGCCGGCAACTAAAGCGCCGACATCAAGGGAGAGCAACTTGCAAGCGGCAAGGTTATCAGGTACATCGGCGTTGACGATTCGCTGGGCTAAGCCTTCGACGACGGTAGTTTTACCGACACCGGGCTCACCAATTAGTACCGGGTTGTTCTTTGTTCGTCGTGAGAGAATCCGGATAACTCGTCTGATCTCCTCTTCTCGGCCGATGACAGGGTCGATCTTACCTTCCCTTGCCATACTGGTCATGTCGATAGTGAACTTGGAAAGATTCTCATGCTCCTCCTCGGTATCAGCTGTCTTGGAGTCCACCCTTTTCGTCCCGCGAATAGTTTGGACGGCCTCCTGGACCAGCTTAGGTTTGGGGATATTAGACTCCTTGAGAGCATTGGCGATTGTTGGATCCTCTGCAAGTGCAGTTATGAGGTGGTCGACTGCGATGTATGTATCCTTCTGCGTCTTTTGTAACTCTTGAGCCTTCCTAAGAACAGTGCTAAATGATGGTGACATAGACACGTTCTCTGGCGGGGGGTCTTGGCTTGGCAGACGGACTAACGTCTTCTTGAGTGCTCTGTCGAATAGTTGAGGGTCGCCATGTGCTCTCTCAATTACTTGTCGGAACAGGCTGTTGGTGGTACCTGGTGGTAAATTTTGCTGGTCCTTGGATTGGTCTGGTGGGGGATCAAGCAGAGAGACTGCTAGGTGGATTGGTAATAATTGTGTGTGAGCGTATTGCTCTGCCAGCGTCATGGCATCCTCCAGGGCCTTTTTGCCCCGGTCTGTGAATTCCATTCTGGAAGTCATTGTGAGGGTTGTGTGTTTTGATGTATTAATCTGATGTGCGTCTCAATATCAAATGAGAAAAGATGTGCTAATAAAACATAAAAGTAGTAGGTAGATGTTGTGCGCTTGTCGTAAGTGGAAGCCTTACTGTGTTTGTTGGCTCTGCACTATAATAATTTTGTATCGAGTATCACTTTTTCAAGATTATTATTCTTGATCGTCTTTATTCCTGGTGAATTCAAGTGAGGAAGGAATAGTAAGACAAAGAAATTAAACTTGTATTTATCTGTTTGTTTAAAACCGCTAGAAGTGGGGAGGAAACAGAGAGAAACAGGCGATGATGATGAGATAGTTAGAAAGTTGGGGCGCTCAGTCAGCTCATAGGTCTATTTAGTTACTTCCGGGACGCTCTTGAAGCTCCTTCAGGTTTCTAGCAAGAATGAGAAGCTTCGTGTTGTTACCATAGAACGTCTGGGAAGCTTCTAGTGGGGCAGCTAATGCTAGCCTGACCTAAATGACCTATGTAAAATGATCTAAAATTGTTGCCAAGCCTGCCTGACGACAACGTTCAGCTTTAGCCAATCGCGGGGTAATATCGGGTAATCAATCTTGCTGCTTCCGACTTTGATAGCGTGATAAGATAAGCTATAGTTACTGCCTAAGATAAGTAGGTACCTAAGGTAAGAGGTATAGATTAGGTATACATCTATATGTTAGGTTGGTATTATCTCGCCTTGATTTTAAGACTCATAGAAGTTGTGTTACATTTCAATTGGCCTTTTACATTCCTAGGTACGTAATCATTATGTGGGAAAGAATCATTCGTAGTCGATGTGTCAAACAAGGACATTGTTACCTCTAGTCAAGGCACAAGCAGACAAGACGCTTCTAGCCCTTGTTCGTTAGGTATCTAAGTACCACTAGACGCTAAGATAAGGCCCTACCAATCTAGTACCAATCCCACTAATTCGATCCTTATCGCAACGGGAAATTTTGAATGAAGAACCCGACAGCTAATATCCGTGGTATTGGATATCAGCCTCAGTTGATCGGAGCTCTCCATTGTAGAACTGCCCACCATGGCTTTGAGGGTCAATTCAATAACAGTCCAATTCAATAGGTTACCCCTCGGCATATCATGGACTGGCCTACGCTTCAAGTCCACAGCTCCGAATAAGGAGAAGAGGGAGAAGGAGTTAGCAGCGTCCGCATTTCCAGAGCACCATGGAGAGAAAATATGGATATACGGTCATATATTAGACGGTATGACGGTGCTCTCGCATAGGCCCGTGCTCAAGGTATGAAATTACCTAGCATCTTTATCTATCTGGCATTGTCCTATACACCAAGGTACTAACGTTAAAAATTCACCAAGGCGAACAAGGCGCTAAGACAACTTTCCTTCAACGGCAAGAAGCTCAAGCCCAGCAAATTCCGACGCGACTACTGGCGGCCCTTTGCCATGATACAGTTCCCCGAGGGCTTCGGCGAAGTGGGGCGGAGCGTATTCCAACGTATGCGAGAGTGTAAGAAACTGCACGAGCTATCGTGGAGCGACGACATGTTTTACGACAAGGAGGGAAAACCTCTGACGAAGCACGAGCGGGGCTCGAAAATCAACGACCAGAAGACGAACACGGTTGCCGACATGGCTGCGGTGCTCGGGGGACTGGGGAAGGGCAATCTGGTTTGGATGACCGTGTCACAGGACCCAAACATACTTGCCAACCTGGAAGCGGGAGATGAGAAGAACCTCAAGAAGGACGAGGACGGCGTTGTTAAGGCCCTGGTAAAAGCTCAGGTCTGGTGGGCCGATGATAAAGACCGGAATTTCGCGAAAAGCTGGTCTCCTAATGTCACACACTACCGCTTCGATCAAGCTGCTATAGAGGAGATGGGAGTGGATACTAAAGCGCTCCCGGAGCAAGACTCGGAATCAGGAGAAACAGCGAAAGAAGGCGAGGATCAGGAAGGGACGGATAAGAAGGTGACAGACCAGAAGTTAGTCGACCAAGAAGAGATAGGCGGCCAGAAGAGGACAGATCAAAAGGAGACAGGCCAAAAGAACTCTCTATAAGAGCTGTATAAAGCCAGATTATCACGTCTTACTGTTACCGCAGTCATGACAGTGTGTAAAATTAAGTAACACTCCACCTACGTTACACTTTACAAAATCTAGAAATACTGTATTCAAGTGTACTATCTAGGTAGGTATCTATGTATATAGACTCGCCGGCAATCTAAAACTTCATGGCGAAGGTCTTGAGATAATCGTAGTGTGGAATATTCTCATCCACACAAGCTCTGATTGTCTCCTGGGCCTCTTTGCCATATTTCTGTTGCCATTCATCATTCTCAGATTCCTCGGTGACAGTTTTCTATTCAAGCCTAGTTAGTATATAGAACTAGAAGAACAACCCAAAATTGCGCATATTTAGTTGACTTACGTGAGCTTGAGTCCTGGCTGTGAGGCTCTTGCTGTGGATAGCATCGTTGTGGAAACCGTTCCACTTGGCAAAAGCTTCCGAGACGTAGTCCTGGTTTTCAGCGTCTTCCCAGGTAAGCATCTCCGGCGTGAATTCGATCCCGGTCTCCTTGCAGAATGCCTTGACGACGGGATTTGGATGATCTAGAAGATCATCGGCATCGATAATAGTGACGGTGACTCCACCATCGGCCTTATTCCCGTTTGATTCGCCAGCTAGCGTCGGGCCAACTATGTTCTGCTCCCGCAAATAGTCAAACAGCCGGCGAAGCTCCACGTAACCTGCCTCACTAGGGAGGAATTCCTTGAAACCGGTAACCTCGTCTAGCGGAGGCACACAACATCGGAAATATGAAGGAATTGCTCGTCGCGGGTGACGGATAAGGAATGTCCAGTGAAAGTTCCTCAGGGTATCGAGGGGTATCACTGTCGGGTTTCCCTTTTCAGAGTAACTATCCCCCTTGCGCAGAGACTTGGGGATTGCCGCAGGCTGCGAGTTTGGAGGCATCAAGTAATAAGCCATGTCTTTTATGAAGACGCGCTTGCCCTGCAGGATAGAATAAGTACTCGGCGCATAATGAGGCTCAGAACTAGCGGGACCAGAACATCTGCATTTGTGTGTATGAAATTGAATAAAAAGGGTGCAGTTTTGAAGGGTAGGTATCCAAGAGGTTAAGATATTGGAGTTATACGGTTCGTTACCCCTTGTATATCATAATGTTGCTCTTGGGACACACCAGTGAACTTGAGTATGAACTTGAGTACTTATGGCATATCTTTTGGTGGCGCCTCCATTCCTATTACCCCAACACTGTAATGTCCTTCCCGAACTTGATTCTTGCATATGTGGCTGATCCTACCTCGCACTTGCGATAGGGGATGGAGCCAATATGGAGGGAATGATAACGACGAGGAGCTTCAAACATAGAAAGGGGATCAGGGGCATTGGGGTGTCAGGAGATTTCGAACCTCGCTGCCGTCTTTTTCCAGCCGGTCTAAGACATCACGATAGGTGGTCTTAGAAAAGCCACTACTCTCCCTAGCGGCCTCATCATTGGCATAGCGCTCACCAAGTCTCTCAGGACCATAGTAATAGCTATCACCAAATGGCTCATGGGCGCATGTGAGGACGTCCCGACGGGTCATAAACACCTAATAAGTTTTAGTAAGTACGACATATATTCTGATGGTATTTTATAAGACCAACTCTTTCGAAGGCGGTAGAGCATGCCCGCGGGTGCGTGGCTAGGAAGACAGGCTTGTTAGACATGGTGGATATCGAACCTCGATGTTGCAATCTGAGTTTTAAATGAGACAATAAGTATAAATGTTTGCGTATTTCACTTGTACGGCGCGCCACGCATAAAGTAATTGGTGGCTGAAAGTATCGAAAAGCAAGTCGATTGCATTTATTTATCGAACTTGCGATCGACAATATGAGAATTGCTATGTCGTGGAAGAACAGATCGAGAAAAGAGAAAAACTTGAGAGCAAACTTGAAGGACGAAGTTCTTAGACCCCAGCCAAGTACCTAAAGTACCTAACTTAAGGGCACTAGCTAGAGACTTACCTAAAGGGGAAGATATAATACATGTATGTAAGAAGATTCAAATAGCGAGTTTAATACATGGAACATGGAGCATAGAGTATGGAGCCGGTCCACGTCTAGCGGTACGTCCGGTCTTACCAAGCCATATATACATGGCGTCTGGTACTGCGTACGGGCAGCACCCACGTATCGTGGACTCCCACAAGTAAGTACATGTACCTGTTTTATCAAAGCTTACGGATTACACTTGTAAAACCTACCGAGTCTAATACCTAGAACGCCCGTTCCCTATAGGCTAGCCACCGGAAGTTAGGGCCAATCCGGTGCGGATGCGTTCTAGATCCATTTTGAACCCTGATCTCGAGTTACGTCATGCATTGTTAGGTGTGTTAAGTGTCGCCGTTCTTTGGGCCGACGGCTCGTATGTGCGGTCCGGGTGCAATGAGAAAGAGGTATAGCGGCTGGTGGCATAGTAGGGCGCAATTATCTTGACGATGCACGATGTGGTCTTGGAAGTGGCGGCGTGGGTGTAAAACGAGTTCGAGAGCGGCATGTATCTCGGGTATACATGTATGTAAGAGGTTTGTATATATGGTAGATATAGCGTAGATGATGACATCAGTTCGAGACCGCTTCTTGTTCGGTGTAGTGTACAGGCAGGTCACGATGGCGAGAAAAGACCCTAATAGTCTTTATAGGCGTGGGAGGTTTGCTGCGTTAAGTACGGTTCTGGATGGTTGTCTAAACTAAAATCGATAGATATCCTTCGATTTAACCCAACCACGCGGAACCCATTATTAATAGGTTGATGAATTATGATCTAGATTTGCTGTTGAAGTCTATGTTGCGATCCTGTCTCAAAATGGCGACATCGGGATCCTTGCGGAACGTGTGGGGGTCCATTAAGCTTCTAATTGGCTCTTATTTTACAGATTTTTCCTGTAACTGTGGAGGATTTTTGCTTCACCGATATAGAACGAAGTATGGTTATTCCGAACTTGAAGTTAATTTATATTTGGCCTAAACTTTGATCATTCATATCTGTTTTGATGACGCGTTTGATATATGGCTATCATCTTATTGGCTGCTGAGATATACAGGTTTTGGTATTGAAAGTTAAATATGTCGTCCGAGTATAGCTTTGCGGTGTTTGATACGGGCGGTATTGTCCGCAGCGAGGTATAAAGTATGGGAAGCTCATAATTTTATGTTGTCCAAATATGACATTCGTAATATATGGCCCACAGCGTAAGCCATCGAATGTGATATAATAGACTATCGACTATCCTTTAGAGCTATACCGATATTGCTTTTATGGGATGAGCTATGAAAAGCCTATCTAGCCAAGCCTACCCCAGCTCCAAATGTTCAGACCGACTTTCGTCCCCTTTTTCACTGTGATGAAAAGAGTTAAGGATTGTCTCAAGTAAAAAAAAAAGTAATAGTAAGGGGGATATTAAGATCTCTGCCAAGAACGGAAAGCTCATGGTGAGGCCAAATGGCGGTCTTAGGAGGAAGAGTTACGTACCGGGCAAACCCGCGTGCCAAGTTTCGTCCCAACCTCTCCCCGTTCCGTCGGGACGGAAGTTTTCCCAGTATACAGCGTTACCAGCGATAGGCTTGAAAGAAACACCCGCAACTAATTCTCCGCCCGTAGTGGGGAATTCTCCCTCGGATTCGGGTAGCTTGGGGCACGAAACCCATTGGCACCACGGGTTGTCAGGTGCTTCTCGCCGGAGTAGGGGAAACTCGGTTCCTCCCCCCTCGACGTCTTCAGCTTGCACCCAAGCCATAACGCTGCTGACTCGGCCCCAGCCCCGAGCGCCGGATCCCCAGTCGAAATGATGCGCGTAGTGCTGATTTGCACCGTAACGCTGCGTACGAAGACGCTCTATCCATAGGTCGTCACGCCAGCCCTGAATAGCTCGTGTGCGAGCTTCGATGCATCGCACTGTATCGGTACGGGGTATCAATGCGACCTCCGAATCTCGAATTGTAGCATCGCGCTGCGTCGAGTCGCCATCATGGGTGATGGTCGAAGGCTCAAACAACGGCTCACTATGAGTCGTTAGCAGGTATCTTTTATGACGAAATAAGTATCACACCCAACGTACCTAATCTCTAGCAAATGGGACCGCTCATCGCTGGAGAGGAAATTCTCGATATAAATTACGATTGGCGCTTTTGAAAGAATATGAATTGAATATGAATCCGGAGGACAGTCCGGTGTTGTTTGGTTTGCTGCATCAATGGCAAGGAGGGATTCATTTATACGAGGCCGAGCGGTCCGTGGAAGACGGGATGGCTCGGGAGAAAAGTATTGAAGAATTGGATTATATGTAAATAATAAAATGGCAATGCCCGCTACAACATATGGAAACATCACGATATCATTAAAGTAGCTCTTGAGTGAACTTGTCGATATATTCAAGCATGTATAAGTAAGATAATGTAATATAGTGTAAGTTATGTTCACTACCTGAGGTATGTATGTATACGAATGTTCCTAACGCCCTGGTTCTGTGCCGTTACCGTAGCCCCGTTAAACTTATAGTAACAACATTGAAAATAATGCAAATAATACGTAATCACATGACCTCAACGCCGTCGTTAATTCCCACCCCGACCCAGTAAAAGTTTAGAATGCACAACTGTTGATGCTTCAATTTTGAAATCATTATCATAGACTCTTTCTCTTCCTCCTTACTTTCTCCGGTTTGTATTTGTCGTGGTTTATCCCTAGGCAGACTGATACGAGTTTCCATATTACGAAAACAAGTCCCATGAGAACCACGGTTACTGTTCCAGAGCTGATCCGATTTGATTGTCCAAGGTCAAGAACGGGAACCCGGATTTCATGGTAGAGGTTCTCGCCTGGATTTGGCTTCGGTTCAACATGCCAGAATAGCGTACGAGGGCCAAATAGCCCATCGTATCCTAGATTCGTCCTGTCGAATGGACTGTTGGGGAACTTGGTGCCCTCTTCGGCTGCGCAAGCCCAAAAAACCACAGGCCAAGGGATACTAACGTTTCTGTAGCCATGATCCGCTGGTGCCAAATATCTAAGATGAAGTGGAATCTCAGCTGTCCATGGTTGGTCCTTCCCGTGTCTAGGTGGCTGCAGCTCTAGGAGGGCACTGGAGCCCCAAAGCCTCATAGCGTAGTCTGGAGCTTCAAGGTCTACCGGCTGGCTGATGTAACGCAATGCCGACAAATTCTTAGATGACATGAATAGCTCATCTCCAAGTTGGTACTTGTCGATGAACACGGTTCGAGGAAGAGTAAGGTACGTGTGCAGCGAACAGTACGCATCGTCCATCGGCGGTTTACTTGAGCTAAGGCGTAATTGCATAGTCGGGTGTAAACCCATCGGACGGAGAAAAGTGGCCTCGAAACCTGCATCATCGGCATTCTTGTGGCGTGAAGGGAACGAGAAGAGAGTTGGTGTAGGCCTGGAATCTTCACCTAAGACTGCCAGCAGTCCCGTGACGCCAAGCTCATGTGACTCTAGATGCGGAGGTGAGTCTGGTGTCATTATCCCAACCTCGGCTCTATGATCATGCTGGGAATTGATAAATAATGGCTGCCGTTCATGAGGCCACACAGCAGTGAGTTTCACAACATGAGAAAGCGCATCGTAAGAGAAATCGACCGAGTTGGCGTCAAGAAGCCGTTGAACTCGTGCCTTGCATTCGGAGTTACCGGAACCACAAGCATATTGTTCAAGGTACGAAGTGAAATGAGATAGGTCGTTTAGGATCTGGTAATATTGATATGCTGTCGAATGAGTGAATCGATCATTTGGTAATTTCGTAAACGATCCCTACAAATTATTAGAGAGCTAGAACGGACTAATATCATTTCTATGAGAGTAGCTTACAGATGTAGATGAGCAATCTAATGGTCCGAACGCTGTCCGAAACAAGCGGCATAAGCGACCGCCATCAGGTCTCTCACTATTGCCAGGCGTATAAAAGATATGCAAACCAGGAGGCAACCTTGAGGTCCAAGGACCTATAGCTTTGTAGGGAATAGGTTTTTGCCATCGAATGAATAGCTCGCGGGATTCTCGAAGTAGGTGTTGAAGCTCGACCGGAAGCTCCTCTAGAGCTAGTGTAATCCGGTCCTCCCGTTCAGCGGTGATGTCCGGTCCCGAAATATAACGACCTAAAAGCCTTAGAGCGGCGGGCTCTACTCCGTTCTCATTTTTATGGAAGAAGGTTATTCTTTGTCGCATTTTGTAGGGTATAAGTTGATGCAATCTATAATACTCGTCGACATCAAATGTTCTGGGAGACTGATCACACGGATACGAAGTACACGCCGTCCCCATGATTTAAGTCTCCAAGTGGCCCCAACCTCTTTTTACCTAACGTTAGGTAGATAAGAAGAGAGATAAGAAATATAGGCCCTGATAAGATAAGGAGGGGCAGATGGGGCAATCAAGCACAAAAATTCAGTTGGAACTCGCGCAAGGAAACGTCTGTGGTTTTTCTACTTTTACATTCTCCGCCTCGTGATCTTGACAGACGAAATAGAATGGAACCGCCCAGCCACGTAATAACATAGAGATACGTCGATACGTCGATCGGGCTGCGGGCTTGCATATTCCTTGGGCAGGAAAGAATTTTCACCCTCGTTAGACGTTCCAATAGATTTAATCCAGCTGTTATGCACTGCATCGCACCATTTAACACGTATCTAACAACTCTAGCCTAAACGAGGCGAACCACATCACACATTGGGTTATTACTAGCCGCCCTACCTCCCTTTTCCATGGTTAAGACCTAGCACTACTGCAAGACTACATGACGTTTGGCTATGACCCTGCATTAAACCCAGCAGGAAACCCAGCAATCCCGAATCCATCAGATCAGTAGCTTTAAATACATGGCGCATAACGGATAACCCCGGAAACTAATGGTACGAAAAGTAAATCAAATAAAGTTCGCGGGGGTACCAGCATTCATTTTCATCATTATTCCCCAGATTTTGCTTGTGAAAGTTTCGATACGATCTTTGGTTTTTTTTTTTTTCAATATCATGTGAAGTGAAGGAGCTGCTGTTGGTGAAGGCAAGGGTTATTAGTTTGGCGCTGAGCTCTATGCAGGATCTGAATCACGCAGCGCATAATGAATCAACCCTGTAGTCGACTAGCGGCCACTTGCCTCCGGTTACATCTCGAGTCGCAAATTCCGAGCAAATTGAGCCCGATACCGCCCCTTTTGCAGGCGCCTCAAAGCGATTTAAACGATTACTTAGACGCTCGGCTTGCACTATATAAAAAGAAAACAAAATTGCTCGAGGCCGAACTGTCGAGATGTGGCGCTACAAACTCTTTCCTAGGCGTCCTCTATCACCTATCGATTGACCTCAAGTCAAGCATATCCAGTACCTAAGAATAGCTCACAAATACATCAAGGAGTGTATCTGCCGCGGAGCAAACAGAGCTGCCTTCGCTCATTACAGAATCCGACATACCATACTAGGGATTCGTGGTAGACAAAGCTAAGTAATTGTTTTGAACTTCTGCAGGTAAAACCCAATGCTCTAAGTTTTCTGTGCCTTTTCATAAATGGCTATATACACGATGTCCTCTTACTTCACGTGAGCACAGAATACGCAAATACATGGACGTGGAACATCTTAGCTGCCATTTCCCACCTCGCGGATAGTCTGGGGGGCTGGCAAATTTGAACAATTGCCGTACAAATTCAACATCGCTAGTATTACCGGCCCAGCCTCCGTAACGGTAACATCCATGATCCTAGTAAATGGTCCGTCGAATCCAAATGCGATGCTTGGGGTACACTTAGTTCAACACTTATAAGTGTCATCTATAAGTGTCACATACTTGAAGAGTTTATTGAGAAGGCTTGGACTAGTTACATTGTCTCTTCGAAATCATCGAGAGGAGGGAGAAACGACGTCGGCTTTACATCGAGCGCATATTCAATATCCATAAGATTCAAGATATTTGCTCCGGGGTGTCAATTCGACTAAACAATTCGGTGGGGGGGATATCTTACAGCCACGATGACTCTTGAATTGACCTAAACTTGATTACAGTCCGCAAGAATTCTCCACAATGCGCCGGGTGCCGAGAGTCTCACCGGTCGATGAATTACAACAACCTTGATTATACACCGACTTTCCCGGCCCCTTAGAAAGCATTCGTATTAATGAGAGAGCGTGGAGCTCTGCGGAATCCCATGGTTTCTCCTGGATCACTAATAGGCTTTCTTCATCGTAATCTCCGCTACTTTAAGATTCGTGTCGGTATGAGAGATTAAAGAAACGAATATCGCAGACAGCTCCTTTAAATTTACGATGCGTCAATAGGGTCTATAAGGACACGATTAAACTGAGAAATCGGTTCTCAATGAGAGCAACAGCAATCAGGAGCCGTTACTGAAAGATAGCGACGACTGCTGTACCGCATGAAAAATACTTGGATCTAATTCTCCGATTCGCTTGCAAGTTAATGTTTATAGTCTCCTTATTTAACTAAGACATGTAGGTATTTGAGTGAGAGGTATATTATAATTTTGATTTTAGTTAATAGCGAACTTATCTTTCAACCCTTTAGCGGCGACACCTCCCAGCGCTTCTAGCGTTCCAGTAGCCATGATTTCGAGAACGCTAATTTGTAGGCCTAACACCTGTTTCCACCAGCGGCGCAGCTCAATTGCCATGAGCGAATCCAATTCAATTTGCGATAGTGTCAGGGATATATCCAGATCGTCCTCAGGTTTGAGCATTAAGCTGTATACCTTCTTACCGATTTCGTGGCTTAGGTATGAAACACTTTGAGGGTCGTCCAATACTTCGACATCATCAGCTACTCGTGCTAGGAACGCGATTAGCTCGCTGAAACTACTCCTTGTATTGGTTTCCTTCTCATTGCCGTTGTGGTAGAAGCCCATTCGTCGGTCCCGACGCCAATTAGTTCGCGTATTTGGGTCATTTAGGTCACTCTCAGATCGCAAACCCATAACTAATTGGCCGGTACTCGTCCAAGGAGTCAGCGTGGAGTTGCCTGTGGAGCTGAGTCCTTCAAAAGGGTATGATTGGGTGATAGCCAGTTCGAAAAGGTCCAGAAGCTCCGCCTCACGCAAGAAATACAGTCCTTGTGCTTTCATGTTCTTCCTTGCGAAAGGGGTTTCGGCGACGAAGCCCACGCCGTCTATTGGGCTGATATTAAGCACAGTCGCGGGGAGAGATAGGGAACGTCGGTATTGAGTAAAAGCTTCAAGGAACGTGTTTGAAGCACTGTAGTTCCCCTGCCCTGGTTGTTCGACAATAGTTACTATGGAACTAGCCATGACGAAGAAATTAAGGACATGTTCCTTTAGGTGCTCATGGAGATTCCAAGCGCCGGTCACTTTGGGGGCGTTTGCAGCCACCCAATCTTCATGTTTCATGCTTGCAATAGGTGAATCCTAATGAAGTATAAGTACGACACTTCCAAAGATAAGGTTGAGATTAACTTACCCGGAGAACCATCGCCAGATGGATAACTCCTTTGATGGGATATGGAGCCTGCGAAACCGCACTTCCAACGTCCTCAGTTGATTCAGCCCGACCCAGTACAGCGCGCACATCACACCCCATACTTCGCAATTCTTGGAAGAACTCCTGATCCTGTTGTGTCTTTCCAGCGCTTCTAGATAGAAATACTAGCGATCTAGCCCCCTTTTCGACGAGCCAGGTAGCGATAACTTTTCCAAGGCCGCCCAAGCCACCTGTTAACAGATATGAGGCGGTATTCTTGAAGCGCAACTCGAAGCGTCTGGACATGCTTGTGAGAGTCGAGGAATCTTTAGGTACGCGGACAACCACCTTGCCAATATGGTTTTCATCTTGTACTACGCGGAATGCATCTTGGACATCGCCTGCGTCAAATATAGAGAGTGGACCGATTGGCTTTATGCTACCAGTTCGGTAGAGTTCAACACACTTCTTCAAGTCCCTATATAAAATCACTTATCAGTATTTGAATGTGCATCTGATACTGAGTGTGACGAGAAAGTACGTACACTCCAACTCTCTGTGATCTCTTCTGTGCAAGATGCGTCATATTGACACAGGAGTATGACCGATGCTCTATGAAGTTTCTCATCCGAAGCTTACCACCCTCGATTGCGTCTCTCTCTCCGAGCTCGATCAGGGTGCCGAACTCAGCGACACAGTCCCAGGAAGCATGCAGTAACTCTCCAGAAAGGGAGTTGAGCACAATATCAGCTCCGCGGCCATTAGTCTCGCGCATCAAATCAGCAACGAATGAATCATCTCGTGAACGGAATATGTGGCTAGTCGGAATACCGAATTCCTTTACAAGGTGTTCCACCTTTTCCTTACTTCCGACAGTTGCAAATATCTTTTCGAGTATCTCTGTTAGTTATACCCATGTAAGTCGGTTGAAACGGTTAAGACATACCTCTGCGCCAACCATTTGGCAGATTTGGATTGCTGCGTGCCCGACACCTCCAGCCGCTGAGTGAATAAGAACAGACTGCAACCTGTTAGATCCAGCGCTCGAGCAACAGACGCGAAATATACTAGCCTGTCCCTTTTCTAGTCGTCCAATTTTCAAAAGCGACTCTATCACCGTTGTGTAGCATATAGGCATAGAGGCCGCCTCCTCAAAAGTGAGATTGTCCGGTATCTTTGCGACAAGAGAAGCCGGCGTTTTGACCTGCGTCTTGAAGCATGCGTTCGGTGGAGTTGCCATTACGCGATCTCCGATAACTAGATCATTTACTTTTGCACCAACCTGGCGGACGATGCCGGCCAGTTCGTGACCTAACGGAACATTCTCTGTACTGGTCTTAAGAATACCCATCGCATAGAGGACGTCCTACTTCATTGTTAAAGTCGATTGGTGTAGAGGAATTGTTACACATATATAGGTACTCACCTTGAAGTTAACTCCCACTGCCCGTGTCTCAATCACAACCTCGTCATCTCCAAGGCTGCTCGAAATAGCCTCGCCGACCCAACCGACATTCTCCAGTGATCCAGGCTTGGCGGTTTCCAGTGTCTTCGCCTCTTGGACTACAGCACTACTGGTATTCTGTTGTAGTTCTTTACTAACTGAGAATGGTTGGTATCGGCCAATCTTAACAACACCAGCGTCAACGACGTATTCTTTATCGGGCGCAAGCAAGTCAGTGTCTTCGATACGTTGAATCTTACTTAATACCTTTTGAACTAAGGTCGAGAATTGAGGTTCTGTAGGACTAATCTCTAGCGTATAGAAAGGCACCGAGGATTCAGCTCGGATAGATCGAGCGACACCGATGGATTGAGCGGATCGCGGATCTTTGCAGTCTACTTGGGCTGGTCTGGTCAGCCATATCATAGAGCCTGACTTGTAGTCCTGTAATATCTGTTGGAACGCATTTAGTCTTTCTGGCGAGATGTTCTCGAAAAAGTAACTTTCTAGATCAAGAAGGGATACAATGTCTTGGTCGTGTGGTAGCTTTTGTCCCAATCGAAACACCTTTGCCGAAACACTAGAACTTGCAAGATCTTCAACAAGGAGTCTTACTAGGTCTCCCTCAGGGTCGTCACACAGGATTGATACTGGCGAGGGTGTCTTTTCAGAAGAGGTATTATCTTCTATCTTGGTTGATACGATGGCGGCGCAATAATGGTAAGGCTCAGCAGCATCACGAAGTGCGGTATCGACCCCGGAGAAACCACTTGCCTTGAGCTCATCGTCCCATCGTTCAAAAGAAACGTAAGGCTCATAAGGTCGGTCATCTTCCACGCCGAGCCACCAACCAGAGAAATTACCAAATATGTAATTTGGAGTCCGCACAACAGCGCATAGCTCCGTCAGAACGAGAAGTCCTCCTGGTCGCAGGAGCGGCTGTAAGTTTAAAAGCGTTTCACGTAACGACGGTGTAGCGTGTACTACATTAGATGCTAGCACAACATCGTAGGTTCCGGCCGTGAAGCCCTGATCGAATGGAGACTTCGAGATATCAAAGACCTTATAGTCCATGTTGGGCGCATACGAAAATCGCTCCTTGGCCTGCGGGAAGAAGCCCGCGGAGATATCACTGAAAGTATAGACAGAGTAGGGCGGGTGGCCATCCTCTCTCACAAGGGTCCGGAGGATCATTTCGGTGGTGCCACCGGTACCTGCGCCAACTTCGAGGATGCGCATGTTTGGCCGCGAGTGGGACAGTAGCTTGAAGAAGTCTCCTTTTCCAAAACTAACTGCATTATAGATCTCCGTAAGGACGTTGTCTTGCATTAACGTCTCCAAAGTGTCTGTCTTGCCTGTGAAGATGTCTTCGCAGTTATCGTATATCCGCTTGATACCGATAGCCACAGAGCCCTTTTCTGAAAGGGGCAGGAGTTGTTGATATCTTTCTTCAATCATTGGCTTTCTCTCTGCAGAGGAGAGTGCTACATATTCCCTGCAGTACTCTAATAAGGGGTATGTCCCCTTCCTCGCGCGGCCGATCTCGAGCTCCAGCCAGTCGCGGAACTTTTCAAAGTGCCAAGAACACGGTTCTAAACCACGGACTCTATCAGAAGTTTCTAGCATGCATAAAAGTGTCATCTCTTCTTGCATCCTAGTCTCTTCAGGTATCGACCGTGGCGGACTAAATAACGTCGCGTGGTCAATCATATCGAAGTCCGGAAGCCATTCTAGACGAGCCGCCGCATGCGGCTCAGTCTGCTGAGTGGTGTCATTATCCATCGTCGTCAATTCGAGCCCACGTAGTCTTAAAGCAACCTTGCCGTCAGCAATACAATCAATAGCGATGGACTTGCGTCCGTTGCTAGTCGCCACAGCATCCATCGTCGCGGCACTTCTAGAGATATAAAGATCCTCAATCGTAGTAGGCACTTGTAGATCGCCGAAGTTTCGCCCAATACCCTTTGCCAGCGCAACTAGAGCAAGTTGCAAGCAGTTGTCAATCCCGGATGGATGGAATATGAAAGCCGGATCTTCATGGTGATGCGGAAGGCTGACATTGGCAGCAGCCAGATTTTTAGTGGTGGACGAGACGATATTTTGAAGCCCCTGAAACTCTGGCCCATACACAACACCAATATTATTCATTGTATCATACCATTTTGATCCGGGGATTTTTCTGACAAGTTCATCTTCGTCCGGTGTAAGAGAAGACGGCGGCAATAGATTCGTGCTTGCTTTGATTTGTCCTTCACAGTGCTTAGTCCAAGCCGAGCCACTATACGATGTTATAGAAAACTCGAACCAGGTCGAGTCAGCCGTGTCAGTCAATTTGGCAAGTCTTAATGTCGTTAACACCTCTACTGGATGGTCTGAGAGTACCATGGCTGACCGGGCTGTTGCGCGCCTCACTTGGTAACCTGCGTCAATACCCGTAATCTGTCTTATTGCTTCCCCGGCCATGGCAATATACCCTGAAAATGGGAAGACGATATCCGAGCGGATTTTATGATCTGCCAGCCAAGGCTCGTCCTCTAAGCTCAAAAGATTCCGCCAAGAAGGTTCATAGCTCGAACTTTCAGGGATGTGTAAACCGAGAAGACGATGGTGCCCAAACTGGCGGAAACGCCATTCCTTAGAAACGCGGGCTTCGTACCAGAATGAGCCGCCGCTATGATCCCAAGCATACCGGGGGAGGTCTGTCAGTATTTTTCCTGAGGGGAAAACAGCAGACCAATCGATTGAAACGCCGCTCCGGAATAGTTGGCCAAGTGCCGAAGCTAGACTGTGGGCACTGTTAGAGCCCCTGATCATCGTAGGAATATATTGGAATTGAGTCCCAAAGCTTGATACGATCTGTCGCAGTGGTCCGGATAGCGTCGAGTGAGGACCAATCTCAACGAAGAGTCGTCTTGGACGCTGCTCTAGTATACGTTGTACTGCAGAGTTGAAACGCACTCGTGAAGTCAAGTTAGCGATCCAGTAGTCCGGCCCAAGATCGTCACTGTTCTGAATGATCTTTTCTTTTACAGATGAAAAGAAAGGTATACTAGCTTGCTGACGACCAAGACCTTGGCGCTTAAGTTCTTGCTCCATTAGCTCTCGATATTTTAAACCTAACCCCTTCATATGGCCTATTCGATCGAGTTAGCACATAAGTATTCTCTTCAATCGGCCGCGAGTGAGGTACTTACTTGAGTGATAAGCCATGTCCACCTTGAGCTTCCTCGCAAGTACATCAGGTTTGTCTACCTTGATCGCATTAAGAACATCGTCTAGCGCTCCTACGTCGCCGGAAAGGGTAACGCTGTTAGGACTGTTATCACAAGCGATCACTACACCCCCTTTAACATATTTAGAGACATCAGCGACACCCAAACCCACGGCTCCCATCCCACCGATTAAGGTCTGGTCCCTTGTCACGTAACCTCTATAATATGCCGATATTAAGGCCTCTGCAAGCGAGATAGCTCCAGCCGCATAGGCGGCCGCGATCTCCCCACTGGAGTGGCCCACCACGGCAGCGGGCTGGATGCCGACTCTATGAAGGCTTCGGACAAGAGCGATCTGGACTGCAGTACAAAGGGGTTGGGCTAGTTCAGCGCGATGGATCTTACTCTTTTCCGGCGGCGCGAACAACTCGGCTATAGATAGTATTAGTAAGGATAAGGCAACATAGAATAAACTACTCTCTACCTTCAATTGACCACGGCGGAGTATAAATAAGTGACTGGAGGAGACGGTCCATCTCCATGATGTCGGTTCTAAATCCTTCGTCCGTAAGAAAAAGTTCCTTCCCCATTTCCGGCCATTGTGCTCCTTGTCCGCTGAATACCATCACGATGTCAGGGTTGCTGACTGGCGCTTTTGCGGGAGTTGATTTCTCGACTATCGTGCCATTGCTGTCGATGATCATGAAGGCTCGATGGGGCAGGATCTCCCTACGTCGGCCGAATGTGTAGGCAATGTCATCAGCATTTTCGGGATGTTTATCGACATATCCTTGTAAATTATCGATATATGCCTTTAGGGATCCTTGTGTGTTTGCGGAGAGGATGGCTAGCTGGGCACGCTTTAGTCCTGTGCTTTCGCTATGTGTCGGGCCGTTTGATACGGGATGCGGGTTCGCGTCTAACACAATCTTTATAGAGGATTAGCATTGGTTTCCCCTAGGTAATAAGGAAATCTCTGTTTCATGGCCTAGGTAATCTAGAGACTTTTACTTACGTGAGCGTTCGAGCCCCCTATTCCAAAAGAGTTGATGCTAATTCGTTTCGCTCGGTCTTGGGGCCAACTCGTTGGCTCAATTGGGACTCGAAGCTTCCTACTCGAGAATGGAACTTCATATAGTTAATACCATTGTAGATTTAATCTTATGGATCAGGCTGAGACTTACTCTTGGGATTTGGCTTGTTGAATTTGATATTAGGTGGAATTATATCGTGCTCCAGCGCCAAGACCCCTTTAATAAGACTGGTAAGTCCTGATGCACCCTCCGAGTGGCCTACATTAGGTTTCACCTAGTAGTATGGTCAGTTAGCAGACCTCTTCCTAATACCTGAGCCTAATAGCACTTACAGAACCGATGTATACACCTTGAGAACCAAAGATATTCCCTATAGCGTTTGTCTCTAAGGGGTCACCGGTCGGTGTTCCTGTCCCATGGCACTAAAGTTCACCGTATTAGCAATTTTACATTAGATAAATGGGCTATAACACTAATAGAAGTTTACCTCAACGAATGCTGTCTCGTGTGGTAGAAGTCCAGCATCTGCATAAACTTTACGCATCAAGCTCTCGTGGGCGGCTCCGTTAGGCGTCATCAGACCCTGACTCCTACCGTCGCTATTAGTTCCGGTATTTCGGATGATAGCCCTAATCGGGTTTCCATCACGGATGGCGTCATCAAGAAGTTGACATAAACGGCATTGATAGCCTCGGCTCTTGCAAACCCGTCAGCAGCGGCATCGAAGGTTTTGCAGGAGCCCTCGGGGGATAGAATGCCCTCTTCCGTCATCGCAGCCGTTGTTGTTGGGCCCATGATCATGTTGGCACCAGCAACAATGGCACCTGTGCAGTCGCCATGTTGCAATGCTCGGCATGCTTCGTGGAGTGCTATAAGTGAAGCAGAGCACCCAGTCTTAACTACCATACTAACGAAGGTTGGAATATTAGCTATCTTACAAATATGAGGAAGAAAAGGGGTATAATAGAATGGCTAACCTAGGACCTTTAAGATCGTATTCAAACGATAGTCTGTTAGCAAGCATAAGATCCCCATGACCAGTCACTGTGGACGGGGTCCCAAGTTAGTTATGAGTTGTTTTACAAGATAGGCAATAGAGAGTAATCTTTGTAGGAATGGTGTCAAATTGTACAAATTCTAGACATTACTTACTAATATATCCGCCCGAGTGTTGGGTTTCTTTGGCGCTGATTTGAAGCCAGTCCTCTCCAAAGGTACCGACATAGCAGCCAATCAACCGGCCTCTATAGTCAGCTTCACCAGCGTTTTCAAAGGCCTCCCGGATCACTTCAAGGAGCTGGCGCTGTTGTGGGTCAGTTCTCTCCAATTCATTCTTACTCATAGTAAAAAATGATGTGTCCAACTTGCTGAGGTCTTCATCGAGAAAGTATCCATACTGAGTCTTTATGGCACCTTTCTTTCCATACCTATCAGCAAATGCGGATGCATTATATCGATTGGATGGGATGGGGCCTCTAGTGTCTTTCTTGTTTACGAGCACGTCCCAGAAGGTATCAGCGTCTCGCACCCCGCCGGGTAGACGCATCGCCATTCCACAGATAGCAATTGGATGGATTGCATTTTGCTCTCCGTTTGCTACCCCGTTTGTTGAACCAAGCAGCCTAGAAGACTTGTGATAGTCGTTGGTTCTTGGTATGGTGCCATTACCTAACTGCTGTTGAGAAGTTGGGGCTATGTTGCTAATAGTCATCTTGAAGCAAATGTTGAATAAGAGTATAAAAGGAGGGATAGAGGAGTCTTAACCAAGTAGCAGGACTATATATTTACCTACTATAGCTTAGTAGTATTCATAAGTCACAGAATTATAGAAGTCTATAGTCAACATGAGCTTTTATATAAACGTCTTACAACCATTTACCTCATATTGTGTATCTGGTATGAGCGGTTTCGGTTATTCTACGAGTTGCTATCAGAGAAGACGCCATCCCACCTCTAACTATTATTCTCCAACTAAAAACTATCAACACTCTGCGATCAACTCACTCAGCTATATCTGTATCTATCTCCGTTACTAACAATGCACTCATGAGGAGAAAGTGCTATTCCTTTATCTCGGTCAATGGAATCTTCTTAATTTCATTAGTGAGTGTGTGAGATGCTTACCATTGGGGGTCGACAATCTGGAGAAGCAGACATCATTATACCTCAATATACGCAACTAGTGTAACTTCTGTTCGTGTAGAGCCGATTACGCATACTATTATACATTTGTAAACCCAAAATTCGACCAACATGAAAGATCTACACCCTCTATTTGAGAGCATGGTGTAAAATTGTATATATTAAGTACGTATTTAACCTACTACTTAGTATCAGTTATCATAAAAAGTTATCCTTTGAAGCCTTATACGTATAAAAAACTAACTTTAGACCCCAAGGAATACAAAGATAAACTCCAAGAAGGTCTAAATAATATGGCTATACTCTATAGTACGCCTTGCTTACCGATCATCCATCCACATAATCATGCAGACATTATCACATATGCAACTATTACCTACTAACTCAAGATAAGAGATATTGCAAAGCTGACGTGGCCTTCGGGTATTCGAAAATGGCCTGACCTGTATTGAGCGTATGTTCCTCCTAATCCCTTTTCCGCGTTATCCGCTGCTTGGGTGCTACTTCTTGCGGGGGAATTGAGGAATATAAGGACACTGCAATACGCGTCGTCTAGGATTGTATCAGTATCTGAGACACGCTGATCTTTACTTCTAATCCTACTAGATTATTTACATCAAATCTACGCTTACATCATGGCCCAGACTCCTCAAATCGAGTTTGAAACAGTTCCATTCCCCGAAGGTCTGTCATTGACCTCCCGTGAGTGTCTCTCAAAGGCCTACTTGAAAATGATGAGGACGAAAGCCGCAAGGTATTCGACATATGTGTCAAAAGTGGTTTCTTCTACCTCAACCTGACAGATCACCCAATCGGGCAGAAGCTCCTGCAGTGTGTCGAGTTGGGCAACAGGTGCTCCCCAATCTCTCGATGGAGGAGAAGCTCGCTTACAAGGCCCGCGATAGGTCGGGGGTATTCGATATAGGGTAATAACTCTGATTAAGCTTTCTTACCCTGGGGATAGGAAGATGCTTGTATTGCTAACCTACCGTGCTCACTTAGATACAAATGCCCGAGCGTCGGGAAAAATGGGCAGCCAAAGTTTAGCGAAGCCTTCAATGTAAGTCTACAGAGAGAATAACTTTCTTGATCCCGTCGTTCTTACATAACAAGGTCCCTTTCTACGAGTTACTCGTCGACAAGGAATCTGGATTCCAGCTACCGCAATGGCTAGCGAAGTATAAAGAACTTTTCGGCTCCATTATGGAAACAGGGAACTCTATCTGCCACATCCTACTTAAAATCCTCGAGACGAAGCTTCAAGTAAAAGAAGGTTCTCTCCCATCTCTTCATAAGACCATTGAGCCTTCCAATGATTTCCTCCGTGTTCTAAGATATCCAACTGCCGAGCCAGGCGATGATCCTCACCGGTTCAATTTCCCGCCACACCGGGACTCTGTCAGTATCGCCATATTATTTACATGGGTTGCCGGCCTTCAAATACTTGAACCAGGCTATGATATTAGTGCCACCATGAAGGGTGACGAAAGTGGCTGGCGTTGGGTAAAGGCGATTTTAGGACATGTTATTGTCAATCTCGGAGATGCACTTGCTATCCTTACCAATGAACACCTGAAGGCTGGGTTTCACTGTGTCGTAAGCCCTCCCAAAAAGCAAGCTCATCTTGATAAATACAGCGTCCTTCTGGGATACCGGCCCGCACCCACTACTTTAATGCGTCCACTACCAAGCCCAGTTATCCCGCCACTGACGGAAGAACAAGCAAAGTTGCCCACCTTGACATGTGAAGAGTGGGGGGCTCAGAGAGTTTAGAAGGTATACCAAGTGTTGGAAACCCGTTTGGGGTATAGTTAGTTGTACAACATCTTATTTACGTTAGAAGGAATAAAAGGGGTAGCACAGTTATTTTCCCAAGATACATTCATTAGCTGTCAGAAATCTTAACAATAATTTAACTCGCTCGCTTAGTACTTCACCTCTGTGGTATATGTTGTGAAACTGCATTTATTGATCTCATGTAAATATGATGCATCATTTGCTGACGATAAACCTCCAACTTCTAATATGATACGTTGGAGCAGTTCGGCTATAACTTGCGACATAAGAGCGAGTAGTCATTTTGCATGCATTTATAGTCAAGGACTTACACCAGATATTTATTACCAGACACGGTGGACGATGGAGTTACCGATAACATGTCAGAATATAGATCGATTTTAAAGTGCAAGAAGTAGTACCAACAACGTTTTCATATTACCTAAACAGGCTATTAAATTGGCCAATCGAGGTTTTTATAGATCTATGAGACGCCCTAAAAGGGAATTACCTTTCTACTACAGCCAATTGCATCCTATTATTTATATTTGATGCTTATTTGCCACCTCTTTTCCTTCAACTCTTAAAGCCCGACCCAGAATTCAACAATTATATCCCGACTTTCTAACACTAAACCTACACGTATGTCTATCGTGATCGGCAAATACTTATATGACATGATAAGAGGGGATGGACAAAAGAAGCGGCGCAGAGATCCCGAATTATCTTACGGAATTGATAGAGTTAGCATAGTAATTGGTTCGCGACGGCTATGCGTGATTCTCTTTTCTTCGAATAGATTATTATGACAGATCAACTAAACTGTTGGAGATAGAATAAGCTTACAGCACTATCAGTCGAAGTTTAACTGATGGCACGAGTAACGTAACGAATATAATCGAACTAGCTATACCTAGGAGGTATCTAAGTCATGTGTCCATGTTATATGAGAATCAAAGCTTCGTTGTAAGGCGCGGGCCGTACCCTAAAACGGAGAAACCCCATATACTCCTAACACCTTTCCAACGTCAGAATCTCTTTCCCCCTTGACTACTGATGCCACACGCTCGCCTCCCTCCCATGGTTCAGCAGCATCCCTCTTCCGCAACGAGACGGGATTGCCGGTAAAATTAGTGGCACAAAGTCCAGGATCTACCCCAAATACCAAAAAGCCCTCTGGCTTCAAGCGAGCGTAATACATGACCATAAGCATATTGACGGCAGCCTTGCTAGTACGGTACTCCGTTCCCAACGGGTTATAATACGGAGAACTAGGATCTACTGCGTGCGTAATCGAGCCCATGCTCGAGGTGACGAACACTAGGCGAGGCAGTTTGTGGACCGCCTTACGCAACAGGTCCAAAAACGCCTCAGTGACGCTGCCCTTAACGCCGTCCGTAGCTTGGACTTCTCTGGCCGCTGCTTCGCCTTTAGAGAGATCCCGACTTCCCAAAATCACATGGTATTCCTCAGAGAAAAGAAGTAGATTCTTTACAGAAATTCAATATCCCTGCAGTGAGCGCGTTGTCAGAGGTCGGTCAGAATCTAATCGTACGTATACCCCTAATAGTGTTTGCATTCCCTATATACTGACTGCGAGTAACTTTTAGGATCACCCTAGATACGGAACTCTATTCTCCGTCAACGCCGAGTCTCAGCACCGGTTGTTTAACAACGTCACGTTCGCCAATGAGGCATATAAGGAGTTTTACTCTAGCCGATCTGGCGCTTTGACCGCATTCGCTAGTAATTACCTCTGTGTGTTACTTTCCCCCTTTTTGCTTTATTAAGAACAGACTTTTTACTGACCAGTGCTATTGTAGTGTGGGAAAAACTCCCTAACAACACACAACTAAGCAACGAGACCTGCGAAGTGCTAAACTCTTTCCCTGCAGACTGGCCCGATATCTAATACATCTTGGTGATCTCCTAAGCTTGGGCGTGGTAATACTTAAGCCCTCGTCTATCGGCTCGGTAACCCTAAATAGCTCTTCTGATACAGCCGAAAATCCACTGGTAGATGTAGCTTGGTTTACCACTAAAGCGGACCAGGAACTGGGCATAGCAGCCGTGCGGCAGCTCCGCCTATTTGCAAACGCTACGGGGGTGCTTCAAAGCGAGTTGTCACCCGGCGCCGCCGTGCAAACGGACGAGCAGATCTTGGAGTTTGTCAAGGGTGCTGCTAGTCCTAGTCACCATGCTGTTGGCACATGTGAGTTTACCCCATTCTTCCTTATAGGTCTATCTTCAAGAACAGAAATTATGAGATATTAACCTAGGTAACTTGCGAGTAGGTAAGATGGGTAAGTCAAGCGATAAGTCCGCGGTGGTGGACATGCGCCGCAGTGATAACATGTCATGAGAAGCTAAATTGCATCTCCGTGTCCGTGTGCGGGGGACAAAATGAACCGAGCCGGGGTGCCGGATTGGTTGGAGCGATATTAAGCCGGAGCCGGAGCTCGACTTACTGTGAAGGTCCAATGAGGATTCGCCGCCTTACCATATACGGTAATACCTGGGTACGTACCCTGCGTTACGATTCAGTACGGCGATATTCATCGCATGTGCTTTCTTTCTGTATATTAGGAGTCGAGGTGTATTTAAATATCACTTGTAGTATCATGTTTGTTTTATTTTTCTATACTGGTTGTAGTCACAAAAATTGTATAAAATCATTCATTTCGCACAGGCCGTGAATATGTCTACTCCAAAACGGTCTGTCCTCATCACTGGCTGCTCGGGCGGCGGCATGGGTAGCGCCCTCGCAATCGCTTTCCACAAAGCCGGCTTCCATGTTTATGCTACAGCACGAAATTCGTCTAAAATGACAGAGCTTGTGTCGCTAGGGATTGATACTCTCCAGTTGGATATACAATCGGAATCCTCAATAGCTGATTGTGTCAGCAAGGTACCATCGCTAGACATTCTGATCAATAATGCTGGACTCCAGTTCCTAATGCCGATTGTCGACATTAACATCGCCGAGGCAAGAAAGTTGTACGATTTAAACGTATGGAGTCATATCGCCATGATCCAGGCATTCCTGCCGCTACTGCTCAAGTCCCCCAACGGCGTCATCGTCAACCAGACATCGATCGGGGCTAGCCTTGCGATACCATTCCAGGCCGTCTATAATTCTTCCAAGGCGGCTCTTGCTATGCTTACGGACTCCCTCCGGCTCGAGCTTCAACCCTTTGGGATCAAGGTCGTCGACCTGAGGACTGGGATCGTCAAGACCAATTTGATCAAAAACTTGCAGGATAACAGCAACCCGAAGCTTCCTAAGGGTTCAATATATGAGCCCGCTAAGGAAGTGGTTGAGAAGGCGCTGCGCCAAGAAGGCTTCGAGGACAAGGGCATGCCGGCGCATCAGTGGGCAGAGTTAGTAGTGCGGGACTTACAGAAAAGTAATCCGCCTGCGGTTATCTGGAGCGGGGAATCGGCATGCTTAGTGCGCACTCAGACGGTGTTGCCATCTGGGCTGCTCGATGGTATGGTTAAGAAAATGGTCGGGTTGGACGTCGTCGAGCAGATTGTGAAGAAATGAGCAATGAGAGCTTCATTTCCGGGACTTCATGCGCTGCGCCGACGGCATTTCGATGGTCCTAAAGAAGACATGGAATCCCCTGTATCGGCAGTCCTTTATTGCTTATTTCTAATCGTGTAGTATAACGGGAATTGGATTATACGAAATTAACAATCTGGACATGAAAAGTCCTAGGTTAATATCATCGCGGGGTGATGCATATTTTATCCCGTTCATGTTTCATTTATATTATTGCGCCAAGACTCAATGCATTGCACTATTCGAAGAAGGGAATGACAGCTAGAAGTAATCTATAGGTACCTAGTCAGTCACATTACCATCATATCACATACATAGTACTTAATGAGCAAGCTGTAAACGTCATTCGCTAGGATTAAATTCGCCCGTAGAGGGATTCTAGAAAACAATATGAGAATGAGGGGGGTCCCTGTCAAAGTCTAAAGGATCTACGCAAGCAACGTTGGGCATTAAGAAATACCCGTCTAGGTAAAGTTTGACCTTATTTGACCTTAGCGTTACAATAGGTGATAGCCTGTAATTTTTCAAGATAGAGAACTTGTCGGTTGAGCTGGAGATAAACGCCACATCCCTGCCGGAAGGATCTAAAATAGGAGCCACGAGTCCGTTCCACTAAGCAGCGTCGGCCGAGTTTGCATATGCACGTATGGCAGAGCTCAAAAATAAGGTTACGGCGTGGACGATGGACCAACCAAGTACCGTATGGACCCCAGATCAGGGATTACTGCGGCTCTTCAAAAGTCCAGAAGCTTAGAATTCTTATTATAGCAAAGCAAGATCATAACAAAAATTAGTCAGAAGATCATTGCCCGTCATGGTAACAAGTCATAAAGTAAATCTTGGGTAGACCACGTAGATGCAGATGAGTTCGGTTCCGATCCTCCTTGCTGTCATCATCTTAAATTTCTAGAGGAGGGTTACTTTCAGACCGCTAATTGTTACCATGTCATATCGCGTCTGCCTTCTAACGCTTACTCAACCAATCGACATATAATCTATACGCCCGACCGAACTTTAGTGGGTCCTCGGCTTTAGCGCCGGTCGGATGCGGAACCTCGAAAATGTACCCTTTTTTATCAACGGTTTATTCAGGCCTCATAAACTTAAGGTGATAACAATTGAGCTTACTGAAAGATATATTTTAATATCATAGTCCCTCTGAATTTAAGTTGGCTAAATTACGTATAACCTCAAAGACAATGTTTGCATACCGAACCGGCACCATTGCTTAGCGGCCTAGATACGTGAGTTGTCACTTAGGAATTCGGTTGCGTGGCGCATGACCCTAGACGAATCACTCTCAAAAAACCTGATCTAAATAGGATTTTGTTCAGCCGCTCGGAGACGTCCAGGGCCATTATCCCGTGAACTCTTGTCTTCTCATGCAAGACGGGATAAATACACCTAGCCTTTCAAACAGGTAGGTATTTCGCCTTCCCAAGTACCGGTTAGCTACCGAAAGGTCTACTCGTAGACAGCTCAATTCATGCGGCTTCCTAACTTGTCGGTTAACCATGTCATCGGGTACCTTAGTTGTTTTATCTCTTCTAACTAGAAATTATCCCGATCAGTTTGCTTCACCTAAGTTACAATGTAGAGGAAGGAAGCAGGCATAGATTACGATACAGGGATAACTTTACTCACATCAAGTGAGGCGAGATTTAAAGCAGGCGTTGCTTTATTGCTATATCCCGGCACGTATTCGTAAGATAAGACTTCTAGACCGTAGAAGATCTAAGAGTCATGATAAATCCTATGCGTAGTTTTATGACTAGGTAGATGCATCGCTTTTACTTTTCCCTCTCAAGGAACAGCAAGCGTTCACGACATTGCCAGATATGGATATAAGCAGCTAGGTCTTATAGGATAGCTATTCGAGATATAGATCTTACACTGGGCTCGGGTAGTCCGCAAGTAGACGGACCGGGCCAATACCTTTAGGATGCGGGATAGGGGGTACTGCTTTTAATCCGAAGACACGTATCTTTGGTGCTTCATCATACGGCTAAGGAGACCACATAGTACTTATAAGCCATAGCATCTCTTAACCCGTGCCATGCGCCACCTGCCTACTTTCCCCGGGAATTCCTGATATCAAATCTCGGCAGTCTGAAGGAAGCTTAGAAGCTTTATTCTAGCATCTCTTGTATGTATTCGTCGTATTTAGTCATCTTGGGTAATGGGGGCTCTAGCAAAATAAATAATTATCTACTCTCTATAATGTTATTGGGGTATTTTCTTAGTAAGTAAGTACTGAGTTTAGTCTAGTCCCTTATTCAACGGGTATTTTCGTTTATACGTCAGCTTACATTAGCGGTTTTTACGGTGTCTTCTTATTCGGTAGAACGTATCGTGAGTTGCTATTTTAAGCGCGATCCTATATGTGGGAAAAGTAAACTAAAGCTGCGTCGGTCGAAAACTCAACAATGCATACACTGCACTTTGAAGAGACATCTTCGATCTTTCTGGTCGGCTAGCTTCCATGTGGGTTCCGAATTGTTTTTTTCATGATCGGCTACACTATGATAATAGGTATTTACAGTGTAAATATTAATAAAGGCATCAATAAGCGATTCGGTATTCGTCCCTACTGGATGATTCTATAGTCTGTTTGGGCTATAATCAACTATCACAATCCTTGGCGGCCAGCATCACTTTCCTTCCACCAACATAGTCCGCATCGATTTATGTGCATTTGATTTTCTTTTCTAATAGGTTAGTGCTAATATACGAAAGATGCACAGCTATTGGATGAGAAAAAGCTACATCGGAAGGCCGGATACAAAAGTCCAGCACGGGAAGAATGCTATGCCTAGAAAGCATATACTCCTCTACTCCTCGGCTAGAATATTCATCCGAGTTAAACTAGCGCGAACGTGTTTTTATGTGATTTCGGTACTTTAGGAGAACCTTAATGTCCGTATACCTATACTATTTATCTATTTTTACTCGTTTAATTCGTTTAATAGCCTTACCTAACTCTCAGCTCAACGACCCCTCCTCTCTCTCTCCCCCCCCCCCCCCCCCCGGTGCCATGTGCGGGCGATGCTGTGCCTGGAACTAACATTCCGTCCGTTCCTCCCCCGACCATTTGAAACCACGCGCTGCATGTCAGCTTACTAGGAACCCGATTCAGCCACGCTGATTCGCACATGGTTCTTGTTAATCCATTTCGTCTATGACAGTTAGTCACTTTCTGGTACCGGATCGTCTTCAAAGCCACACGGAATTTGACTTTAATATGTTAGGCCCCTAGCCTCTCCAACTTGTTTAATTCTCTTCATCGTGTAACAATACCGGCATTTCTTTTCTCGTTTGTTTCTTTCTCTATATGCAAGAGGGTAGTCACAGGATTTAGTTCACGATGGCTTCATATCCCCCCGTGGCGGCGGGCCCTGTCCCGTTTTCGATGGACTACAGCGGATATATATCGACCGATGAGGACTCCATGGTTACTATTGCCCCTCGGATGCAAGACAGAGAAGAGGTGGAAATACTCAAGGACAATCCGCCGTTTAAGCCAGACAGGAACTTTATTCTCGCTTTCATTTCTATTTGTATTATTACTTTAGCAGCCGCCCTCGACGCGACGTCTCTTAGTATCGCCCTACCTATCATTACCGAAGATCTTAAGGGGACGGCTATCGAAGCATTCTGGACAGGAACGTCATTCTTACTCACTTCTGCCGTCTTTCAACCCGTTATCGCCGGTTTAAGTCATATTTTCGGAAGAAAGAATCTTCTCATTATATCATGTTTTTTATTTGTCGTCGGAGCTATTATCTGTGCCGTTGCCAGAAACTTTACCGTGATGTAAGTAGGATTTTGAGCGCCATGGTATTCTCTCGATTGCAAATAGCTAACATGGCGTGTCTAAGGCTCGTGGGAAGATCTATCCAAGGTATCGGTGGAGGTGGTATATTAGCACTGGGTGAAATCATCGTTACCGATCTTGTTCCACTTGTCGCTCGAGGCAGTACGTATTTCTCCCTTTCCCTATGATTGTTTTATGCTGATATAGTTTAGCTTGGTTCGGATATCTCGGTTCGACATGGGCGTTAGGTTCTGTGGCTGGACCTTTGTTAGGAGCGGTTTTCGCTGAAAGTGCGACATGGCAGTGGAGTAAGTGAATTTCAAAATCATTTTATAGTGGCAGTTTTTAACACCGTATATCATAGTCTTCTGGATTAACCTGCCAATTGTCGGCGTGGGGATGGTTCTTCTCATCCCTTTTCTCAAGCTTGAATCCACACCCGGAAAACTGTCTACTAAAATCCGCTTATTCGACTGGATTGGATCAATCATTTTCGTGGCCGGAACCGTAGGCTTCCTAATTCCTATTACATGGGGTAAGAGTTTTTATTAATCTATTCTACTCTCGTCTATTATCTAACGCTGTTTTCAGGTGGCGTTATGTATCCTTGGGACCACTGGCGAACAATAGTTCCACTACTAGTTGGATTTGACGGTATTATTGCATTCGCTATCTACGAATGGTGGCTTTCAAGGAGAGCATTTGACGCCGAGGGAAATCCTCTGCCAGGTGAACATATCGAACCTATTGTTCGCTTCACTATTTTCAACAACTACACGATGTTGATAACATTTCTTTCAACCGTTTTACACGGAGTGGTCGTCTGGTCTCTCCTATATTTCCTACCGCTATACTATGAGGCCGTCAAAGAATATTCGCCGATCATCTCTGGTGTCGCCATCCTTCCCGAGACGGGTCTAGTCGCTCCCGTGTCCGTAATTGCGGCTGTACTCTGTACAAGATTTGGAAAATACCGTTGGGCTCTCTGGTCAGGTTGGATCTGTACGACTGCTGGCTCTGGACTCCTTTTCCTACTTGCACCCGATACATCTGTTCCTGGTTGGATTTTCCTTAACTTTCTTGTCTCGATTGGAACTGGTATCCTGTTCCCCGCAATGAGTCTGGGTACTCAAGCCGCATCCCGTCCTCAAGATTCTGGTCATACGGCGGGTTTCTTTTCTTTCCTTCGTGTCTTTGGTCAGGCCATAGGTGTCGCTGTCAGTGGTGTCGCATTCCAAAACCAGCTCCAGAGCGAGCTGCTGAATTATGAAGAGTTTGCCCCAGTTGCGACGCAGTACAGCAGGGACGCTACTGCAATAGTCGGTATCATTAAAGCGTTACCGGACGGAACCACAAAAACGGATTTAAAGCAAGCATATTCGGACAGTCTGCATGTTATCTGGCTGTTAATGACAGTAGTTAGTGGTGTGGCACTACTGACCAGTTTTACAACAAAAGAGTACAGCTTAGAACAGGAGCACGATACGCGCCAGAAGTTTAATGGAGGAAAGAATAAGGAGAGCATGACTGATTTAATGCTACGATGATAGAGATAAACGCATAAGGAGCATATATAGCATTGGAGACTCGAGTTTGGGTATACTACATAGAAGGTTTAGCATAGAAGGATGCATCTGGGTAGCATGACGGAGTTATTGGTATCTTAGGTAATTACTAGGCGATCAGGGATCGCTTTATGTATACTAACTGGTAAGATAGTAAGGAGGTAGTCAGTGAAGACAATTACGAGACTACCTTGAAAGCTGATTATACATCAACTAGTATCGATCAATGCTCGTAATCTTTTATTATTATCTTGTAGAGTTAGTTAAAATTCTAATAGTACCTATAACTGTATTGAGTAACTAAAACTTTAACTTGTTAACTACTTGGGATATAAATAAGTTTAAACACAAATGATAGAAGTGATGGTAGGGGTTATGCTGTCCCTCTACAGCCTGCTTCATCAAAGGGATTCTAATAAGACTTGTTGGTAAATATGATATCCCCCCACCCCCGCATAGGAGGCTGAAGGTAGCTGATCATCACATCCAACAGCATAACTTTTAGATTGTTGGTTAATCATCTTTTGATCAAGGAATATGATTGGTACGGCGATATGCGGAATAAAACAACCGAAAATGTCCATGCATGAGCTATCCAATTCATGACAGACTCACTTAGCTCGTACCACCTTGCTGTATCTCCCTGAACTTGTGTAACGCGTCTATCTTATGCGCGTCTAAGTCCAGCCCAACAATAAAATCCCATCTGTGTGCCAAGGCTTCTCGCAGCTTCTCGGGATCAAGACCAGCATACGTATCCTGTCCGCAAAGAACCATCCCAGTTCCCCGACTAGAATCTATGATTCTTTGGCAGCGTGGCCTTCTGATCATATCGTAAACCTTGAATGCCGTAGCTACTTCTGCGGAAGATGTGATGTTTTTAAAAAGCTCCTGGAGAACCATGACATCCTCAAAAGCCATAGCTATACCCGATCCTTGCCATGGTGTTGTGGCATGGGCGGCGTCGCCGATCACACACACATTACCATTCGCATAGGTCGGGGTAGCTTTGTGTTCCCATTGAGAGTAACCATGTAGTTCTTCTTGATCAAGCGCAAGCTGTCAATAAACTTAGTAAATGCCACTGACTTAGGTAGCCCTACATACCTCTATTATTCCATTCGCTATTGGACCATCGAGCCAGTTCTTCAGTGTTTGTGTCAAGGTCTCCCGGCTTAGCATGCGTTTTCTGTCCTTTGTTGGTGTATGATTAATATGTTCAATAGCTGATATGACGCATTGCACCATAGTCCCGTTCTCAAGGACATCGTGCATTATAAAACTACCATCTCCAACCCATCCATATTGCCGATGGAATGTGAATAGTTCGGGGCCGAGCATAGCTTTTGCTTTCTCGATTGGCACCAGACACCTGCAATCCCAAAAGCCTGCCTGTGATGCGGCAAATTTGTCGGCTTCATCTTGAAGAACGTACGAGCGTACCGTGCTGAAGATACCATCTGCGCCAACTACCGCATCAAATTCTTTCGTGTCTCCGTCTTGAAATTTGACTTTGATAGTGCCTGTAGAAAGTGAGGGCTTGATTGTATCAAGTTTCTTATTAGTAAATAGAGATTTGCTGGGCAATGGCGCAATAAGTTCACGAAGTAATGAAGCTCGGTGGACAATCACACCGGAATCATCACCAGAGGAGTCCATAACGATTTGGCCCGCATTTGGTCCTGATCCCTATAGCAGGGTCAATCTTAATAGTAACAAGGTAACTTATGAGAAACTTATTTACCACAACGCTACGAACAGAATTCAAGGGAACTGCTCCTGCTCTTTTCAAGAGCTCCTGTGATCCCGATGGAAGTATATGTTCTAGTGCTTGCTGCGCATTTGTATCTAGCCCAATAGCTGCGCCGCGCTCCGAGAAACTTGGGGCAGACTCGTATACATGAATATCAAAATGTGGAATTTGTATGAGGGCGTTCGCGAGTGTTGCTCCGGCAAGACCTCCGCCAATTATGGCAATATGGATTTTAGAAACGCTTTCATCAGCCATTGTGTAGGGTATGATAAATATGTAAGAGTTAAACAATAGACAAGACGTCCCGCCGATGCGGTAATATTTATACACATGTACCTGGGTACCTAAGTAGGTACATGTATGTGTTAAATAAACTATACGGCACTATGTTACACCCGTGTTATGCCGTAGTATATGGAATCGGCCGCTAAACTCGGTACCTAGGGGTCGTTAGAGAATCTTAATTGGATTGAAAGGACGATAGTTGTATATAGCCATACTCATTCATTTTCCTATAATCATCTATTTCTTCACTAAGCTACAGCGCCGAGGTAAGTTTATAGGTATCAAAGTATCCGAATCTCACCGATAACATACCTAGTCCTCTAATTAAATCACCGGGGTAAAAGCATGTTATATTTACAGGTAGGTAAGTACGAGTGTCAATTAATAAGTACTGTACTGATTCTTTTCTTTTTTATTATAGTTAGTCTCGCTGTTCCCTCTCAGCGGTTAACCCTCGTCTCTTCTAGACCTAATGCTTTGGAACCCCCCTTAGTATATCTAGCCCCCCCTCCTGTGAATGTTATGCTGTGGTTTTGTTTGAGTACAAAAATGCATGTATGCAGTAAACCTCCCTTCGCTCTCGAGTGCAATATAATACAGCCCAGATTGGGATAAAAAAGAAAGGAAAACGCAGCACCAATTTTTTTCTTCTTTTACTTCATGCCTCCCGGGAAAACAGTTCGTAATCGAGGAAGGTTCGTGCTAAGCCTCTCCGGCATCTGAACTCGGACCCGGGAAGAGACGGGATTCCTTGAGACGGGATTCCTTGAGGCGTGATTACTTATGCCGTGACTTCTGACCGTTTCTGTGTTGCCGGTTCTGCTTTCGCCTTCTTCGCCTCTTGCTCGATGTAGCACCTATCGTCTGCTAATCCCAACGGCGCCCCTCGCGCTCTGCTTCTAGACGTCTCATGCGACCTTCCTCATCCTCCGTATTTACCGCCTCACTGCGACGGCTTTTCCGACGGCTACTGCGATCGTCCCCACCGTCGCGGCTACGCTTGATGCCTGTAGTGCGACCTATAGTTGCCATTCGCTGCGCCTCCTTAAGAAGTCTCTCGCGGTCTCTAGCCTCACGCTCTAGGGTATGTGGGTCTTTCGATGTCGCTCCGGATGCAGGCTTATGAGCTGCAGCCGAGGAATGAGAGGCACGACGAGATGGTTCGCCTTCGCGCCTACTTGAGTTAGAAGGCTTGCTGCTGCCGCCCTTGATATCAGACACAGGAACCTGTTTGCTACTAGCCCCTTTGATCGAGAAGCTACCCCGAGGACCTGTTGGGGGGTTGAATGATTTATCCGAAGGCTCTATCGGTGTAGGCAAGGCGGTTGAATTTTTACTGCTGCGATGACTGCGATCTCCTTCGTGATCACGGCCGCGATCCTTACCACGGTCTTTGTCTCGTTCTCTATCTCGTTCGCGATCTTGGTCGCGATCCCGGTGAGACCTATGGCTAGATTTTCGGTGTCGGTCGTAGTCGCTATCTTTTTCTACATCGTGATCTCGACGTTTCTCATCTCTATCGCGACGACTCCTGTGGCTTGGTCGCTTATGTTCGCGATCCACGGGAGAGGCTGATCTGGATCGTTCATCGTGTTTTTCATCTCTTGACCGACCTCTATAATCATCGTCATCTCTAGTAGATTGCTTTCTGCTCTTATGCTTGCGACGGCGATGGCCATCGTCACGATCATCTTCTGAAATTGACGGAGAACGATGTCGTCTATGCTTACGGGACTCCTTACGATCCCTGCTGCGACTGCGACTTCGACTCTTAGACCCGGTATACGTTCTAGAACGGTCACGGTCTCTATCACGACGATGCCCCTTACTCTTCTCCTCTTCATCATGTTCTCGATCACGTTCACGGTGGCGGCGTTCCTTATCCTTAGAAGACTGCGGAGAACTACTCCGTGATTTATGCTTATCTTCCACTGGGCTTGCCACAATGGGAGGAGGATTAGTACGTGAGCTAGGACTCTTCTCATCAGTGATTAAGCCACGAGCTCTTAGGTTGAGAAGACTAGTGTTAGGGAGGCCCTGCCGCATGGCTTTCGGCCCAGTAGGTGCATTCAACGGTATATCCGGAACCGAAGTTTGAAGACGCAATGGGCCAGCATTCCCACGAGGACCTTGGGGTGCTGAATGCTGATCTTTAGAGGATACAGATACATCACCCTGCGCAGATTGCGACCCATCCTCCTTGATTACTTCAAAGTTCCCCAGTGTCAGCTTGTCGGTTCCATTAGCAGCAACATTATCATGGCTATTCCCTGTCTCGACATCCCCATTCTCACCGGTTGTCTGTGCATCTTGACTTGGCTCTGCTCGTAGTACTCGGCCAAACTCGTCAACACTACCGGGAGTCTGCCCTGCTACCTGAGAAACGTCCTGTACGGTTGAGTCATCTTTATCGCCCGGATATTGAGCAGCCTGTCCGGCCCAACCTTGGTTTCCGTTATTATAACCCTGATGGTATCCACGACCGTAGCCTCCATAGAAGCCCCGACCCCGGCCCCGTCCTCGAAATCCGTAATTGCCTCGGCGGTAATCATTGAACTGGTTGTGGTGGCCAAAATTACCTGAATTGAAGCCTGTACGGAAACCAGCATTAAAGTTGCCAAAATCACCATTTCCCATTCCAGGAGCATTTGGATTGAAATTATCTTGGCCGACGTTCCATGATTGTTGTCCGTTCCAGTCATTGCCGCCTCCATTGAACCCATTCATGCCCATATTCATGTTCATGCCGTTCATACCTATGCCCTGTGCACCGAAACCACTATTCATCATCATATTCTGCATCGCCATGGGATCCATCATTCCTTAGTTTTCAAAGTTAGCTATCATATCTTAATACTTGGCAGGACTATCTCTTACCCATCATAGGAAATGTGCCAAAGGCGGACGGATTCATTCCATTTTGCATGGCCATCATCATCTGCATCTGGTTCAAATCTCCATTGCCGAAGTTCATATTAAAATTGCCATTCATAGATTCGAAGCTAGAACCCATACTGGACTGCGCTAACTGGTCCTTGCCATCACCACCCTGGTCTGCTTCTTGGACATCTTCCACAGCTGCTCCATCTTGGCCTTCCTGGTCGTGAGGGACGACGGCTTCGGACTCGTCGTCTCCGGCAGGCTGCTCCTGGGCTAGCCCACTTGTAGGCTCATCCTAGACTTCTGTTAGATATAACTTCTAGTAACGGGACATTTTGTAAGACCTACCTCTTTAGGCTGAGCATCAACGTCCGGTTTCGGCTCGGCGGCCGAGGGCCCCTCGGAATCAGCCCCGCCAGAGGGTGGTACGGAGCCCGTAGTTTTCGATTCTACACCAGCTTGCCCATCGGCAATATTATTTGCAGGAGGTTGTTCGGTAGGGGTGCGCGTCTGAGTTGGCGTCGGTGTATCCTGCGCAGGCGTAGTCGGGGCAGATCCGTTGGCTTTTGGTCGGGCAGCTTCCCGCTTCTTTTCCTCGGTCTTCAAGAAAACCCTAATGGTGGTTCTAAGAGATTTGTAGATGGTACAATCGGAGGCAGAAACTGGCGAGTGCTCGCAGACCGGGCAAACCGAGGGCAAAGTGGATTGGCCTAGGTGTCATTAGGGACTACTTGAAACTAAAACAAAGGGAACAAATGGTGCTTACATTTCTCGCATATAGCAGTCTCGCAGCATGGCAATCTAAAAGCGTTGACGGCCAACTTGCTGCAGACGGCGCATCGTAGCTTCGTAGGCAACTCGGCCGGTGTGAGAGAGCTATGAAAGTTAGCTTTCTGAATCTCAACAAATTTATCTAGTAGGTGTCATACTTGGCTAGCTCAATCTGAGCTGGTGTCAGCGCCGCCATCTTGAACACGGAAGACGTGGCAAGTGCGCAGTTTCGTGTACATATGGTAAAGATATAGGAAGATGTTAAAAGGCGCCAGATAAACAGTACTCAAGGTTAGAAATTAATGGCCTTGGTAGGACGTGGAGACCACTCGAGAAATGAATCCGACCGGCGTCGCGCTTCGCATCAGACCAAATGACGACTAGTGGTAATACAAGTCGAGTAGATATTGGCGACGAAATGGGCCGAAGTTGTAAATGTTTAGTCGATAGCAAAATTGCACACCTACGCGCAAACGCCTGATATGATTTTAGAGTTTAGGTGAGTGGGTCCAAGACATACATAGGTACGCTTATTGGGGTTACGCTTATTCGGGTCTACTATGGGGCTATCTTTTACGCTAATGAGCTCTATGCATGTACAGAGTATTTCTAATAAGCGAGTATCTAGATATACGATAAGAAATAACTTCCAATAGGCACAATAGTGGTGTAAGTACCTCCAAGGAATAACAGGTACCCAAAAGCCTACTTAAACTTTGACGAAATAATACATTGAAGAGAAAAAAAATAATAAGTTTACAAAATGATACTTTATATATTATAACTAGCACTTACATTATGATATTTGTTTCCTTTAACAGTTCCGTTGTGCTTTAAACAAACGACAAAGTTCATGTACTTTGGCAAGACATTACCTAGGTAATGATCTACCTATTATGCATAGGTACCTAGGTAGGTACCTGATGTATGTAGCGATCTCATTTCACTCAAGATAAAGCCGTACGATTATATGTTATATTGTAATGTATTACACGCGACAATAAATTCTACCAATGCATATATGGAAAAACATACATAGTCTGATGCTACGATAATGCGTAGGAGGTCGCACCCGACTCGTGTGCTACTCTAGAGTCTGGACTTATTATTCGTCACGAGAAGTCTGTCTGCTTCAGGGCTTGCGCTGTATGTTGCTCGCAAATAACAAAAAAGGAAGAAAAAAAATACTCATCGAAAAGAGTCCAGATACCGAGTCCCAATGAACCATCGCTCCATATTACAAGGTGAAATGTAGTCATGACCGTAATGAAACTACCATCGACACTCCCTACCATCCCTTCGGAGAAATCAGCATGCACACCCTTCCTTTGCTGCTTCTCGAGGTCCATTCAAGTTTACCCTCTGCTCCTCACCACCTCTGTTGGCCGCGCTAGAAGCTCCCGGACCTCTCGTGCTCTTGAATGACGTTTCGGGGATGGCGTTCGCAATCGCAGTGAAGACTTCGGAAACATTGTGACCTGTCTTCGCACTTGTTTCGAAGAATAACAGGCTCTCCTCTTCAGCATACGTCTTTGCTTCCTCCGTGGAAATCTTTCGGGCGTCCCCGGATTCTTCCCCATCAGCTACTTCGCTGTCATTAGTAAGGTCCAGCTTGTTACCGACAAGAGCGATGACGATCCCTGGCGATGCTTGTCTTTGAAGTTCCGCTACCCAGTGCTTGGCTTTGATGAGTGACGTTGGCTTCGTGAGATCGTAGACGACGAGCGCAGCTTGAGCGTTTCGGTAGTACATAGGCGCCAACGAAGCAAAGCGCTCCTGGCCTGCTGTATCCCAAATCTCGAACTTGATCGTTCTCGTAGGTAGGTTACATTTTTGCGTTAAGAAGGCGGCTATACTCAGTATTAGCCTAGAGATGCTGGAAGTGGAGGCTTCAAGGGCAAGGGCTACTTACCACCAATAGTAGGCTCTTTGTTCTCTTGGAAATCATTGTTGACAAATCGCAGGACAAGTGAAGACTATAAGTCGCTTAGTATAGTATTTATGGTAAGTTATGCGGAATCCCGAAGAAGCAATACCTTTCCTACGGCGGCCTCACCAAGCAGCACCAGCTTGACACTACTACTCGGCTTCGGAGCGTTTGAGTCGGCCATTTTGTGGGAATGTCTATGGGGAAATTGGATAATGTTTTGGAGAATCGGTATTCTGTTATGATGATTCTGTAAATGATAGGAGGAAACCCAGTTGTAAATTACCTTACAATATGAAGGAAAACGGTCGCATTCAAATGGGACGGTTTGTAGTGGGCTAGTTGCTTGAAGTAAAGTAAGAGAGGTAGGCAGATGGGTTTAATGTATCGAATCAGGAATGACGACGCATCAGAGGACCCGTCTAGCCGTAGGTGTTAGTGAAAGACTGCCGCTAATACAGAATTGGTTAGTCTAAGATAATTCACGGAACATTAGCGGGCCGACACCGCCAAAAAGTTAAGACCCCTCCAATTCTTAAAACCGGCAGAAAAAAAAAAGTTAGTTAGTTTTCTGTTTTGCAGCTGTCTAAAGCTCTTTTGGTGTTTTCACTATAGCGAACTCACGCTATCTCGCAGGTGTGAATCAACAATCACCTTTAATACATCCCCATTAGTCAAACAAAAAAAAAAATCCCCAAATCTGTTTCTAATTGCAATTTCAAGATGGCGGCTTCCGACGCCCGCAAAAAAACTTTGTTTGATGATAGCGACGATGAATCAGACGGAGGTGTTAAGCTACAAATCAATTCTGAGTATGCGAAAAGATTTGAGCATAATAAGAAACGAGAGGAATTGCATAGACGTAAGCTACAACACCGTATACTTTACTTTATTCTTTTAATAAATCTAACTAAACAATTTAGTGGAAGAGAAGTACAAGTCCAAGCAGGCCAACGGGAATAAATCGAAAGATGATGATGGATCCGATTCCTCCTCAGATGAGGAAGAAGATGAAAATGGCTTCTTAGCGACAGAAGACCTTGATGCCGAGATATCTGCCACGCTTCAAGCAATCAAGAATAGGGATCCTCGTGTATACGATGGCAAGACCAAGTTCTACAGGCCGATCGAAGAAAGTGCTACCACGGAAGACGTAACAGTAAAGCAGAAAAAAGAGAAACCCGTTTTCCTACAAGATTACCACCGAGAAAAAATTCTACGCGGAGATACCGGAGCCGATTTTGAAGATGAGCAAAGGCCCCCGCAGACCTACGCGCAAGAGCAGGATAACTTGAAGCAATCTATCAAGGATGAAATCAAAGCGCAACTAGGCGCGGAAGATGACGCCGAGGATAGCGACAGCGATGAGGACTTCATCAAGGCTAAAGAAGGGACTAGATCCATTCCTGAGCAGGGTATCCATCCGTCTAGGGCTAGCAAGATCAAAGCTCCAAAGCCTGAGCTTGAAGATGCGGACAAAAATCCGGAGCTTTTCCTATCAAATTTCATGGCCGCCCGCGCTTGGGTTGAAGAAGAAGAAGAGAATAATTGGAAGGCATTCGAATCCGACGACGGCGAAGACGACAAAGCAGATGAGTGGGAAACCGCGTATAATCTGCGCTTCGAGGACCCTAATAAGAGCAATGAAGTTTTGAAGTCATATGCTCGTGATGTTGTTGCAGCGCGCTCAGTCCGACGAGAAGACAAGAGTATGCGCAAGCGTCAACGAGAAATAGAGCGCGAGAAGAAGGAAGAAGAGAAACAAAAAAGGAAAGAAGAAAGAGCACGACTACGTCGCCTTAAACTAGACGAAGCCGAGGAAAAATTAAAGAAGATCAAGAAGGCTGCAGGCTTATCCGGCAAGACATTAAAGGACGAGGAATGGCAGAAGCTGCTTGAAGATGCCTGGGAAGACGGCAAATGGGAAGAACAACTGAAGAAGATGTTCGACGACCAGTATTATGCCGCAGCCGAGGAGAATGTGTCTGATGATGAGGACGATGAGGAAACCGACGGCAAGAAGTCAAAGAAGATAAAAAAGCCTAAATGGGACGACGATATCGACATCAAGGATCTCATTCCAGATTTCGATGATGGGGAACGCCCTAATATTACTCTTACCGATAACGAACATGATGAGGTAGACGAAAACGGAGACGAAGATGAAGATGAAGATGCACCTTCGGCTAAGCGACAGAAGACTACTAAACAACGCAAGCGAGAAAAGCTCGAAAGTCAGAAAGAAGTACGACAAGAGCGAGCTAAGCTCGAGGCGTTCGTCGACGCGAAGATGGAAATTGATGATCCGGAGATCCTCGCCGGCAGCTCGTCGAGGGATAACGGACCGTCGCGTTTCTCTTACCGTGAGACACGGCCTGAATCCTTCGGCCTCACTACGCGCGATATCCTCATGGCGTCTGACGCCGATCTCAACGAATTCGCTGGCCTGAAGAAGCTAGCGCATTTCCGACCGCAGGACAAGCAGAGCAAAGACCGCAAGCGACTCGGCAAGAAAGCTCGTCTAAGGCAGTGGCGCAAGGAGACATTCGGCCCCGAGTTCGAGAGGGAGCCTCCCGCCTTCAATCCCGGCGGCTTTGTGGAAGGTGATGAGAAACCGAAATTCGTGGCGGAACCCGGAACTGGTAATAATATAATCGAGGGCGGTTCCAAGAAGAAGCGCAAGCGGTCTAGGGCCAAGAAGAGCGCGAAGCATGGAGAGGAAGACGAGGCGGAAACAGTGGCTGCGGCGTAGATGCACCCACCCCGATCAGCCAAATTTTTATTTTCTTTGGTCGTTCTCTTCGGCAGAGCATCTCGGTAGATAGATTGATGATACCCTAGATCTTAATTTGTCGCGCGAAGCAAAAAAAGCAAAAAGCTCATCTCGATCTCGCGTGCTGTTAGGGGTGTAAGGATCCTCTCATGCAAGTCCCGTTCCCGCATCCCGAGCTAAGCGGGATCTGCTGGCGCTTTTGCTCCGCTGGGCTTAGTTGCCGTGTCCAATGTGGCCCGATGGGGTTCCAGACATCGTACCACTTGCATGGCGCAGGACCCCGACCCGGCAAGGATAGGTTTTGTACGTTACAGGTATACATATAAAGTTACGAGGATCTCTCACGTTTTTTTGGTTTCTAAACGTGGGGGAGAAGAGGAAAGATTTTAGTTGTGTTTGAATACATAAGGTAGTTGTCATTACCTAGGAAACAACAGTTTTCTCTTAATTCTTGATTTTCGATTTCTGTCTTCTCCCTCGCTCGCGCCAAAAATACAAATGCCGTCCCAAGATCTCTTCCGTCATGCTATATCAGGTGGTATCATATCCATCTCGAACGACAACAGCGCGTGCCCGCATTCTGGCTATAGGCTCCGGCTACATACATGACAAACAGGTGTAATCACAGAAAGAGGTTTTTTCTCTCGCATGGGCATTTCAAAATTCCCGGGCTTGCCCTATCTTTCCCTCCGGATATCCTTCTTGTAACATAAGTATAAACAGATATAAACAACAGCGAGCGAAAAGCTAGCAAGCCACCAAAAAAAAAAAAACATGTAGGCTGGCGCTTCTTAGATTTTGGGAGGCCCCTTTCCGACCAACCCCCCGGAGAAAAGAGAAAATCTTCCTGTTCAACTCCGTTACACCGTTTGGACCCAATCCTTTACAAGATCCCATTCGCTCAAAAGGACATGTCCTAGTCCTTCAGATGTATTCTAAAATGTACAAAAAAAGATACGTATGCGTCATCCGTTGAAGGGGCATGAAGTCGCCGGTAGCTCCCTATCACTTCTTCTCTCCCTCCAAACGTAAGGGTATACTACAATGATGTAGGTAAGTAGGCAGGTATATCTCAGCCAAACAACCGAACCAGTTATTTCGTATGGAGACACATCATAATACGGTGTCAAATCTCACAAAGATAGCTTATCCGGTACAGGACAAAGTCAAATGAGAAACATCAAAGTAACTCGATCGTCTTATCGGCCCCCTCTCCGGAGGCCTAATCCAGCACCCGGAGTATGCACGCCAGGACTGAAGAGCCCAAACCCATCAACACCGCCCATGCCGCCTAGATCTTGGCCTAGTTCTGGCGGCTCCATGTTGAATGGCATAAACCATGCAGAAGATGGTTCAGAAACAAACCCGCCAGGCAAGCTATCATGATGATGATTACTTGGGCCGCCTCCAGAGCCGGCATTGGATCCGTTCGCGTTATGTCCTCTATTCGAGTCATTCCCGTTACCAGCCAACGCGTCCCAGTCCATAATAGCCTCAGGACCGCTAATTGTTGAAGGATCTAACTGGCCATATGCGTTGAATACGAGCTGGCGATCCAGCTGCGGCAATATTCCCGCAGCGTTGTTTGAGAGGGACAGCGAAAGTAAATCCTGGTTATAGAAGGCGGGGTGTTGGTGTCCGTGGCCGTGGCCATGCTGAAACCCGCCAACTGTGACAGGGCTAATCGGTGATAGGGCGTGGTAGTTCGCTGCTGCATTTTGTAAGCGTGCGTGTGCGAGGTTAGAATTGAAAGAGGTCGGCCCACTAGTTTGCCCGCCTAGACGAGAATAGTTGCGTTGTGCCTGCGCTCTCTGTTGTTGCGCATGCTGAATGCGCTGGATTTGTTCGGGTATACTAGCGCCATTGAGATCGGTAAGAAGGGGTTCCAGTTGTTGCTGTTCACCACGCGAGGAGATGCTACCCTTCTTTGCTATCGACTTCCGTTTCATTAAGGGTGGTCTGTTGGATCCAGCATTCTCCCGTCCCTCGCCCGTACTTTGCGGCGGCGAGAGCTGCGTGAAGAATTCTTCAACTGTGTGAAGTTCTGGTTTCTGCTCGAGCACTGCGTCCTCGCCAGTTTCCTTCTTTTTGAAAGAAGCCGGTTCAACAAATTCTGGCTGCGACACGCCGTGCGGGTACCGATCGAACCAATCTCCATACTGGAATATAGGCGAGGCTGCTGAGTTATCGCCTGCCGGGGTACCTTGGCGCGCAGCATCAGCGCATGTCTTATACTGCTCGCGTAGATTCTCTGCCATAAAATGAAACATGCCCCAATAGCGCTTCATCTTCGAGAGGAACTTGACATTTATAGCCAGGTTCTTCTTTGCGGCTGTCTCTACGGTAGAGTTGCCAGAGAAAATTCCGAATATATGAACGGTACTCGACAGGAATGCGCAGTAGCCGACGAAGGGCGCCGCGATCATATAGTGCTCCGCATCCTTCAGCAGCTCGGATATTCTATTAGCAGCAGCAAACGCCTTTGATCCCGCCTGTGTAATGAAGGTATTAGGAACGTCTGCTTTCGATAAACCGGCTGGCGAAGACACCGCGAATCGGTTCATGAATAAGACATTTTGCTGGATCGAGATATGTAAAAATAAAAACTGATTGGCCATCCCTTCTGTTTGGTGCAGATGGAGGTTCTCAGCACTATATTTCAATCCATCTGGTAGGTTTTCAGCAAAATCTTCTGCTTGTTTAAGCAACACGGCATATTCGGAGTCGCCCTCCCACATCGAATGCTCGTCTGAGTCCATTCCCCCCTGGTTTAAGAAATTTATTATTCTTCCCCATAGGGCAATGGCGCGAACCATGTATGCTGCCACGCCCATGTTATCTTTCGCATCGGAGAGCTGTCCCTCATCCATCGGTACCGGATGAGGAACTTGTCCTTGCAGATCTTCAGTAGGTCCTGGCATATCAAGTTGGAAGAGTTTTTCTTTAATTGGTAACTGAATCTTGATCGTTTCTTCCTTTATGAACATAGGGCGATCCGTTCCTGAAGAATTGAAACGATCCATCAGGAAACAAGCCCACATCGTTCGCCTTCGAATTTCGCGATCGATGAAGCTAAGCTGCTTCGTCGGATTCAGCCGCATGGGATCATACTCCAAATCCTTATGCAATTGTAAGGCAAACGCCATTCGAGTGGCCTGGCCACCTAACGCCCAACTCCTACCTCCGTGACACGTACCAAATTCGTGTAAGCCGAGCAGTAGTAGACATGTTAGAATCGTAATATTGGGCCATTCGTAGCGCCTCGTTACAATATCTCGAGCTGGAGCTGCCCATTCTTCTCCTCGGAGAAAATTGTTCGTTATCGCGAACTTTGGGTGAGTAGAAAAGCGGGCGGAAATTGCACAAACGGAAAGCACTAGAACTGGAGGTAAGGTGCCAGCTCTGTTGATAGTAATTAGTGTTAGTTAGAATATTAGGGATAGTTAATTAAAAGACGTACTTAAGTTTTCTCATGAAGCTTGGTTTGTGAAGGAGATGGTATGCTTGGCCATAAATATTTTCGAAGTATACGTCTGCGAGATGTTCCTGTAGATCTTTCGGTGGTAAAGCCTCAGCGCCTTCGTATAACAGTTTGCTCTCCTCCGCTTCTTGCACTTGCAATGACGTGGGCTTACTAGAACCCTCCATCCTAGTCTTAGGGCCATTTCTAGCCCAATGATCGAGTTCCGCACCAAACGCCTCCTCTGCGCCTCGTTTCTTTGCGGCTTGCTTCCCCGTGGGAAGAGTTCCGGGGATAGCGGGTTTTACCACGCCCCGGACAACGTTATTGGTGGATGTATCCTGCTCTGATTTAGGTACAAGCTTGATGATCCGGTCCTCCATCCTCTTTAGTCGTTTGTCTAACATAGCCATGTAGTCGGTCCTCGGGGCCGCCTTCCGCGTAGTGACCTTGTACACACAAGGGATCCGAGATCGAAGACAATGCTTACAAGCCGGCTTCTCTCCCGAACAACGTATCTTTTTCCTCCGACATGCAATACATGCCAGGGGTAATCTTTTTCTCTCCTTCCCTGCCTTCGTCTTTAGTTCGCTCCAAGCTGGTGCGGGATCAGATTTGTTTTCCTTCAGCTTCCCTCCCAAATCGGTACCGTCGCCAGGCCCAGTCGTCGCTAATCCGAACTCATCCGACATATTATCTTCCAAAGAATTTGTGCCAACATGGACGCTTTCCTGGCTTCCATCATCAGACCCGTCCATGCTGCGCCGTCTATTTTGCTGTGAAGGGTCAACCATGGTATAAGTGGTACTATGAGGGCCTGAAGCGGTTGAGTCCTTCCGCTCGCCAATTGATGAGATTGAGCCGTGTCCGGGAGTAGCGAACAAGTCGTTCGAGTGATCCTCTAATGAGATCATATGGCTGGCCTCGGGGATATCTTGGAACGGAAAATGGAAATCTGAAAATTGAGAAGTGTCGATCAGTCCGTGCGAGTTGGTGTCACTCGAAAGGCCATCGTGGTGGTTATCTAAGGAAAAGCCATTAAGGTCGGCCGGTTCAATCGAGTTAAGCTGGGGTTCCGATTTAACAACGGGTTGTGAGCCATCGATATTCCCGGATGGGAAGGACTGAGCATCAAGGTGAGATTGACTGGGTGACATTTCGGGGGCTGGATGGCCCTTCACGACCGTGGAAAGAGGGAAAGATCAACGACGCCTAACGTTACTTTCAATAGTCGAAGAATTCGTTTCTATTTTTTTCTTCCTTTTCTTTAGTTTTCTTACTACGAGGGCTCAATGCGAGTAACAAGAGGCTTTCGGCCCCGCGCGACCGGATATTATAACGTCGCCCTCAGCGGGCCCGGGTATCAGAGAACAGGAACGCCAGCGCCGTGCGAAAATGTATCATGACAAACAGAAAAAGAAATGCGAAGGAGGAAACCTCCGAATAGATGGAAAGGGGAGGTTAGTTCGTCTACATACGATATCGAGTAGAGTAGCGCTGGGAAGATTGTAGGTTAAGT